TAATCACTAATTATAACAGTTCTTTTCTCTTTCAGTGTAGCCGTTAAAATTCTAATTGGAACAAAAATAATTTCAATTTCTTGTTTTTCTGGTGATACACAACACACTGATCTCACTTGTTATCAGTCTGTTTACATCTCCAAAGCTCAAAATGCTCTGCTCCACCTTGTGATGTCATGAAGTGGTAGTTTTCAAGTGAACATCTACCTTTTAGCTTCAGTTCAGTAGAGATTTGGCGATTCCACAACTGAAATTATCCAAATGATTCTTGTGAAGGTGAGTGGAGTTAGAGAAAAACACAATGGAGCACTTCCTGTTTTACCACATGATGACATCACAAGGTGGAGCAGAGAGAAAAAACTCAATCTAAATGTGCAGGTTTGTGAGTTAAACTTGTGTGAATGAAACAAAACACAACTCCAGGTCTGTTTGTGACGAGGAAAATAGTGAAACATGGGAACTTTAAATATTTTTACGATACGACAAAACTTAAACTTTTTATACAATAATAATGGACTTTTTTTTTTTTTTTCATTTACAGAGACGCTGAAGAAATGCTCAAAAACAAAGACCTCGGTTGTTTCTTGGTTCGTCTCAGCGACAAAGCTCTCGGATACATCCTCTCCTACAAGTGAGTGAACCACACAAGGAACGAGGCAAGGAGAGGAAGTAGGAAGTAGGAGACCAAGAAGGAGGGGACAAGGAGGCTAGGAGACTAGTAGGGAAGGAGGTAGGAGGCTAGGAGACTAGTAGGGAAGGAGGGAGGAGGCTAGTGGACTACCAAGGAAGGAGGTAGGAGACTATGAGACTAGTAGGGAAGGAGGGAGGAGGCTAGGAGACTAGTAAGGAAGGAGGTAGGAGACTATGAGACTAGTAGGGAAGGAGGGAGGAGGCTAGGAGACTAGTAAGGAAGGAGGTAGGAGGCAATGAGACTAGTAGGGAAGGAGGGAGGAGGCTAGGGGACTAGTAAGGAAGGAGGTTGGAGATTATGAGACTAGTAGGGAAGGAGGGAGGAGGCTAGGAGACTAGTAAGGAAGGAGGTAGGAGGCAATGAGACTAGTAGGGAAGGAGGGAGGAGGCTAGGAGACTAGTAAGGAAGGAGGTAGGAGGCAATGAGACTAGTAGGGAAGGAGGGAGGAGGCTAGGGGACTAGTAAGGAAGGAGGTTGGAGATTATGAGACTAGTAGGGAAGGAGGGAGGAGGCTAGGAGACTAGTAGGGAAGGAGGTAGGAGACTAGGAGACTAGTAGGGAAGGAGGTAGGAGGCTAGGAGACTAGCAGGGAAGGATGTAGGAGGCTAAGAGGGAAGGAAGTAGGAGGCTAGTGGGCCAGGAGGTAGGAGAGTAGGTGGTAGGAGGCAAGGCAAGGAACTAGGAGGCAGGACACAAGGAGGCTATGAGACTATTAGGGAAAGAATTAGGAGGTTGAGAGACAAGGAAGTAGGGGACAAGGAGGCTAGGAGACTAATAGGGAAGGAGGTAGGAGACTATGAGACTAATAGGGAAGGAGGTAGGAGGCTAAGAGGGAAGGATGTAGGAGGTAGGAGGTAAGGCAAGGAACTAGGAGGTAGGAGACAATAAGGTTATGAGACTAGTAGGAAAGGAGATAGGAGGCTAAGAGACAAGGAAGGAGGTAGGAGGCTAGGAGACTAGTAGGGAAGGAGGTAGGAGGCTAGGAGACTAGTAGGGAAGGAGATAGGAGGCTAGGAGACAAGTAGGGAAGGAGATAGGAGGCTAGGAGACAAGTAGGGAAGGAGGTAGGAGGCTAGGAGACTAGTAGGGAAGGAGATAGGAGGCTAGTGGGCAAAGAGGTAGGAGAGTAGGTGGTAGGAGGCAAGGCAAGGAACTAGGAGGCAGGACACAAGGAGGCTATGAGACTATTAGGGAAGGAATTAGGAGGATGAGAGACAAGGAAGTAGGAGGTAGGAGACAGAGAAGTTGTTTTTAAGTGTCTGTGTTTGTATTTTGACATTTTTTTGGACATGATTTCGTTTGCGTTGCCGTGGCGATCCAGGGGCAGGGACCGGTGCCGTCATTTCGTGATCAACCAGAACGAGTCGGGGGAGTTCGTCGTCTTCGGGGACCACGTTCGACACGGGACCTTGTCTGAGCTCGTCCAGTACTTCAAGGAAAAACCCGTCGAGCCGTTCGGGGAATATCTGACGACTTCCTGTTGCGTGGTGAGTCATTTCTGCTAACGGGGCCCCACAAACCTACACAAACAAACGGCTCTAAAACCTGAACTGAACCAGGACTGAACCAGGACTAAACCAGGACTAAACCAGGACTAAACCAGGACTAAACCAGGACTAAACCAGGTCTAAACCAGGACTAAACCAGGACTAAACCAGGTAAACCAGGACTAAACCAGGACTAAACCAGGACTAAACCAGGACTAAACCAGGTCTAAACCAGGACTAAACCAGGACTAAACCAGGACTAAACCAGGAAAACCAGGACTAAACCAGGACTAAACCAGGACTAAACCAGGACTAAAACCAGGACTAAAACAGGACTAAACCAGGACTAAACCAGGACTAAACCAGGACTAAACCAGGACTAAACCAGGTAAACCAGGTCTAAACCAGGACTAAACTAAACCAGGACTAAACCAGGACTAAACAGGACTAAACCAGGACTGAAACCAGGACTAAACTAAAACCAGGACTAAAACCAGGACTAAACCAGGTCTAAACCAGGACTAAAACAGGACTAAACCAGGTCTAAACCAGGACTAAAACCAGGTCTAAACCAGGACTAAACCAGGACTAAAACTAAACCAGGTCTAAACCAGGTAAACTAAACCAGGACTAAACCAGGACTAAACCAGGACTAAACCAGGTCTAAACCAACCAGGTCTAAACCAGGTCTAAACCAGGTAAACCACCAGGACTAAACTAAACCAGGAAACCAGGACTAAACCAGGTCTAAACCAGGACTAATCTTTGACTAGAACTTGGAATCTAGTTCCGCCCCTGAGAGAACCCTGTGCCCGTGGAGCATTAGGTCCTCAAAGCTCGATCGGCTCGATATTTTTGCAGACCCCCAATAAACACACATGTAGAACACCCCCAGCACGATGTTTTCCAAACACTTTTCAATCCTGTGTGTTATTTTATACTGGGACAGATTGACCCGGCTCAGCTTTATGTTCCCGCAAATGAAACTCTAAGTCAAGTCATTTTTATTTTTAAACCACATTTAAAGAGATGATTCAGAGTCATTTTAACCTCAGGTCCTTTGCACCGTGACCTTTACATTACTTGTTTCCCAAAGACTGGACCACAACCCTCAAGTGGGTCACAAGATTTGTTTTTTGGGTCGCCTTGACACGACCTGCATGTGGGTCTGTGATGTACAGTTCTGCCACACGAGGGAGCGAGAGAGTCAGTGAATCTTCTCTGCACCGAACGAGTGTTTCTGCAGCTGAAGTGGAGAAATATTTGCTTGGTTTTCCAAAAAGAAGGTGATAAATGAGCAAAGGACAGAGCACTTCAGGCAGATAACAGCTGCCTGAATGATCATTGCTTTGCATTATTAGTAAATCATTCTCTCATGGCTTATTAATGATTAATAAATGCTCAAATGGTTAGTTCATGAGTAATTGAGTATGAAATAATTATGAGTAACTATTTACAGCACAGGCAAATTAAGTGCAAGTGCTAATTAAGGTCGTAATTAAGTAGTTACTAAGCGTGAATCATTATTAATTAAGTCTTTGTTCATTATTAATTAAGCCTTTGTTCACGCTTTATTAAATAAATAAATAAGGTCAGTGTTGGGGAGGTTATTTTAAAAATGTAATCCCCTACAGATTACAGATTACATACACCAAAATGTAGTTTGTAACGGAATCCATTAAATTACTTAAAGTGAGTAATGTAATCTGAATACTTTGGATTACTTGATATTGTCCTGGTTTAGTCCTGGTTTAGTTCTGGTTTTAGTCCTGGTTTAGTCCTGGTTTAGTCCTGGTTTAGTTCTGGTTTTAGTCCTGGTTTATTCCTGGTTTAGTCCTGGTTTAGTCCTGTTTTTTTGTCTTGGTTTAGTCCTGGTTTAGTTCTGGTTTAGTTCTGGTTTTAGACCTGGTTTTAGTCCTGATTTTAGTCCTGGTTTAACCCAAAGTGTGAAAAAAGGAAAATCCCGCTGTGTAATTCATTTATTTCAACAAAGTAACTGTAATCCAATTACCACTCACTGAAACAGTAACTGTAACTGAATACATTTACTCATAATTTGTACTCTGATTACATTACTCCGGTACATGTAATCTGTTACTCCTAAACACTGAATAAGGTGTAGTTATTATGAAGTGTTTCCACGGATCATTTTACTGCTGCTTCAATGGCCGAGGAAAACTAAATGTTCAGAGACACGATCAGTCAACAATAAAACATCCTCATTAATGTTCAATAATCCTCAAATCCAACTTTATTTTGTGATTTACAAATAATATCTATGGACTTGGGTCGTGAAGGTTTGTGACTTTTAAAACACAGATCTACATAATATCTGTAGTCAACCTCTGCTAGAAAATAGGTCGGGTGGGACGAACAAATTGATGAAATCTGATGCAAATTGATGATAAAGAAAATGAGGGAACATAAAAAAAAAAAAAAAAACTTGAAGGAACATAAGGCTGAAGGAACATGGGCACACTCCCGACTAGGGATGGGCATGATTAATCGATTAATCAATAATTGATCATTAGGAATTTCATCGATTATGTTAATTTTAATCGACAAACCGAATGTATGTTTCTGTGTGTAGTGTGACCAAACAGGTGTGTACATGTGTCTCTGCATCAGAAGGAGCGAGACACAAACAGTGGGTCAGTCTGTAACGAACCGAAGCACAAATGTGGATTTAACCAGGATTTGTACAAGAAATTCCACACTTTCCGTTGCGTTGGGACAAGTGTGAGTCCATGTGCACAGTGTATAAAGCAGCACATATGTTTCTGTGTCCAGTGGGAAAAAGTTTTACCAGGTGAGAGTCGCTCAATGTGGATGACGAGGCCCCGCCCCCCCCCCCTCCCCCCGTACGGTAGAGATGCGCGGATTGCGGCTACAACCGCAACTCCGCGGCTAAACCGGCGGGTCGGGCGGATGACGTGACGAAAAATAATATTTTTATTAAATTTGGGCGGGTGGCGGATTCACTACTCAAATAAAAAACTCTGAACTCGGAGCAAATGGGAGGAGAGCGAGCGGATGGCGGGCGGGTGCGGTTTTGAAAAACTGTGGTTGCAAATGGACAGCGGGCGGATGATGAGTTTTGCGATGCTGGTTGCGGATGAAAAAGTCGCCCATCCGCGCATCTCTACCGTACGATGTCCTGGTTTTGACAAACACAAATCTGGTCACACTGACCTGTATTCACCTGAGTCATGTCTTTTAATCCAACACAAGTTGAACCACATCAGCGACACAAGAGCTGGAGTTTTATCTTCACTTAGTTTATGCAAATTAGTGATGTGGTTTTAAGTTTTGTTTCTGTGAGATTTGAACAAAACTGAATTAAACACATTATAATGTCAAACAGCTGATGTGGCTCTAGAGTCGTTACGGTTTATATGTCGTAAAGTTGAATTTATTTATGCAGATTAGTGCAGATAGTAATAATAATGATGATCATTTTAATATAAAAATGTTAATGATTAATCGATAATCGATCATTAATTCTTCCAACGATCGATTAAGTAAATTTCATCGAATGCCCGTCCCGACTCCCGACTGACTGAAGCAAGACGGTCGTTCCCATCGTGTGGCGACTTTTATACTGAGTTTGATTGAATATTTTTGTTTGTTTTCCAGGTTCAGAACAATGATCTTTATGACACGATCCACGTGAGTCCCAAACAGCGGTCAGTGGCCACGCTCCAGGCTCAAAAGACCAAAAAACAGATGAGAGGCTCAGACCTGCAGCTGACGCAGAGCAGAGCAAGCAACTGCTCCTCACAGGTGAGACACAAACACAATCTACAGGTGGGATCAGGGTTCAGTTTTTACGGAAGCCGGACAAATACAAAAGCCACAACACAACAAAAAGCCACAACACAACAAAAGCCACAACACAACAAAAAGCCACAACACAACAAAAAGCCACAAACAAACACAAAAAGCCACAACACAAAAAAGCCACAACACATCAAAAAGCCACAACACAACAAAAGCCACAACACAACAAAAAGCCACAACACAACAAAAAGCCACAACACATCAAAAAGCCACAACACAGCAAAAAGCCACAACACAACAAAACGCCACAACACAACAAAAAGCCACAACACATCAAAAAGCCACAACACAGCAAAAAGCCACAACACAACAAAAAGCCACAACACAACAAAAAGCCACAACACAACAAAACGCCACAACACAACAAAACGCCACAACACATCAAAAAGCCACAACACATCAAGAAGCCACAACGCAACAAAAAGCCACAACGCAACAAAAAGCCACAACACATCAAGAAGCCACAACGCAACAAAAAGCCACAACGCAACAAAAAGCCACAACACATCAAAAAGCCACAAAACAACAAAAAGCCACAAAACAACAAAACACCACAACACAACAAAAAGCCACAACACATCAAGAAGCCACTACGCAACAAAAAGCCACAACGCAACAAAAAGCCACAACACAGCAAAAAGTCACAACACAGCAAAAAGCCATAACACAACAAAAAGCCACAACACAGCAAAAAGCCATAACACAACAAAAAGCCACAACACAGCAAAAAGCCACAAAACAACAAAATGCCACAACACAACAAAAAGCCACAACACAGCAAAAAGTCACAATACAGCAAAAAGCCACAACACAACAAAAAGCCACAACACAACAAAAAGCCACAACACATCAAAAACCCACAACACATCAAAAAGCCACAACACAACAAAACCCAAACAACAACAAAACACACAACAAAAGCCACAACACAACAAAAACGCCACAACACAACAAAACGCCACAACACATCAAAAAGCCACAACACAACAAAAAGCCACAACACATCAAAAAGCCACAACACAAAAAAAAGCCACAACAGAAGTGACCGTTGGACTCTATTTTCCGATGGACCAAGCGAAACATTAAAGGATCAAGTGGGAAGTTGAAGAAGAACAAGAATGTGAAAAGTAAAAAACGGAGACGTGAATGAAGTGGGAAACGTAAGTAATCCATGTTTCATTCGTTTGTTCGTTTTTTGTTTTTTTTTCAATATAAAACCAAAAATAAGAAAATTAAAAACAACTATTTTCTTCATTATTTGTCTCCAAAACCAAAGGGAAAAAACTGATAATGATTAATTTTTTCAGTTTTCGATTTTGTGTTTTAATGAAGAATGGAAAAAACGGATAACGACCGTTTCCCATTTTCGGGACTTAAACTGTGATGCCGGACTGAACCAGGACTGAATGAGGACTAAACCAGCACTAAACCAGGACTAAACCAGGATTAAACCGTTTTCAGTCCTGGTCTTGTCCCAGTCTTAGTCCCGGTCTCAATCACAGTCAGGTCCTTGTCTGGTCCCGGCCTCAGTCCTGGTCTGGTCCCAGTCTAAGTCCTGGTCTCAGTCCCGGACTCAATCCTAGTCTCAGTCCCGGTGTGGTTCCAGTCTGGTTCCAGTCTGGTCTCGGACCTGATTTAGTCCTGTTCAGTCCTGGTTCAATCCTGGTTCAGTCCTGGTTTAGTCCTGGTTCAGACCGGTCACATAAACAAAAACGTTATCTGTTTTTTCATTTGGGTTTATAATAAATATAACAAATAATGAAGAAAATAGTTGTTTTTTTGTTTTCTTATTTTTGGTTTTATATTGAAAAATTAACAAACGAATGAAACACGGAATCGCTGTCACTCGTTGTGGCGTTTGTGTTTGTTATGATCCCTCCCGGCTTCCGTAATTTTTCATATAAATATAAATGTAAATATAAATATAAATATAAATATAAATATAAATATAAATCTATCTGGGTCGACAGGACCTACCGCCTCTTCCTCGGAGGAGCAGACAGTTTGAAAACGGCGTCGACGTCCAGGACAACGTCTGCTACGCTCAGGTGCGGCGTAAAAAGCTGAAGGATCGAGAGGCGAAGGCGGACGCTTCCTCCAGACCCCAGTCCCTGTACTCGGAGCTGGACCTGCTGGACAGCCGGTGCCGCTCCCTGCCGCTCCTCCTGAACAGCGGCGAGGAGACGAGCTACAGACTGAGCGTGACCCCCCCTCGACCCGGCAGAGACACGCCCAGCCCCGAGCCCTCGCACCGGCCCGAGCCGTACAGAGCGTCGCCGCAGCCCAGCCCGGAGCCCGGCGCCAGGGCGGACGACGCGGGGGTGTACGCCGAGGTCACCGCGCCGCACCGCCCCGCCGTGGACGACACGTACGAGCAGCTCCCGAAGCTCCCGCTGCTCCCGCAGCTCCTGGACAACGGCGCCCAGTACGAACCCGTGGGACACCTGAGGCTCAAACACGGGACTAAAGTGAGTTCACCACACACCGAAACACAAAAGTAAAACATGACATACTGAAAATACTGAATATATACTGTAGAAAATCTGTCAGTCTGCCCCAGGGCAACTGTGGCTACAATAAACTCTGTTCACATTTACGTCACAAACCAGGAAAACTTTTGGAAACATGCGATGACGACTTCCTTTAGGCTCTGTTCACAGTAGTAAGTCTGACAAAATCTAGGAAAAAAGAGAAAATGTCCCAGTTTTCTTCATCTTTATCTTCTGTCATTTGCCACGTTTACATGAGAGCTTTAATTACGAATAAAAATTATTTAATTCCACTTTCAAAAGTCTAATGAAAATGATTATTCGGAATTAAATGTGTGAAGAATCCCTCAGTTTTCCAGGTAGAATCCACGGCGAGGTGGGTTTACTTCTCATAAATCCCTAGAAAAACAGACATTCTGACTGTGAGCGGGGTCGCCTCTCCACAGATCTGACCTGTGACTCGGTCTGGTTTGGTGCCCGTGAAAAATGACACAATGCCCCTTTCACATTAGCGATTTAGTGTAGAACAAAAGATTTGAAAGTGAGCTGTAAAAATGATGAAGGATTTTTACAAATTTAATTTTCTTCTCGCCATTCGGAATTAAACTTAATTCTGAAGTAAGTGGGTGGTTGATTCTGATTTTAAAGCCGAATTCATTTATTCTTCGATGATGTAAACGTTTATTCTTCTCAAAAATAATCCTGGTGGTTCAGCACATTGCTCATTGTGTCGCCTTTCTGGGCGATCTACACGATCCGGCTCCACCAGTCCTCGCCACAGACTTTCATCTCGAGACCGAGTCAAGACCGAGTCCAAGCTCCTTCAAGACCGAGACAAGACCAAGACAAGACTGAGACAAGACCAAGACAAGACCGAGACAAGACTGAGACAAGACTGAGACAAGACAAGACTGAGACAAGACTGAGACAAGACAAGACCAAGACAAGACCAAGACAAGACCGAGACAAGACTGAGACAAAACCAAGACAAGACCAAGACAAGACCGAGACAAGACTGAGACAAAACCAAGACAAGACCAAGACAAGACCGAGACAAGACTGAGACAAGACTGAGACAAAACCGAGACAAGACTGAGACAAGACCGAGACAAAACCAAGACAAGACCGAGACAAGACTGAGACAAGACTGAGACAAGACTGAGACAAGACCGAGACAAGACTGAGACAAGACCGAGACAAAACCAAGACAAGACCGAGACAAGACTGAGACAAGACTGAGACAAGACCAAGACAAGACCAAGACAAGACCAAGACAAGACCGAGACAAGACTTAGACAAAACCAAGACAAGACTTAGACAAGACCAAGACAATACTGAGACAAGACTGAGACAAAACCAAGACAAGACTTAGACAAAACCAAGACAAGACTTAGACAAGACCAAGACAATACTGAGACAAGACCAAGACAATACTGAGACAAGACCAAGACAAGACCGAGACAAGACTGAGACAAGACTGAGACAAAACCAAGACAAGACTTAGACAAGACCAAGACAATACTGAGACAAGACCAAGACAATACTGAGACAAGACCAAGACAATACTGAGACAAGACCAAGACAATACTGAGACAAGACCAAGACAAGACCGAGACAAGACTGAGACAAGACTGAGACAAAACCAAGACAAGACTTAGACAAAACCAAGACAATACTGAGACAAGACCAAGACAAGACCGAGACAAGACTGAGACAAAACCAAGACAAGACTTAGACAAAACCAAGACAATACTGAGACAAGACCAAGACAAGACCAAGACAATACTGAGACAAGACCGAGACAAGACAGAGACAAGACCAAGACAAGACCAAGACAAGACCGAGACAAGACCGAGACAAAACCAAGACAAGACCAAGACAAGACCGAGACAAGACCGAGACAAAACCAAGACAAGACCTAGACAAGACCGAGACAAGACCTAGTCAAGACCGAGTCCAAGCACCTTCACGACCGAGACAAGACCGAGACAAGACCGAGACAAGACCGAGACAAGACCGAGACAAGACCGAGTCCAAACGCAGTTGAGTCCGAGACAAGACTGAGTCCGAACGCGGTCGAGTCTGAGACAAGCTTGAGTCCAAACTTGATTGAGTCCGAGACGAGACCAAGACCTTAAAAAAATGGTCTCGAGGCCAAGACAGGTCTCGAGAACTACGACACTAGTAACTAAACCAGAAGTCGTCATCGCATGTTTCCAAACGTCTTCCTGGTTTGTGACGAAAGTATGAGTGTGGAGTGAATGAATAAAAGTTACACAATGCGGCTTTAAAATAAGTGATCTAGTGCCAGTTTAATGAAGAGCAAAAGCTCTACATTATCTAAGGATAATAAATATAATAAATAATAAATTCTTACTCTTTTCACATTTTATCGTTTTCCTTTTTTCTTTTCTCAGATTTTTATTTCAGTTTCAGTTTTCCGTGTACATTTTCCGGTTTGTGCAATTCCGTTCTAACTCCGCGTTTCTTTTCCAGAACGACAAATGGAAGCGGATCTTTCCTGAAGTCAAAAGGAAATGGTGACTCTGTGCGTGACACTATTCTGTTTTTATTCTGCTCTGTGAGTGCAGCTTCCTCCTGACCATAAACTGTAAAATAAATAACTTAAATGTAACGATATTTTACTATTAAATGCATTTTTAAATCGCCTGCTTCTCTGATTTTCATAACACGTCCTCTTGAAATGCTGAACTGAGTATTTACACTTAGTTTAGTTTAGTTTATTTGTTTATTTATCAGGGACAATGCACATAAAAAAAAACAACAAAAAAAACATTGAGCTACACAAAAAAGGTCATTATGTTTGTGCAGGTTAAAGTAAAATCTGTCATTTCCAGCTTCAGTCCTTGGACAGGTTGGTGGACATGTCAATAAAATAAAATACAATACAATATATATTAATGCAATCGTTCATCCAGTCAATCATAAATAAATAAATAAAATTAGTAAGACTGATATCAGCACATCTGTTTTTTCTTTTCCCTTTAGTTTGTCTATAATTTTACCACATGATTTTACGATTACCTTGTGCATTTTTAACTATTTCAAGAAAAAAGTTGGCTTTGGCCAGTCTAAGGATAGAAATTGTGAAAATTAGATGTGATGTCTAATTTCTAACTTCTAACTTGTATAGATCTGGTCTTGTTATGTCACCACACGCTCGGTCAAACACAGGTCCAACTGGAAAAACCCAGAAAAACAGACACGAGGCTCAAATCACCTTCTAGACTTTTATTGAAGATTTTCAGCTTCTTCTTCAGCAGCAGCAGGTTGAAAACCTTTAAAATTAACAAATATGTGTAATATTGAAATTACATTTACATTTTAATCTATTTGTATTTTTATCTATTTCCATTTAAATTAAAATAATATTTATTAATATACCTTTTACATCAGGGGTGTCCACATATCTAAACACAGACAAAGCAGAGGGACGATCGAGAGCCGTAGATGCTCAATACAGTTAATGAAATATGTACATGATTAACACGTTAGAATGAGCCATCGTCTTTATTCATGCTAAGATCCTTAAAACCAAACACTAAATATTCAACATTGGCTTTATCAAGGTGGATTTTCAAAAAACTTGCAGTAAAAAAATATTTTTTAATTGATGCGAGGTAATTTGGGCCAAATCACCTGGAAGTCTGAGGGCCAAGAAAAATGTGTCTGAGGGCCGCATTTGGCCCCTGGGCCATAGTTTGGACATGCCTTTTTTACATTTTAACTTAATTAGGCTACAATTTACAGGGGGTGCTAGTGGCAAAAACCATCGTTGTGTCCTTAGGCAAGACACTTCACCCAAAGTGGTGTGTGTGGTTATGGTCGGAGGGACTGATGGTGCAGATTGGCAGCCTTGATTATGTCAGTCTGTCCCAGGGCAGCTGTGGCTATAGTAGTAGTTTACCACCACCAGGTCTGGTGTTGCGTGAATGAATAATGAATTGTAAAATGCTTTGAGTATCTTGAAAGGCGCTGTATAAATGCAATGATTAATTTTAAAAATAATAATCATTTTAAATAATGTAACTGTAACACTTTATAATAACTACACCTTATTTAGCCTTAATAAAGCATGAACAAAGACTTAATTAATAATGAGCAAATACTTCATTAAGAGTCATTCAGCCTAATAACTACTTTATTACTACTTTAATAAGCACTTAACTTGCTTTTACTAAGCCTGTGCTGTAAGTAGTTACTCATAATTATTTCACACTTAGTTAATCATGAACTAACCATTTGTGTGTGTATTTTGTAAATGCATATTTAAGTACAAATTTGAACATTTATTAATGATTAGTAAACCATGAAAGAATGATTTGCTAATACTGTAATGCAATGTATGAAACAAATTGAATAGTTTATTATTTTATATATAATTTTTATGAATTCATAAATAAATAGCTTTTAATTGCTATATAATACACACTTTTAAAAATTAATGCTGCTTTCACTTGGTTAGACTTTAATACATTTTACAACAATAACAATAAACTGGAATAAATCTAAACAATATGATAAAAGGTGTAAGTTTACGCACATCACTGGAGCAAGGCCACAACAGTGAACAGAGAAAGTGAGACAAAGATTAAAAAAAAAAAAAAAAAACTCTTCTTGGGAGCTTCACCTGCTCTGTCTCAGTATATTTAAGAAAGGAGATGGAGTTGCTCTTCTTTAAAATGGGTTTTCATAATAATATTGTGTTCAAGGAGCCTTGAAACTATCTCGACACAATGTGATTTAATTTATAAATGTAAAACTTATACACACCCAACCACAGGGAAGATTATGAAGATTATTTGTCTCACTTTCTAATATATCTAAACAACCAATTTCCAATTAGATTAAATGATTCAGTTTCATTTTTTCACATTTTCAGAACTTAAATTAAATTACTTTTTCAGATTTTATTCATTAATTTACTGTTAACTTAAATTTGGACATAAAATAAATCTAACTAAAGCTTCTCATCGTGTTTCTTTGCGATTAAAATGATGTTCTGAGGCGTGTGAGTCTGTAAAACCAAAGAGATGAAGGTGATGTGTTTTAAACGATGACGTCCGTTCGCGTTCACGTTTAAAGAGGTCGTCCGATCGGCTTTATAAGTGCACGCGTAAATAACCGGAGAACGCTGAGAGGGCGCTTTTATTACACAGCCATCCTTCTTAAAGTCCCATCATGCAGCGGTGCGGGGGTCTTCATCACGGTAAATGTGCAGGCAGTCAGCAGTCAGTGAGTTAAAGTGAATCTAACAGCAGCCGAAGCTTCACGCATCAGCAAAAACACATTATTATTATTATTATTATTATGAAGTGCTGAGGATTACGGACGAAGATTCAACCCTCGACCCTCCAGTTTACAGAGAATCCTGCTCTACGACGGACACGGTTTGTTGTAGGATCAGTCTGTTTGGCTTTTCAGTTTCAGATGACGTCACAAGATTCTACAGGTCAAGAATATTTAACACTGATGAGGCAGATAAATAGAATATTGTCAGCAGTGTTGGGAGTAACGTGTTACAAAAGGAACGAATTACTGTAACGTGTTGCTTTTTGCTCTAACACAGTAATGGAATATCCAGTCTGGCGCCACCTAGTGCCTCTGCTCAATTTCATTTCTCTCCAGACTAGATCAGGAATCAGAATACACTAGACCAGACGTGTCAGACTCAGGCCTGGGGGCCAAATTTGGCCGGCGATATAGTAATATTTTGCTCGTAAGATCATATCAAATATGTATTAGAACTGGTCTGCCAGTATGGCGCATGCACCGCTAATACTACGAATCCCAGAATGCTTTGCAAATGTGTGGCGCATTTTGACTGGTTGTTGGTTTGTGAAAAAAATAAAACATAAATAAATAAATAAAGAGTTCAAAAGCTACAGATAGGCTATAGAGACATCATTTATTTAAAATGTTGTTTAATTATTTTGATTGATTGATTGCATTTATATAGCGCCTTTCAAGATATTCAAAGTGCTTTACAGTTCATTATTCAGTCACTCCACACTCAGTGGTGGTAAACTACTATTGTAGCCACAGCTGCCCTGGGGCAGACTGACAGAAGCGAGGCTGCCAATCTGCACCATCGGCTCCTCCGACCACCACCATCACTCACACACACACCACTTTCATATTAGGCAATGTGGGTAAAGTGTCTTGCCTAAGGACACAACAACAGTTTTTTGCCACTGGCGCCTCCTGTGGCTCCTGATGTTCCCAGTGTCTCCATCCAAGTCCTACCCAGGCCCAGACCCGCTGAGCCTCTGAGATCTGATGGGATCAGGCTTTGACAAGCTGCTATGGCCTTTATATTAAACATTTATTTTATTAAGAAATGGTTTAACATTACATATCTTGAAAGAAGAGAAAACATGCATGGCCCACAACTTAGTCCCAGTTTTTAATTTTGGTCCACTGTGAATTTGAGTTTGACACCCCTGCACTAGACGGTTTAGAAGAACCCCGGAAGTTGTAGACCGAGCACCGACCATCTGATCTGTGAAGTCATGACGTCAAACTCTTTTCTCTGTTTGTGTCCCTTTTATGGAACAGAACAACAGTAAACAAAGTGTCGAGATGGATGTAGACGAAGACAGACATTCTGTGTTGGCAATGATTCCCGAGATCGAGGATTTAAGCCGGAACAAAGAGAATATTTGGTGAATTTTATCAAGGAGAAAAACGTTATTGTCCTTCTTGCTATAGGATTTGAAGCATTACATACGTCACGGCCAAACAGCAGCGACTGGTTAATAAAAAAAAAGTACCTGCCTACTGTCGAGTGAACGAATCCTAATGCTGCGAGGTCACACGGTTTCCACCAAGTGAAACCGGCCGATGAATCAGGTTTGTAATTTTATTATTACCAACCACCAAAAAACACGAGGATGTCCCAGTTTTTTTATTTTGAAATTCTGATCACCTTATATATTAGTCTATGGTCTATATCACGCTTTTCCATACACTTTCCAATTCTGTGCAGTATTAATTTATCTGAAACTACTATCAAAGTCACACCTGCCCTGGAGCAGACTAACGGAAGCGAGGCTGCCAATCTGCGCCAAACTTCTTTATGCATTTCTTCGATGTGGATCACGCTCAAATATAAAATAAAGTACAAATAATCACACGAAAACAACCAAGGGGAAAGTAAAAGCCCTTTATTTATTTGTTTATTTTAATGCATGAACTGATGATACAAAATGAATCCAACATTACAGGAGTTATTTTGTCCAATAACAGAGCTTCTTTTCTTCTTTTTACATGATTTGGTTTAGTACAATATTGCTTAAACTCAAGAACATCTGTAAGCCCTTTTCAAAGACTGAAACTGTAAAAAGAACTGGACGAAGGGAGTGTGACGTCACCTACAGTGTTTGGATCCAGTCAAACGAAGCTCATCGAAGTTGGAGTTATAAAAGCGAAATTTGGAGTTGTGTTTCATTTTAGGAATAGAAACTGATTTACAAAATAGCAAAATAAAAACACCAGGATCATGTAGAACAGGTTAATACGAACATTTTAAGACTAAAATGAGGAGTTTGACAGCAGCAGCTACAGAGAGAGGAGCAACGTTTTTTTCAGTACAAAGTGAATTGGAGCCAGAGTCGGTGGAGTCGGTGTCCTGTCGATTTGAGCTCCCGAGACAGAATGGAGTAATAAGTCACATTTTAAAAGTGTTTTGGTTTTATTGTCTGTTTTGACCAGCTAAACATCGACGTGTGCGTGTTTGATTTGCGGCAGAAAACCTACGTTAGATGATTGAAGAGTTTGGATTTAATATTTGATTTTATCGTTATAATTTTCGTATTTTATTTTGTTTCCATGTGTAGAAAACGTTGTAACTTTGTTTAGCAAGGCGCTGTATAAATAAAATATCACTATATTATAACAGGAAATTCACACTGTAGCCTTAAATATTATATATTTAACGCTATAAATATTTTAGTGTTTCCAGTCATTTCTTTCTCTTATATGGGAAGTGGGAGTTTTATTTGATAGAAGATATCGGCCTGTGGAAATGAGCTCTGCCCAAATTCATACAAATGAGTGAATAAATGTGATTCTACAATTGTCCTGTCGATATGTGCTCCCTTTACTTGAACTTTAACAGTCACATAAAATCAATAACATCTGCAGCCTTTTACCATCTAAAAAACATAGCAAAAATCAAAGGTTTACTGTCGAAATCAGACTTGGAGAAACTTATCCATGCGTTTGTCTCCAGTAGGTTAGATACTGTAATGTTCTGCTCACTGGTCTCTCCAAACGAGCTGTGAGACGCTGCAGAACATCCAGAACATCCAGAACATCCAGAACATCCAGAACGCTGCAGCTCAGGTCCTGACTCGAACTAGGAAGTACGAGCACATAAGTCCTGGTCTCAGGTCTCTGCACTGGCTCCTGTGGCTCAGAGACTTTAAAGCAGCTCTGCTTGTACAAGTGTCTCCATGGCCGAGCACCAAAGTCCATCTGTGACATGTTAGTGTCATATGAACATCTCACACACTCTGAGGAGCTCAGGGACCAACTCCTGCTGGTGCCCAGAGTCACGACTAAACAAGGGGAGTCAGAGTTTCAGGTTCATGCAGCTAAAACCTGGAACAGTCTGAACATGTGAGACAGACTCTTCTGTGACGCTGTTTAAATCCAGACTCAAAACATTTCTGTTTAACTGTGCATATAACTGAAAGGTTTTCATTCCGCACTCTTCTCTCCAATTTATGTCTCTCTTTTTTAATTTTAATCTTCATGATTGTTTATGTTTTGATTTGTTTTTATTATGATTTTAATGTATTTCTTATTCTGTAAAGCACTTTGAATTACTTTGTGTACGAATTGTGCTATACAAATAAACTTGCCTTGCCTTGCCTTAGTTGGAGCCTATTTGAGCAGAATATGACTGTCCAAATCAGGAGTCACCAAACTTTTTTCTCTGGGGGCCACATTACTGCCCCTGACCGTGATGGGGGTCGAGGTCGGGTCGGCCGTATAACAGAATTGTATGACCCTGACGACGCAGATTATATTTTTTGAAAACTGACACACTTTCTTAACATATACATATACAACCCAAAACATGCTACATACATCTCCAGGAAGAACAGTTGAGAGTCAAGGTCAATTAAATAAAATCAATCAATAAACCTGCCCAGGAACGACAACAGGTGGAAATGAGCACTGGTTGTGAGGGTTTCTTTCTGCCTCTCCTACCCCTCCTTTCCCTGCTCCCTCTTCCCTTCTCTCACCTTATTTGGCTTTTCCTGTGCCAGATCGTTCCATCAACCAAGTGGTGAACTACTCAGGCTTTTTGTGTTTTTGAGCATTTTGGAAGGTTTTTGACTCTTACCTGTTTACTTTTGTCCGTTCCCCAGTTCAACCGTTTTGGAGCCAGCCTCATCCCGTTACCACCTGTTCCGCAAGCCTCTGGTCAGCCTCTTCACCTTTGCACTTCAGCCAACCTGGACCCGTCCTACCTCCCCTGGAATCAATCCCCCTGTCCACGACTATTTTGTTAATAAATACTTTTTGTTACTGCATATTTGGTTCCGACCAGTGATTCTTTAACACTGGTGCTACAACCTGGTACAAACATCTCTCCTGTTAATGTAAATTGTCCCTGTCTCGTTAAATAAATAAATACATAAATAAATATCAGACAGCACGGTCCTCACACTGAACAAAAAAATAATCAGTCGTTCACTGTTCTTTGAAAACTCGGCTCTCTCTGTCACCGTTTTCGTCCTTTAACACGAGACATTCAGCTGTCTTTAACTGCACTACAGAACTCTGTCACTGTTTGATCTCGAGTTTGTCAGGTGACGAAAATTCGGCAGCAAATGTAAATATGTCATATAATTATTTAAATATAAATACTTCATATAAATACATATTTTTTATTGAAAAAATCAACAAAATATAAGATGCAGACGTGTTATTATTTGACAAGAAATCATTTTTAAAAATTGAAGTCGGTCAGTGGGCCTTAGTTTGATGATCCCTGGTCCAAATGAACTACGCAGATTCATATAAATGAGTTAAAATTTGACAAAACTAAGGTATAAAGTTTGATCACCGTGTGCAAAAACAGCATCAAACCTGCGTCTCTAATCCAAAGAAATGTGTGTCAAATTGGGAAGGTCTCGTTTAGGGTTTTTTATTATTATTATTTGGTTTTATTGGATCTATACAACTGTAAAATTGTAAGGTAGCTCATTTCGACGGGGTGGTGCGAATCGATAGGCGTCATGTCGATTTAGGCTGCTGGGAGCTCATTTCGACAGAACATCGGAAGTGCACCCATGCTCACTTTGTCCATTTATATAAACTGTCTCTGCATTGGAATTTATGTTGTGGCTCCACTGTTTGAAAAAGTCACTGAATAGATTCTTTCATAGTTCTTATCATTTTAAGAGTCCTTACTTTTTTAACATTATCATTGTCGTTTTTTACCGTCTGCAAACTGAGGACGTGTCGTGGCCAGCACAGACAGGAGGTAGGTGCTTCACTCTTCCACTGAGCCCTTTAGATTCTGATGTGGAAAGTGCTACAAAAAGATAAAACATAAAGTGAGTGAACATTCAAAGATCTTACATGACACAAAACTGGACTCCTGTGAGCTTTAACTCATGTTCTAATGCTGTTACCTCCTCCAAAACAGACCTGGAGTTGTGTTTTTGTATTCGCACAGGATTAGTTTGACCTGTGGATCTTTGATGATTTGTAATAATTGCAGAGGATGCCTGAGATCTTAATCCCGTGTGAATGCTCGATGTCTGTAATTTGTAAAGTAAAAATTCCACCATAATTTACCTACAATATTTCACCAAACACAGATGTCCGGTGATAATACTCGAATCGGCATTTGGTTGTTTGTTGTTGTAATTGTGCCTTTTTAATCTATTTCTTTTCTTTCTGCGTTTTTCTCTTTCAGTCTCCGTCACGGTCAGAAAAATAGAGTCACTTAGTAAAGCCTTCTGCCTGGAGACGTGATCGAAAACGCGGACAGATACCTTTTTAAGATTTTGACATTGGCATCAAGAAAAGCAGTAACAAGGAAGCTGGTTTAAAAAGGACCCACCGCCAGTGAATCAGTGGCTCGACATTATAGACCAGGAGTGTCAAACTCATTTTGTTCCGGGGGTCGTATCCAAACGACTTTGATCCCAAAGTGTCCGGATCAGAAAACTCATGTCATATAAACCCCAAAAATAACAATAAGTTCAAATATTTGTGCAGAGAAACACAAATCTATTACAGAAATCTTTTTTAATTGATGAACTCTTTCTTTGACAAATAATATTATTATGAACAACCTGAAACTTTGAGAAAAATACAATTTCAACACAATGTTTTAACATGAACTTGTATGTAAATAGGAATAAGTCAATTTTTGTTGTAAAATCCTGCACTCAGCTCCACTTTTCTCATGTTGGACATTTTTCTGATGAGGGTGTCACGGTCAACAGTCAAAACGATCGTCCTTTAAGAGCGTTTGGAAAGAGACAAGTCTTCATTTGTGCTGCTCTGGTGGGAGGGGCCACGTACAGAGACGCTGGAGACGCTGCTGTGATAAACACCACAGAAAATTAACAATAGAAAATATAATTCAAATATTTTAGTAGAAAATCAGCCGAGGGCCACATTAAAGGTCTTAGAGGGTCAGATCCAGCCCCCGGGCCGTATGTTTGACACCCCTGATATAGAATAAATATATTCCATGGAACGACTGAGATCACGCATTAGTGATTCAAATTTCAGCACAATCGGACTAAGCCTGTGCAAACAGGAGTGAATCTTGACATTCAAAATTATCCAAAATTTTGATTAAAATTTGCGGCTTCACTGCACGTAAACCGTGACAGTTATCAAAATAAATCCGATAATTTTAGAGGTCACAGAAGTCATGTAAACGGGAAACGGTCGTTATCCGTTTTTTCCATTTTTCATTTAAACACAAAATCAAAAACTGAAAAAACGAATCATTATCTGTTTTTTCATTTTGGTTTTGGAGACAAATAATGAAGAAAACTGTTGTTTTTTCGTTTTCTTATTTTTGGTTTTATTAAAAAAAACAACAACAAATGAACAGAATGACACAAGGATTAAACGACATTAAAACACAGATCTGTAAATGGTGTAATTACCTGAGGAAGTCCGGGGCCCTGGAGATCATGTTCTCAAAGTCTGCGTAGGAGAGTTTACTGTCTCCGTCCAGGTCGGCCTCCTCGATGGTTTTCTCACACACCAGCTGCACCTCCTCCGGCGTCAGCTCCTCCTTCGTCAGTTTGTTCAGAACCTTCTCCAGATCTTCTTTGCACAGGTAATTATCCACATTATAATCTGCGGAGAAGAGCAGAGACACTGATAACACTGTCCTACGATATTGTTCAGTCCATTGATACTTTGCAGCTGATTTTGATGAGCTGAGTTTGACGCTAACTAGAGGCACTGCTCTGTCTGACGCTTTGTAAAGGCCTATTCATACTTCATAAGAACATACAATACCGTTCAAAAGTTTGGGGTCACCCAGACAATTTTATGTTTTCCATGAAAAGTCACACTTTTATTTACCACCACGAGTTGTAAAATTAATAGAAAATATATTCAAGACATTGACAAGGTTAGAAATAATGATTTGTATTTGAAATAATATTTTTTTCCTTCAAACTTTGCTTTCGACAAAAAAATCCTGAATTTGCAGCAATTACAGCATTGCAGACCTTTGGCATTCTAGCTGTTAATTTGTTGAGGTAATCTGGAGAAATTTCACCCCACGTTTCAAGAACACCGTCCCACAAGTTGGACTGACTGGATGGACACTTCTTGTGTTTGTACCGTAAGGTCAAGATGCCCACTTCTCTTTCTACTCTGGTTAGAGCCTTTTTGTGCTGTTCTCTGAAGGGAGTAGTACACACCGTTGTAGGAAATCTTCAGTTTCTTGGCAGTTTCTTGCATGGAATAACCTTCATTTCTAAGAACAAAAATAGACTGTCGAGTTTCACATGAAAGTTCTTCTTTTTCTGGCCATTTTGAGCATTTAATCGACCCCACAAATGTGATGCTCCAGATACTCAACCTGCTCAAAGAAAGGTCAGTTTTATAGCTTCTCTAACCAGATAAACTGTTTTCACCTGTTCTAACATGATGCACAAGGACACTGGAGAGACAGTTCATGGAAATGGGCCTCTGTACACCTATGTAGATATTGCACAAAAAAACAGACATGACGTCATTTTGTCTGGCAGTTCTTGCGGTTTGTTCTCGACACCTCAGCTGAGCAGAACTTTATGCGTCAGTTCTGCAGCGCTGTCGCACGCCTACTTTCTGACAGGTTATTTATGTGTTTGTGGTTTATTTGCTTCCTCGCCGGTGCAGAGCAAGAAGAAAAAGGGATGGTTTTGAGTCACAGCTGGAGGAAATGGTGAGAAATACAAACATCAGTACGACATGACGCTCAGTGACGATAAAGACGCCAAATGGCAAGAAATTCAATTCAATTCAAGTTTATATAGCACATTTAAAACAACTTCAAATTACGTTGCTCACTTTAAGTAATTTAATGGATTACGTTACAAACTACATTTTGGGGTATGTAATCTGTAATCTGTAGGGGAATACATTTTAAAAGTCACCTTCCCAACACTGTGCTTGAGTTATACACTGTGTCTTTACCATATATTTTGAAGGCGTATATTGCTTTGAGTTCCCTCGGGGCCATTTCGCTGAGCACTGAGAACATGTCCACAAACTCATTAAAGCTCAGATTCCCCGCGCCGTCTTCAGAGAATGACTCTACGATCCGGGTACGGAACGGGTTTTCCTGCACATAAACACATATGGGAAAATGTGTGTTTGATGAGAAAGACAAAAACCAATGAAACTTTTTATGGTGCGTGTAGAAGTTGAGTAACAACTAAACACAAAAACACTTAACAAATAAATGCATAATTTCCTTTCTTATGCTGTTACATGAGTACACAGCTGAATATCTGAGTGATGTGTCGGTTGTGAACATTCCGGTTCTTAAAGCCGACTCTTTGAAGTGAACGACTTTAGCCGGCTTCTCGTTGGGAGTCGATTTAGTTTTTTTAGAGTGAACACGAGAGACGGAGGGAGAGCGAGCGGGACAGAGAGAAACAGAAAACAAAAAACGCATTAAAATTTTGACATATTTCAATGCAATATGCAGTTCAAAGGCAGAGTGTTGATTGTGTAAAGTGAAAACAAACATATCCAACAGGCTCCACAAATAAATAAATTGAAAGGTTGACTAACTGAGATGGGTCTTTTTATACTTTTTTATATGGCAAAGGAGAAAAATCAGCTTGTGGACTCGACAAAAGTTTGTTTAGTTGAAGACGTTTCGCGGTTCGTCCAAGCTGTTTCTTCAGTTCTGGTCAGACGCTGGTGGACACTTCCTTATATCTGTCTGCAGGGAGGAGCTAACTACACTGAAACTACTCTGAAACTAACACACACACTTGTTTACAGTTTCTGTTTGTTAGTTAGGCCTGTTCATCTGTACTAACAGTGGGGTCTCTTGTTCTCTTGTTTGTTTTGAGTACAGATCAACAGGCCGTGCTAATGAACAGAAACGGTAAACATGTAGGTGTGTTCGTTTCAGAGTAGTTTCAGTGTAGTTAGCTCCTCCTTTCAGACAGATATAAGGAAGTGTCACCAGCGTCTGACCAGAACTGAAGAAGCACCTTGGATGAACTGAGAAACGTCTTCAACCAAACAAACTTTTGTCCAGTCGACCAAACAAACTTTTCTCCTTTGCTGTGGATTCTACCTGAGCGACTGAGGGATTTCTCACATACATTTTTATACTTCATAATTTATTTAGTAGCACTCTGTTCGGAAAATAAAGCCATATAAAGGATAAACATTTGATGTCACGTTTTTTTTTTTTTACATTAGTATACAATTCATTTTACACACAGTTTTGCTTTATTTTTGGTGATAAATTAATTTAAGAAGCAGAAAATCTCAGGAGCCATCTTCATAATAAGCAGAGACAAAAGAACCGTCTCTCCAAAAAGAGGTGAAATTCTCATCTCTAGAATATCTGTAGGGTAGTTTATCCAAGCTGAACTGTGAGCGTTTGGAGTTTGGGACACTGACATGATGACAGATTTTTCATTTGCTAAAACGTGCCACTGAAGAAGCAAATACTCGGTTATAAATCTGATGACTGTGTTTGTATTTGAACCACAAACTGTCCTTTCTACAAGACAGTTTTACGTTTTGTTCACTAAGTTACATTTTTCAAACGTTTCATCTTGTGAATAGTTTTGCAAAAGATCTGACAGATTTATAAAAGTTTCAGAAAACACGCCAAAGTGATCGAAAAGCTGTAAATCACAAGCACGTGCAGTAAACGCTCGGCGGGAGAGTTGTACCTTGAGCTCGGGCATGTTGACGATCAGAGCCGGAGGGATTTTACAGTCAGGGTCGTTGGTGTAATCCATCGGAACCAAATGTGGAGCCAGTTCATGATATCGACCGTGGAGCCTGCAGCAAAAACACAGCTGTGATTTAAGCACAAAAACACAAACAACTCCCATACAAAAAAATAATAATAACATGTCGTCCAGTACACACAAGTAGAGTCTTTATATTTTAAACATATGGCATATTTTAATACTGTACTTTTCAAATTCATCCTCATAATTGTGGATAAAATCAGAGTGAGATTAAACATTTTTAATTTAGTTTAAACTCTGAACCTAAATTTAATTCTTTAAAATCTCAAAATAAAACTCCACAAAACAGTTCATATTTTCATATATATTCAGTGTTGTGGAGTAACAGATTACATGTACCGGAGTTATGTAATAAGAGTACAAATTATGAGTAACTGTATTCAGTTACAGTTACTGTTTCAGTGAGTGGTAATTGGATTACAGTTACTTTGTTGAAATAAATGGGTTTTTTTTTTCACATTTTGGGTTGCATTTTTTTTTTTTTTTTTTTTTGGTAATTCCACTCATTGCCAGAAACTAAACCAGGTCTAAACCAGGACTAAAACCAGGTCTGAACTAGATCTAAACCAGGTCTAAAACCAGGCCTAAACTGGACCTAAACCAGGTCTAAACCAGGAATAAAACAGGACTAAAATAGGTCTAAACTAGATCTAAACTATGTCTAAACCAGGTCTAAACCAAGGACTAAACCAGGACGAAAACCAGGACGAAAACCAAGTCTAAACTAGATCTAAACCAGGACTAAACCAGAATTAAACCAGGACTAAACCAGGTCTAAAACAGGAATTAACAGGACTAAATCCTGCTGTGTGGACGTGTTTCTTCTTCTATCAATAATATTTTTAATTTGGTTCAGTAAAGTCTGGACTTTTTATTTTCTTTTATCAGACAAAACATCTTATGTTACGATTTCCTCGTCTTTGCTTCTCTACAGCAAATCAAGTAATCCAAAGTATTCAGATTACATTACTCACTTTAAGTAATTTAATGGATTCTGTTACAAACTACATTTAGGTGTATGTAATCTGTAATCTGTAGGGGATTACATTTTAAAAGTCACCTTCCCAACACTGTGTATGTGTTTTGTGGCTCGTGAAGAACCTGGTAGAATCTCCAAACACGAGTTCTCACGTTGACACTTGCTGAAATTTGACCTTTGGTTTGGGATGGTGTAAAACAACACGATTATGAAACTTTACTGGAGAAGATTACGTCACTGTTCCGCTGAACTTAAAGCCCCAGAGCACACAGACCTTTGATAAACGTCCAACTGGAGTTCACATAAACGTCAGAGCTGTAGAGATGCAAATGATCTTATATTCATTTAAAAATATGTCCTGATTTCAAATATCCTTCATGTTTTTCACTGGGGATTGAATATTCAACACTGATGAATGTTCAAACTTATAAAACCTTCTAGAGGGTTCAAGAAACTGATGAAATTACCGAAAATATTAGTAATTTCTTCCTTAAAAAACACTTACCTGAGGATTTCTTTGCGGGTGAAGAAAGTACAGTCCTGAAAAACAAAGTGTGATTCATTCATAAAAGTTCTATTCTGTGACTTAAAGTTAGCCAGGCTGGTGCCACCTAGTTATTTAGGCCTAGCCATTATTGACAGGGTGACAAGCTTTTCAAAATAAAAAAACTGGACACCAATGGTTTGTGGTGGTTGGTAATAATAAAATTGTGAAACGAGTGTGTAATTAAGGAAAACAGTTCTGCGCTTGACACATTAATATCTAAGGTGAGTCAGTACAGTCACATTTTCTTTGAGTTTTTGTCATTTTTAAGCAGCTTTTCTATATTTTACCTAAACAAATAACAATGTATGTCTTGCTTTACTGTTGGAAGGGATCAGATTGGTCAAAAATAGAGATACATGGGACATTTCTTGTATTTGGATATTTGTATTTGGACAAATTTAGATTTTTTTTTAAATTATTATTATTATTATTTATTTATTTATTTTTTTTTATTTGGATTTTTTGGATTTTTTTTTTTTTTTTGGGGGGGGGGGATCTTTGGATTTTTAAATTTTATTAATTAATTAATTAATTTATTTTTTTTTTGGAATTGGATTTTTTAGATTTTTTTTTTTAATTTGGATTTTTGGATTTTTTTTTTAAATTTGGATTTTTTTCTTTTTCTTTTTTGGATTTGGATTTTTAAAAAAAATATTTGGATTTATTTATTTTTTTTATTTGGATTTTTGGAATTTTTTTGGATTTGGATTTTTGGATTTTTTGGATTTTTTAAATTTTTTTTTGGATTTGAATTTTTGTATTTGGACAAATCACTGGTTTTGTATAAATCTGCAGGGACGGGGGACACAGGACTCAAAACTGGGACTGTCCCGGGTACATAGGATAGGGATGCGTGGACGTACAGCATGTCTAACTCCATCTGTTTGAAACCCGCTGGTGTAGACCGGCGGTGGGTGGATCAGGTTACAGGAGCGAGCGGCGGCACTCGAGACGACTCCTGAGAGTAGAGTTTCAACATGTGTCGCAAACTCCCATTAAAAATACATCTGCACCTCATTTCATAACATTTCATAACATTTCCTAATCTTACAAACACAACCGCAACTGCCGACGTTTAGAAAAAAACGGCTGAAGGCTGAAGTTTTAATATTTTAATCTTCTGTTTTTTCAGAGATGATCATGGGTCACGTGAGGTTTTGGTTAATTTGTGGACTAATAAACCTTGTCCAGGACTAAAACCAAGGACTAAACCAGGAGTAATCCAGGACTAAAACCAGGAATAAACCCAGGACTAAACTAGAACTAAAACCAGGACTAAACCAGGACTAAAACCAGAACTAAACCAGGACTAAAACCAGGACTAAACCAGAACTAAACCAGGACTAAAACCAGGACTAAACTAAACTAAAACCAGGACTAAACTAGAAGTAAAACCAGGACTAAAACCAGAACTAAAACCAGAACTAAAACCAGAACTAAACCAGGACTAATCCAGGAGTAATCCAGGACTAAAACCAGGAATAAACCCAGGACTAAACTAGAACTATAACCAGGACTAAACTAGAACTAAAACCAGGACTAAAACCAGAACTAAACCAGGACTAAACCAGGACTAAAACCAGAACTAAACCAGGACTAAACTAGAACTAAAACCAAAACTAATCCAGGACTAAACCAGAACTAAACCAGGACTAAAACCAGGACTAAACTAAACTAAAACCAGGACTAAACCAGGACTAAAACCAGGACTAATCCAGGACTAAAATCAGAACTAAACCAGGACTAAAACCAGGACTAAACCAGAACTAAAACCAGGACTAAAACCAGGACAAATTCAGGACTAAAACCAGAACTAAACCAGGACTAAAACCAGGACTAAATTAGAACTAAAACCAGGACTAAACTAGAACTAAAACCAGGAGTAAAACCAGGACTAAACCAGAACTAAAACCAGGACTAATTCAGGACTAAAACCAGAACTAAACCAGGACTAAACCATTTTCTACTATTTAAAAGAGAAGTTATTTTGTTTTAAACTGTTAAAAGCGCCCATATTATTCTATTTTCTGATCTCTGTTATCTGGATCTTGTGTTTTTTTTTTTTCATTCACACATGTTTAAAACCCAAACCCAAACTGAAAACACTCAAAAAAGTCGATTTACCTGGTAGGCGTCCAGCTGCTCATCGGTGAAAATGGTCTGTTTATTCCCCATCTTTCTCCTGGAGCTTTGAGTTTGTTTTTAGTTTGTGCATCACAGAATGTCCAGAGCCTCCTCCTGTGTGAAAACATTTAGGATCCGGGTAAAAAGGACCCTCTTAGAATCCACCGGTCTTCATCGTAAAATCCGTGGAGAGTAAAAACACATCGGCGGCAGTGGTAGTGGAGCAGGTTCTTCTGAGCGTCGTGCGGAGTCCTGGAGCGTCTGAGGGAATGTGGACGGAGCGAGCGCACGCCGGCTCTTTAAGCAGCGGCCGAACAAACCAGAAGGAGCGGAAATAAATAAATAATGTGCTCGAACCGACGGAGGGCGGAGAGTGTAATCTCAAACTGCCATTAACCAAATAGTCTTACTCACAGAACAGATAGCGAGGATTCAGGGTTTTAAATATTCTAGACTACAGCCTCATTGGAGAAAAATGTGCCGTATAAATGCTCCTGGGCTTTGTTTTTTGTCTAAAGTAAGTGAGTAAAGCCTTTTAAATTACAACAGTATGTTTACAAGGAGGTAACAGATAGGAGGGTGCAAAAATACTGCAATATCGATATGATACAGTATCGATATCGGGAGCTGCTGTATCGATATATCACCGAGAGTATTTTTGGCTACAGTTTTGTTGATTGTTTAGAGCAGACATGTCCAAACTATGGCCCGTGGGCCAAATGTGGCCCTCAGACAAATTTTTCTTGGCCCTCAGACTTTCAGGTGAATTTGCCCAAATTACCTTGCATCAATTAAAAATATTTTTTTTACTGCAAGTTTTTTGAAAATCTACCTTGATAAAGCTCATATTTAATATTTAATATTATAATATTTAGTATGAATAAAGACTGATCATTCTAACATGTTAAACATGCTCACATTTAAATTATTCCCTGTACTTGAGCATCAGTCTACGGCCCTCGATCTGCCTCTGCTTGGTCTGGGTTTGGATGAAAAAAGTTTGGACACCCCTGGTTTAGAGGAAGGAAACTTTTTTATGTGACATATTTAACATTTTCACAGTTTTGATGAGTAAAACGGGTGTTTTCCCATGATTTATCCTTTATTTTTTATTGATTTTTTTATTGATATCGAATCGATTTGAAATATATTGTATTGAATCGTGCACTGTATCTCTCCTCTCCTCCTCCTTCTCACACAATATTAACTTTTCCAAACATTTCCCCCCTCATGTCCTGCACTGCCCTCTGTCTTTACCCTTTATTTACCCTCTTCCTCTTCTCCATCCTCTCTCCTCTCTCTCTTCCCCGGGCTGATCCTGGAGCAGATCCTGATCCTGATCCTGGAGTCTGACTCTGAGTCTGAGTCTGAGCTCGGGATCCACCTGCAGTGCGGCTCCTCTCCGGCTCCGGCTCCTCTCCTGCTCCTCCTGCACACATTTTACCTTTTTTAACTGCACCAAACCGACACCTCACCTCCTTCACCTGAATGTTTTAACCCCGGAAAAAAAAGCCACAGCTGCCTGAAACATGGAGCAAAAACGCGACAAGAGCCACGGTGAGTCCCGATCTGCTGCTGTTGCTATGCTAGCGGCTATGTTAGCACCGCACCAAACTCAGACTTACCGCGGACTTAATTCACAAAAACACCGCGTTATTAAATAGAAAAATATACTTAAATTTACCAAAACGCGTCATGAATAATTAAATGTAAAAACGCGCAAAGATAGAAACATGTTGCTGCTTGTAGTTCGCCGCGGTCGCCCCCTGCCGGGCTAACAGCGAACTGCACCCAGTGGATTTATTTTTATTTTTGTTTGTTTTAATTCATATTTTGTCACTTATAAACAATGTTAGGAAGGTTTTTTTTTTTTTTTGTTTTTTTTTAATGTATTCCTTTACAGATTACAGATTACATACCTCAAAATGTAGTTTGTAACGGAATTCATTAAATTACTTAGTAAGTGAGTAATGTAATCTGAATACTTTGGGTTATTTGATATTGTCGTGCTTTTTAAAACTACATGAATGTTTAGTCCTGGTTTAGACCTGGTTTAGACCTGGTTTAGTTCTGGTTTTAGTCCTGGTTTAGACCTGGTTTTAGACCTGGTTTAGACCTGGTTTAGACCTCCTTTAGACCTGGTTTTAGTCCTGGTTTAGTCCTGGTTTAGTGGTTTAGTCCTGGTTTTTAGTCCTGGTTCAGTCCTGGTTTAGTCCTGGTTTAGCCCAAAATGTAAAAACAGGAAAATACCACCATGTAATCCATTTATTTCAACAAAGTAACTGTAATCCAATTACCACTCACTGAAACAGTAACTGTAACTGAATAATTACTCCAGTACATGTAATCTGTTACTCCCCAACACTGATTATAAATACAGACTCTAGGGTGACAAGATTTTCACATTTTAAAACTGGGACAGACCCGGTTTTGGATGTTTGGTGTAAATAAAATAGAGAAAATAGTTTGTAAAATTGTGCATTTTCGTGTCAGAATCTGAGGAACTTCTGATGCTGCATTTTTTATTTTTATTTTTTTTTGCTTTATGGTCATTCCCAAGCACAGATTTTTTTTGTATTTTGGCAAAGCAAATAATAATTTATGCTCCTCTTTACAGTTGGTGGGGATTAGATTATTCAAAAGTTGTGATTGTCTTGTTTTAGTCCTGGTTTAGACCTGATGTAGTCCTGGTTTAGTCTTAGTTTATCCACGATCTCGTCCTTTCAGTCATTACCCAGAGCTCATGACCAGAGGTGAGGGGAGGAACGAAGACTGTAAATCGAGAGCTTTGCATTTGGACTCAGCTCCTCTTCACCACAACGGTCCGATACAGCGACCGCATCACTGCAGACGCTGCACCTGTCCACCTGTCAATCTCACGCTCCATCCTCCCCTCACTCGAGAACAAAACCCCGAGAAATTTGAACTCCTCCACTTGAGGCAGTGGACGAGTCTTTCCCATCCGGAGAGGGAAAGACTCCTTTTTCTGGTCGAGAACCACAGCCTCGGACTTGGAAGAGCTGATCCTCATCCCAGCCGCTTCACACTCAGCTGCAAACATTAAAAAAATTTAAAAACACAGCGGAGCATTTGCTGTATTACCACGTGACATCACAAGGTGGAACAGAGTGTTTTCTGTTTGTTTTGAGAGAAAAACTGAACCTAAATATGTGTGAAAGAAACAAAACACAACTCCAGGTCTGTTTGTGATGAGGAAACGACATTAGAAATCAAAATAAATCAGAAAATAGCACGGTATGTACCTTTTAAAACACATACAGTTGTACCCAGGTTGGTTTGGTTTTACTGATGAATGAAACACGTAATGCCAGAAATAGCTCTCCTCATCCTCCTCTCTTCATCCGTTTGAGCCGTGATCCTCTCCAGATGTGACAGCACTGCCACAGCTTATATATTCACTATCAGAAGATTATTGTTCATATTTATTTATTTATTTATTATTATTTTTCTTTATGGCAACCCCAAAACACACTTACACATACATCATACAAGAATGTACATACATATACATTTTGACATTTTTCATTATATTATTCTATTAAAAAAAATAAACAGAAAACAAAAGATATAAGGGAACAGATAGGTTATAAATAAAACTAAGGCTGTTCACAAAAAAAGGAAAGAAAAAGAAATCTGAATAGAAGAGGTGTATATGTACATAGATATGTAAAAGATATAACCCTCCTAATTTTTTATTATTTTTTTTATGATAATATTAATGTAAAACAATATTATTATTATTATTGTTGTTATTATTGCATTTTTTTGTATTCTTTGTATTATTATTATTATTTGTATTTTATTTATTTTATTTTATTGTGCATATATGGGTTTAGATTATGATTTGTATAGAAAATGTTTATCTTAAAGCTTAAAAAAGTATAAAAAAAAAAAAAAAAAGAAAATATTTAAATGTAAATTTGACTGTACAGCTCTAAAATGTAGAAACACACAACCACCCACCTCTTTTTTATATTTATTTATTTATTTATTTTTTGTTTGGTATTTTTTGTTTGTTTTTTTGTATGTATGTTAGTCTTATATTTGTTTTATTTTATTTTATTTTTTTGTATATATATTAGTCTTATATTTCGTTATTTATTATGTTTATCTTGTTATTAATGTGCTGGGTATTCCTTCCCTCTAAAATGACAAAAATTATTTTAAAAAAAGATAAATAGAAAAATATGATTATCTTTTTTTTTTTTTTTTTTTTTTTTTTTTTACTTTGAGGATCTTCATCACCTTTCGATTTCATCCATTTTTTTTCATCTTTTGATTTTACCTGATTCTTGTTGTGGGCTGTCTTGGCTGATCTTCATCGCGTGGCTCGGGATACCTCTGGATGGAAAACAGGTTGTGGTCCTCTAGTATAAAAGGACCATGTGTTTCCTATAGGGGATCCACTCTCAGCCTCCAAACTATGCACTGGAGAGGAGAATCCTAGTCACCTCGGATTCAGGAAGCAGTGTTTTTCGTCTTGGAACACTGACCAGCTCTTCTCCATCGGAGGGTTCATGAGTTTGCCCAACCAGTCCACATGTTTTTGTGGATCTGGAGAAGCATTTCGACCGTTGTCCCTCGTGGTGTCCTGTGGGGGTGCTCTGGGAGTATGGGTCCGGGGCCTTTGCTAAGGTGTCCGGTCCCTGTATGACCGGAGCGGAGCTGTCGCATTGCGGCAGTAAGTCGACCTGTTCCCGGTGCATGTTGGACTCCGCCAGGGCTGCCCTTTGTCACCGGTTCTGTTCATTGTATTATGGACAGAATTTCTAGGCGCAGTCAGGCCGGAGGGGGTCCGGTTGGGGACCACAGGATTTTCATCTCTGCTGTTTGCGGACGATGTTTCCTGTTGGCTTCATCGAACCAGGACCTGCAATGTGCACTGGGGCGGTTTGCAGCGAGTGTGAGCGGCTGGATGATCTTTCCAAGTCCGAGGCCATGGTTCTCGACCGAAAAAAGGTGGCTTGCCCTCTCCGGTGGGGTGGGGAGTCTTTGCCTCAAGTGAGGAGTTCAAGTATTCGGGGTCTTGTTCACGAGTGAGAAGGACGGAACGTGAGATTGACAGGCGATCGGTGCAGCTTCGGCGTGATGCGGTCGCTGTATCGGACCGTTGTGGTGAAGAGGGAGCTGATCGAAAGGCGAAGCTCCGTTTACGGTCAGTCTTCCTACTCTCACCTATGGTCATGAGCTCTGGGTAGTGACCGAAAGACGAGATCGTGGATACAAGCGCTCGAAATGAGTTCCCTCCGCAGGTGGTGGGCGCTCCCTTAGAGATAGGGGAGGAGCTCAGTCACACGGGGAGCTCGGAGTAGAGCCGCTGCTCCTCCACGTCGAGAGGAGCCAGTGAGGTGGCTCGGGCATCTGTTCCGGATGCCTCCTGGGCGCCTCCCTCGGGAGGTGTTCGGGCATGTCCCCCGGGAGGAGGCCCCGGGGAAGACCCAGGACCGCTGGAGGGACTATTCTCTCGGCTGGCCTGGAACGCCTCGGGTCCCCCTGGGAGGAGTGTTAAGAAGTCTAGCTGCTCCCCGCGACCCGGCCCGGATAATTTAATGAACAATTATCTTTTTTCTATCTTCTTTTTTTCTATTTTTTATATATATCTTTGCTCAGTCCATCCTCCACTCCACAAACAAACCTTCCAGCGCTTTCTGACTCACTCTGACTGTTGCATTTTAATGAACTCGGACTTCGCGGTCGGATGCAATATTGAATTTGTCCGTATATTATGCTCCGACCTACTTTCTATTCTTATATTTTCAGAAGGAGACCAGGAGAGGATCTCGCCGGTGCTCCTCAAGTCACGCACGGGAGAATTTGACCTGGAATCAATACTTTTTCTAAAACTGAGAAATCTGGGTGAGCTGCAATACATGTTATTTGTTTTAATGTAATTTTAAAAGCTATTGATACTTTTTTAGTCGCATTCTCTGGGGGTGTGACGCTAACTCAGTGTTTGGAGTAACGTGTTATAAAAGTAACAAATTACTGTAATGTGTTGCTTTTTGCTGTAACGCAATAATGTGGCGTTACAGGGAAAAATGAATATTTTACTCGGTACAAATGTGAGTATCGCGTGTCACGATGCATTTTTAACCTGGATTGAAGTGGTGGATTTTTCTTCAAACAAATTCGCTAAAATCACCACGATATCGGCAGATATCCGTCAGGTGACCGCGGGCAAAAGGACCGACGCAGAACTCCACAATCCACGAGGGCGAAGAGCAGCCAACGCCCGATCGAGCTTTGCGGAAACCCTGTCTGCAAAGCGCTTCCAAGTTCTAGTCCAAGATTAGTCCTAGTTTGGTCCTGGTTTAGACCTGGTTTAGTCCTGGTTTAGTCCTGGTTCAGTTCCGGTTTAGTCCTCGGTTCAGTCCTCGGTTTAGTCCTCGGTTCAGTCCTGGTTCAGTCCTGGTTCAGCTCTGGTTTAGTCCTGGTTCAGTCCTCGGTTCAGTCGTGGTTTAGTCCTGGTTTAGACGTGGTTTAGTCCTGGTTTAGTCCTGGTTTAGACCTGGGTCATTTCTGGTTTAGACGTGGTTTAGTCCTGGTTCAGTCCTGGTTTAGTCCTCGGTTTAGTCCTGGTTTAGTCCTGGTTTAGTCCTGATTTAGTCCTGGTTCAGTTCTGGTTCAGTCCTTGTTCAGTCCTCAGTTTAGTCCTGGTTTATTCCTGGTTTAGTCCTGGTTTAGTCCTGGTTCAGCTCTGGTTTAGTCCTGGTTCAGTCCTCAGTCCAGTCCTGGTTTAGTCCTCAGTCCAGTCCTGGTTTAGACGTGGTTTAGTCCTGGTTCAGTCCTGGTTTAGTCCTGGTTCAGTCCTGGTTCAGTCCTGGTTTAGTCCTCGGATCAGTCCTGGTTTAGTCCTGGTTCAGTTCTGGTTTAGTCCTCGGTTCAGTCCTGGTTTAGTCCTCGGTTCAGTCCTGGTTTAGTCCTGGTTCAGTTCTGGTTTAGTCTTCGGTTCAGTCCTGGTTTAGTCCTGGTTCAGTCCTCGATTCAGTCCTGATTTAGTCCAGGTTCAGTCCTTGGTTCAGTCCTGGTTCAGTCCTGGTTTAGTCCTGGTTTAGTCCTGGTTCAGTCCTGGTTTAGTCCTGGTTCAGTTCTGGTTTAGTCCTGGTTCAGTCCTGGTTCAGTCCATATTCAGTCCATATTCGGCGCAAAACTTCATCATCTTCGCAGTTATTTTGGTGAGAGTAATATAAAAGTGCTGCAATAGTCGTGTCATATTTTACATTTTAAACACAGTAATATTGTAATGTAACGAATTACTCTGAAATGACAGTAATGAGTAATAAATAACTCATTACAGTTTTAAAGTAACTTGCCCAACAGTGCGCTAACTGGAGGCTCTGCTCTGTCTGAACCTCTGTTAGACTTTAATCTGATCTTTATTTTAACACAATCTGAAAAACCGGAAAAAGCAGATTTAGTTGGAACTACAGCAGGCAAAATGCTCTGTAAAGCATCTATAAGTGTCCAGAAAAGTGCTTTATAAAACTGATGCACTATTATTATTATTTATTTAGATGATTTGTGCTCTTAAACAAGCATTCATTAATCGTTTTTCAGTTAATCAAACACCCGAGCAGGACCCTGAACGCTCGTACTGATCACAGACTTCTTAAAATGTGCTGTTTAAATCAATTTTATATTATTTCTTGATTTTTTTTTAGAAAATATTAAGACTTGACTGTGTTTGCTGAACGTTCCACCAAAGAGGTACATGTAGAATCTGTGTGTCATTTGTTCATTCGTTTTTCAATATAAAACCAAAAATAAGAAAAAGAAATAACAACTGTTTTCTTCATTATGATTCGTTTTTTCAGTTTTCGATTTTGTGTTTAAATGAAAAATGGAAAACACGAATAACGACCGTTTCCCGTGCTGGATTTTTGCGCTGCATACGGACTGAACCAGAACTGATCCAGGTCCAGGATCAGAGCGGGACCAGAGCAGACTCCGAGCCTCCGCGGGGTCCGAGCCTCAGCTTCGAGCTCTGGCCCTGCCGTGGGCTCTGAGCCTCCGGTCTGGTCCCGGTCTGATCTCGGTCTCAGTCCCGGTCTAGTCTCAGTCTGGTCCCGGTCTGATCTCGTCTCAGTCCCGGTCTAGTCTCAGTCTGCGTCCCGGTCTGATCTCGGTCTCAGTCCCGGTCTGGTCTCAGTCTGGTCTCTGATCTCGGTCTCAGTCCCGGTCTGGTCTCAGTCTGGTCTCGTCTCTCAGTCTGTCTCGCTCTCTGGTCTCGCTCTGGTCCCGGTCTGGTCCCAGTCTGGTCTCAGTCTGGTCTCGCTCTCAGTCCCGCTCTTGTCCGCTCTTGTCCAGTCTCAGTCTGGTCTCAGTCTGGTCTCAGTCTGGTCTCAGTCTGGTCTCGCTCTGTCTCGCTCTGGTCTCGCTCTCAGTCCCGGTGGTCCCGGTCTGGTCCCGGTCTGGTCCCGGTCTGTCTCGGTCTGGTCTCGGTCTGGTCTCGGTCTCGGTCTGGTCTCGCTCTCAGTCCCGGTCTGGTCCCGGTCTGGTCTCAGTCTGGTCTCGCTCTCAGTCCCGCTCTTGTCTCTGTCTGGTCTCAGTCTCAGTCTTCAGTCTCAGTCTCAGTCTGGTCTCAGTCTGGTCTCGCACTCGGTCCCGGTCTGGTCCCGGTCTGGTGCCGGTCTGGTGTCGGTCTGGTGTCGGTCTGGTGCCGGTCTGGTCTCAGTCTGGTCTCCGCTCTCAGTCCTGCTCTTGTCCCGGTCTGGTCCCAGTCTGGTCCCAGTCTGGTCCGGTCTGGTCTCAGTCTGGTCTCAGTCTGGTCTCGCTCTCAGTCCTGCTCTTGTCCCAGTCTGGTCCCAGTCTGGTCCCAGTCTGGTCCCAGTCTGGTCCCAGTCTGGTCCCAGTCTGGTCCCAGTCTGGTCCCAGTCTGGTCTCGCTCTCCGTCCTGCTCTGGTCCCGGTTTGGTCCCGGCCTGGTCTCAGTCTCGGTCTGGTCCCGGACCTGGATCAGTCCTGGTTCAGTCTGTATGCAGCGCAAAAGTCCGGCATCGCAGTCACAGAAGTCACGTAAACGGGAAACGGCCGTTATCTATTTTTTCCATTTTTCATTTAAACACAGAATCGAAAACTGAAAAAAACGAATCATTATCTGTTTTTTTCATTTTGGTTTTGGAGACAAATAATGAAGAAAACAGTTCTTATTTTTTTCATTTTCTTATTTTTGGTTTTATACTGAAAAACGAATGAAAGAACGACACACAGATTATGTAGAACACCCCCAGTGCGATCTGTTAACTTGTACGTTCATTTATCTGACAGGGATACATGATCTCGGCTGCATCGGGGAGTGCATTAATCTGGAGCGACTGGACCTGTCTGGAAATAACATCACAAGTTTAGCTCCGTTGGCGTCGCTTCGGCTTCTGTCCGTTCTGAACCTGTGTGCGAACAGGATTTCCAACGTAGGTCAGTGATTTCTGTGTTTTATTTTACCCCAGATTCATAGAGTTCGGTGCTTTGTTTGTTGATTCTGTAAAAGTCTGTGCTGTTTCTCAGTCCTCTGTGTTACTCTGACAGACCATGTGTTTCTTACTACAAAGTTTACTGAAAGCTACACATATTAAAAAAAAAAATTAGACTGATGTAATTTGCCATCAGAGTCCTGCACGGGTCCATTTAAACCAAGCATGTCCAAACTATGGCCCGGGGGCTAAATGCGGCCCTCAGACAAATCTTTCTTGGCCCTCAGACTTCCAGGTGATTTGGCCCAAATGACCTCGCATCAATTAAAACATATTTTTTTACTGCAACTTTTTTCTCGATACAGTGCGCTTTCGATTCGATATGATATATTTCAGATCGATTCGATACAGTTCAGTAAAAAATAAAGTTTAAATCATGGCTGTGATACTAAAAGTCTTTGTTAAACCACTTCTTGTGCAACATTCATATGAAACACAAACGTTTTAATCATCAAAACAGAGTCAAAATGTCAAATGTGTCACATAAATGAGTTTCCTTTCACTCCACAAGCAACAAAACTGTAGCACTGTAACAAAATAATTTAGTAAACCATGTAAAAATACTCTTGGTGATATATCGATACAGTAGCCCACGATATCGATACTGTGTCATCACATTAAACGATATGATATATCGATATTCCGATATTTTTGCACACCCCTATTAAGGACTGATGGTTCATTCTAAAGTGTTAAACATGCACATATTTCAATTATTCCCTGTCCTGAGCACCAGTCTACAGCCCTCGATCAGCCTCTGCTTCGTCTGTGTTTAGATATGTGGCCCTTGATGAAAAAAGTTTGGACACCCCTGATTTAAACGGTTTCACTGTCTTCAGTACAAACACAAATTCACTGACAAAACCCGACTGTCGTCACTTTACAGACTTTATTTACTGAGCAGAATGTAGTTTGTACCGTAATCCATTAAATTACTTCTAGTGAGTAATGTAATCTGAATACTTTGGATTACTTGATTTTCTGTAAAGAAACAAAGAAGAGGAAATCGTAACATAAGATGTTTTATCTGATAAAAGAAAATAAAAAGTCCAGACTTTACTGAACCAAATTAAAAATATTATTGATAGAAGAAGAAACACGTCCACACAGCAGGATTTAGTCCTGGTTTAGACCTGGTTTAGATCTGGTTTAGTCCTGGTTTCGTCCTGGTTTAGTCTTGATTTTAGACCTGGTTTAGACCTGGTTTAGATCTAGTTTTGACTTGATTTTAGTCCTGGTTTAGACCTGGTTTAGTTTCTGGCAGTGAGTGAAATTACTGAAAAAAAAAAAAGGGGGATTTAGCCCAAAATGTGAAAACAGGAAAATCCCGCCGTTGTAATCCATTTATTTCAACAAAGTAACTGTAATCCAATTACCACTCATTGAAACAGTAACTGTAACTGAATACAGTTACTCATAATTTGTACTCTGATTACATAACTCCGGTACATGTAATCTGTTACTCCACAACACTGATTGCCACTGATGACAAATTAAGCAAAATAAATGTTCTTTTCTACTCACAGATCCTCTGCGCAACTGTGAATCTTTACAGAACTTGAACTTGGCTGGTAATGTTATAAACAGGTACAGTAGAGTGAGATTGTGATGATAAAATAATATAAAAAAATATACTGTGTGTGTTATCTATGCTTTTATTTTGATTTGTTTTGTTTTTTTCAGCTTTGAATGCCTTTACGCCCTTCAGTCTCTGAGAAAACTTGAAAATATTCGCCTTAAAGACAACACGTACAATTATTCCAACCCAGGTACTTCAACATTCTCGTCAGAGTTAAATAATAAAAGACGTATTTATTTTCTGTATTTTCACTCACAAACTTTTCTCCAGTGTGTCGAAGCACTGCGTACAGAGCTCACGTTTTAGAAATGTTTCCCAACATCAAGGTTCTCGATGGTACGTGACAAATGAGTCCTTGTCTTTTGTCTTGTCGTTCTTTGTTAATATTCTGTTTTTTAGAGCTGTATTTTTGTTGTTTTGTTTCCAGGTGAGCGAGTTGTCGGCCGGGGGAGTGATCTGTACCAGTTGTGTAAAGATATTGATGATACGATTAAAGGTGCAGAATCTCTTTATGAATGCTCAGTGTTTGGAAGGTGACTTTTAAAATGTAATCCCCTACAGATTACAGATTACATACCCCAAAATGTAGTTTGTAACGTAATCCATTAAATTACTTAAAGTGAGTAATGTAATCTGAATACTTTGGATTACTTGATTTGCTGTAGAGAAGCAAAGACGAGGAAATCGTAACATAAGATGTTTTGTCTGATAAAAGAAAATAAAAAGCCCAGACTTTACTGAACCAAATTAAAAATATTATTGATAGAAGAAGAAACATGTCCACACAGCATGATTTAGTCCTGTTAAATCCTGTTTTAGACCTGGTTTAGATCTAGTTTAGACCTGGTTTTAGGCTTGATTTAGATCTATTTTAGATCTGGTTTTAGTCCTGGTTTAGATCTAGTTTAGACCTGTTTTTAGACCTGGTTTAGACCTGGTTTAGACCTGGTTTTAGATCCTGGTTTAGACCTGGTTTTAGACCTGGTTTAGATCTAATTTAGACCTGTTTTAGTCCTGGTTTAGACCTGGTTTTAGTCCTGGTTTAGACTTGGTTTTAGTCCTGGTTTAATCCTGGTTTAGACCTGGTTGTAGATCTGATTTAGTGTCCGGCAATGAGTGGAATTACCGAAAAGAAAAAAAAAAAGGGATACAGCCCAAAATGCCAAAATGTGAAAACAGGAAAATCCCTCTGTGTAATCCATTTATTTCAACAAAGTAACTGTAATCCAATTACCACTCACTGAAACAGTAACTGTAACTGAATACAGTTACTCCTAATTTGTACTCTGATTACTCCGGTACATGTAATCTGTTACTCCCCAACACTGTGAAAGGTTTGTATAGATCCTATGTTGTAACAATAACTGTTTATGTTTGTTTTTATAGCTGGTTCATATAAAAACGGGCAGCTGGTGGAGCACTCGGACTGTAAGCCCTGGGTGGAGGATAACTTCTGGGAAATCAAGAGGTCTAATAACGCCATAGTGGACGAAGCCTATAAACAGTTTAACGGTACAGTATTTTTTCTGACTGTTCACCGATTTAAACACATTTATTCATTATTTTTATTCACATAGCATCACTTCTATCACTGTTTAACACTTCAAATGTTTTAAAAGTACATTACATTCACAGTTTCCAAAGTGCTGCACAAATACATAATAATAACAACAATAATTTAAAAAAATGATAAAATAAACTACTAAAATAATCATACTAGTCTTAAAATAATAAAACCAGTAAAATAAAATAAGAGCAAAATCATAGAATAGCAATAAATAATTAAAACCAATAAAAATACATTAAAAATAAATAAAAAAGACCACACAACTCACACGGTGTTAAAAGCAACAAAGAAAAATAAAAATAGCATAAAAATATTCAGGGTTCCCACTATTTTTCAATGACAAAATTTCAAAACTTTTCCATGACTTTTTCATAATTAAAGTGAATTTTTCATGATTTTACGGCACCTACATGTGTAGAACTGATCAGACTTTTAAGGTTAAATATGAAACGTTAACGCTTTCCACTCACCTTATGGTTTGTGTTATAGTTTTTTAACATTCAGAATCCTGTCAGTGCTTTTACTTAAAGGTTGTATGGAGGATTTTTTTTGTTTCAAATTGTCAATGATAGATTATAGAGATGCAGTAGCCTTGTAATTATGATGACCAAAAAAAAGAGAATAAAAATTCATCAACTCTGGACGTGGTGGGGCTAAACATTTGCCAATAGATAACGACACTGCCTCGTTATCTGTGAGCTGACAGGCTGTCAATCAATCTCCCTACGTTTCTAGTGTAACTGACTTGCCTGCGCCGCCGGTACGTGGTTTACGTACGACTGTCACGCAGTCCACAGACGCAAGACGCACAGACGCTGTTTACTCCACCAACGCAACAGTTCTTAGCGGCTTTTTTTGACCTATATCTTCCTCGCAGTTCGCACAAAGTTTGTTGCAATGGCGACAAGAATCCAGGAGCAGTTCGCCGCAAAAGAAAGTCCGTTTTTGAGGTCGCTGAAAGAAGAAGACAAGGGAAAAAGCAGCGAAGCCAAACTAAGGTGATTCTTGAAGATTCATTCCAGCGATGGCGCGACTGAAGCAGACGAAGGGTCTAAAGACTGACGCACTGGTCCACAAATTACTCCTGGACAGGAAACTTCTGCTTATTATGAAAACGTACTTTATTTCCAAGAGCTAGACAAACGTTTTTTCAGGACACGAAAGCGATATCCTATGTCTGAAAACGTAATTTTCAAGGCAAAGAAAGAGTCCGCTTGCTGCTGCGTGTTGTAGCTTAGTTCATTCGCACTGAATCTCCGCGCAACCTTTCTCTGCTCCCTTCCTGCTCCTTCCCTGCTCCGCTCTTCTCCCTGCTCCTCACTTTCTCGTCCGCGAACGAAATGTCCGCACACCTGCTCCCCCCGTTCCTCACTTCTCCGTCTTGCCTAACCAACACTGTAGTTAGTTGTTTACAAGTCATGTGCAGCACCGGCTGTAAACAAACCTGTTTCTGGCGTAAGGAGGAGGAGGGAGGAGGCGTTTCTACGTAGGAGCTGTAGGGGAGGGGTGGTTTCACGCATGCGCAACATTTGAAAAAGGACAAACAGTCGCTGGATTTCTCGTTCCTTGGAAAATCCTCTATACAACCTTTAACAACGCTGGAGTTGTGTGAAAGAAATACTAAAATTCCTTGACTTTTCCAAAACTTTCATCGAATTTACAAAATTCGATGACTTTTCCAGGATTTACATGACCTTGGGAACCCTGAAAATAACAAACAATCCAATAAATTATAATAAATAAATAAAAAGAAATAGAATAAATATAAATAAGAAATTAAATCTAAATAAAAGCTAAAACCAGTTAAAGGAAGGCGAACCAATACATGACATGAAACGCTTCCAGACAGCACAAATAATGAATAAGGCAAAAGGAAAGAACTACTAGAAATATTTTGAAATATTTTATTGAAAGGGGAAGTACTTATAACTTAAGTGGATTACATCTATTTAAAATGTCCACACAACAAAGAAACGTTTTTGTATTTCAGTTTGTGAGGTCATAATTTGGAACTATGAGTGAAAACCTCAAAAAATGCCCACATATGAAAATGTTTAAACAAAGATATAAAGAAATGATTAAAGTAAGTACGTTATGGAAGGAACTTAAGTTAATTCTGGCAGAAGAATGATTATTGTTAAAATGGCTTTGTAATACTTGGTGTAAATATTCTACCTGTGCAGTGACACGGTGGGTGTTTTTTTTTTTTTTTTTAAACGCTTTATTCTTTTTAAAATGTTCGTATTTTTGCTTCTTTTTTTTTGTGTGTGTGTTTTCTGTTCTGGTGGGGAACTCGCATTTTGGTTTGGTTTTTTTTCTCCCAGCTCTGCAGAATAATTGATAATTTGAAAACAATAAAAACATTTTGATTAAAAAAAGAAAAAAATGCTTTGTAAAACATGGTGACAGCAAATAATCACTTGTTTCTCCCCACTCCTTTTCAGAATTATTGATTTGAAGAAGATATTCACGATTGGAAATGTAAAATATTTGCCTTCGAGTTTCTGTTTATAACCGTTTGAACATAATGTCATTTATCAAACATCCAAATATAACTTCTTATCATTATTTAACATTTGTGTTTTTTCCGCAGACGTTCTTCACGAATGCCGACTGCTGAACAACCGAGCCACTCACGTCATCTCTCAGACGGAGCGGTCCATGAGCCTGAAGAAGCAGTCCAAGCAGTACGCCATCTGAGTCCACCAGCTCGTTAAAGAGAATTTAGCTGCTTTAGCTCCATGATCCCGAGTCATGGCTGTTCGTACTGTTGGTTTCAGCTTTACCCTCAAGTGTCAGTGACGCGCGCTCGCCACAGGGCAGCCATTCATCCTCTATGCACTGATCATTTAAGTGAATTTACTGGAGGTGAGCAGCTTAACGTTTTCCACCTTTAACTAATCGATGAATCAAGAATCTCGGACTTCTGATCATTGCGCAATCCATACTGCGAAGGATTTTCCGAAAAAGTGAGCATCAAATCGTCATGTTTGATTTCCCAGTGTCAAAGTCGATCTTTTCAAGTCTTTTGAACCATATCTCTTTTGTTTCTGGTTCTGATATTGTCATATTTTAGTTTTGGGATTCGGACGTCGTTAATTGTTGTGGTTGTTGGATCCTAACAGCGGGAAACAGCGCGAGAAATCTGTTTCCGAATTCCATAAATGCAAAAGTGAATCAGATGTGTGTGACTCAAACCTCTGTTCAAACTGTTTCTCTTCCCAACGGAATTGAAAAATAGTAAAAGGTGAAGGTGATGGGCACGATTGATCCACAGGAAGAAACCAAAAAGGAAACATTTGTCTGCCTAAATCATCCCGAAGTTTACAGAGAACATTTTGTATGTGGAGCGACAACAAAACAAAATCCCGATCTCTCGCTCAATCTCAGTTACGAATTTTAAAAGTCAACGTCAAAGCGAAAGGCTCCAACTGTTCACCAAGAAACACCTTCCACTGCAAAGAGACCAAGATGTGATGTTTCTGTAAAACCACAAGAACAAGAAAGTGCAGCTCAGTCTGTTTGTCTTCTGCTCCTCTCCATTAACAAACGGGATCCGCTTTGATGTCGCTCCACATATAAAATGTTCTCTGCAAACTCGGGATGATTTCTTAGGCAGACAAATGTTTCCTTTTGTTTCTTCCTGTGGATCAATTCTGCCCATCACCTTCACCTTTCACTATTTTTCAATTCCGTTGGGAAGAGAAACAGTTTGAACAGAGGTCTGAGTCACACACATCTGATTCACTTTTGCATTTATGAAGTTCACAAACACATTTCTCGAGTCGTTTTCCACTGTTAGGATCCAACAACCACATGATTACGATGTCCGAATCCCAAAACTAAAATATGACAATATCAGAACCAGAAACAAAAGTGATATGGTTCAAAAGACTTGAAAAGATCGACTTTGACAATAGACACATCCCACTGGGAAAACAAACATGGAGGTTTGATGCTCACTTTTTCGGAAAATCTTTCCCAGCATGAATTGCGCAATAATCGGAAGTCCGAGACTCTCGATGCATCTGTATTGCACATGCATTTTTTACTACACCCGCACCATGTTTGCTGCTTAACATAGACTGTTTATATAAATGGACATAGCAAAACCGCTATCTGCTACGTTTTAAACAGGAAGTGAGCACGGGCGCACTTCCGGCTCCATCGACTCTGGCTCCAGTTCACTTTGCATTGAAAAACCGTCACCACTATCTCTATAACTGCTGCTGTGAATACAACTGGTGTCATTAACAGGGTCCCCACAGTCATGGAAATCCTGGAAAAGTTATGGAAATTGAAAATATCACTTTCTAGTCCTGGAAAAGTCATGGCATTTTAGTATTTCTTTCACGCAACTACATACTTCTGTTAAGCTGTTATGAGGCTATTCTGATTATTTCTGAACGTCTGCACCTTTCGTTTAAAAGAGACGACAATAAATGCACTGACAGGATTTTGAATGTTAAAAAACTATAATCCTAAACCATAAGGTGAGTGGAAAGAGTTAACATTTCATATTTAACCCTAAAAGTCTGATCAGTTCTACACATGGAGGTGCTGTAAAGTCATGGAAAATTCACTTTAGCTCATGAAAAAGTCATGAAAATGTTTTGAAATTTTGTCAGTGAAAAAGAGTGGGAACCCTGCATTAAGAATTGCCGATACAATACATATCTCGATACAGTGAGCTTTCGATTCGATACGATATATTTTAAATCTATTCGATACGGTTCAATAAAAAATAAAGTCTAAATCATGGCTGTGCTACTAAAAGTCTTTGTTAAACCACTTCTTCTTGTGCAAAGTTCATATGAAACGCAAACATTTTCATCAAAACTGAAAATGTCAAATGGGTCACATAAAAGAGTAAATAGTTTCCTTCAATCCGTGTGTCATTCGTTCATTCGTTTTTCAATACAAAACCAAAAATAAGAAAACTAAAAAACAACTGTTTTCTTCATTATTTGTCTCCAAAACCAAAATTTTTTTTTTTTTCATTTTCTGATTTTGTGTTTAACTGAATAATGGAAAAAAACGGATAACAGGCGTTTCCTGTTTTCGTGACTTAAACTGTGATGCAGGACTGAACCAGGACTAAAACAGGACTACAACAGGACTGAACAGTCTGGTCCCAGTTTCCTGATCACCTGATAGTCTGTGGGCGCACGTCTGGTCCAGTTCCGACACTCCTGGTTCAGTCCTGGTTCAGTCCTTGTTTAGTCCTGATTCAGTCCTGGTTCAGTTCTCGTTCAGTTCTGGTTTAGTCCTTGTTTAGTCCTGATTTAGTCCTGGTTTAGGACTGAAACTGGGACCGGAACAGGACCGTTTTTTTTTTCGTTTTCTTATTTTTGGTTTATATTGAAAAACTAATAAACGAATGATACACAGATTTCCTTCCTCTAAACAAGCAACAAAACCGAAGCGATGTAACAAAATTTTTAGTAAAATATACCAAAAAAATCCTCTTGGCGATATATCGATACAGCAGCCTACGATATCGATACTTTATCATTACATTAATAATATTTTCGCACACCCCTAAGCTGTGAACCTCGTCATTTTGTTTTTAAAACGTTCATATTAACCTGCTCTACATGATCCTGGTGTTTTTATTTCACTATTTTGTCTGTGAATCAATTCCTATTCCTAATAGGTGAGTTTCAGCTGACGTCATTGTTATTAAAAGTCCGCGTTGCATGCTGGGAAATATTTTGGTCGGAGGCAAGAAACAAGGTAGCGGTCAAACACAGTGCGTAACCTCGCGTATTTATCCCCGATAATGGTAAATTCCTGCTGCATTATCGGATGCACAAATAGAAGCACGGAAGAAGGAAAATGTCTTTTTCGTATTCTGAGTGAAAAGAACCACTAACGGTGAATTAAACGGCTTTCAAACATCCGCAGAGCAAACGTAGAAGATCCTAACAAACCGTGGACTCCAACAAGTTCAACAACACATCGAGACTCTTGGAGGTTTTCATCTTTTCTGCTGTGAATGGCCCAGGAGTTTCCACCAAGTCATTGTGGATATCGCCAAAGTGAATATTTGTCCAGGTAGTTGGAGATTCTGACCAGAAATTTGGTTTGGTCCAGACTCTGTTGGGGTTGAAAAGGGTGATTTGGCGTCCGTCGATGCTTATGACCAATTTCTGGTCAAATGGTCTTGGGTCCTCTGCTGTTAGAGTGGATAAATAACCGGGATCAATACCCTTTACGTGCTTTCTCGCTCCGTCCGTCATGTTGAATTAGTGTTTCTTGCCGCCGACCAAAATAATTCCCAGCATGCAACGCGCACTTTTGTCAACAATGAAACTCGCCTATATTGAACTGGCTCCAAATTCATCCCTGTAACTCAAGCCTCGATGACGTCACACTCACTTAGTCCACTTCTTTATACAGTCTATGACGCTTCCTCTGCTCATTCACTTCCAGTAAAATGATTTAAGACTTGTTTTATTTCCAAATATGTCACTGCAAACTGTTTATTTTCCTATTATTTTTTTTTATCATTATTTGTATTTATATCTCATCTAATAACTCATTGTAAAGTTATTAGATGTTTAAGCGATGGTAAGATACATGCACTTTAGTCTTCTCTGGCGCCACCTGTTGGTTCTTGTTAACCTGCAAAATGTAGAATTTTACACCCAAATAAATAAAAATGAAAGTATCTCTCTGTGGAAGTGTTTTCATTTTTGAGCAGCGTTGTTAAATTGTTTACAAATCTGTCTGCTATAACTGTTATATTCTCATTATAGTTATGTTTAATTAGTAACATAAAATAAACCGTTATTTGTCCAGATTCCTCAGTTAAACCCGTGCTGTTGTTTGTATCCGGTGTGTTTTGGAATTTCTGTTTTTAGAAATTGCTCTCACTTTATTGGAGTATTTTACTTTACTTTACTTTACGAAATAAATGATGTAATACTGATTAGGTCCACGAGTTCACAATACAAAACAAAAAAACAAAACTGCTCTGTCTTCCCCCATCTCTTACTTAGATTTAGGCTTAGGCTAAACCGGTCTCAGTCCCAGATTGGTCCTGGTCGAGTCCCGGTCTCAGTCCTGATCACCCGACAGTCTACACGGGCGCACCTCCGGGTCGGTCCCGACACTCCTGGTTCGGTCCTGGTTCAGTCCTGGTTTCTTGGTTTAGGACTGAAACCGGGACCAGGACTGAGGCCGGGGCCAGACCAGAAATGAGACCAGGATTGTGACCGGAACCAGACCAGGACAAGATCAGGATTGAGACCGGGACTAGATTGGGACTAGACTGGGACTCGGACCAGACCAGGATTGAGACCAGAACTGACACCAGGACCAGACCAGGATTGAGACCAGGACCAGACCAGGATTGAGACCAGTTTAGGCCTGGTTCAGTCCTGGTTTAGACCTGGTTCAGTCCTGGTTTAGACCTGGTTCAGTCCTGGTTTAGACCTGGTTTAGTCCTGGTTTAGACCTGGTTCAGTCCTGGTTTAGACCTGGTTTAGACCTGGTTCAGTCCTGGTTTAGACCTGGTTCAGTTCTGGTTTAGACCTGGTTCAGTCCTGGTTTAGACCTGGTTTAGTCCTGGTTTAGCCCGGCATTGCCTTTTTTTCCCCATTTATTTAAAAACAAAATTGAAAACTGAAAAAAAAACGAATCATTATCTATTTTTGTTTTTGTTTTTTTCATTTTGTTTTTGGAGACAAATAATGAAGAAAATAGTTGTCGTTTTATTTTCGGTTTCTTATTTCTAGTTTTATTTTGAAAACGAACGAACGAACGCTACACGGGTTTGTGCGCTTACGTAAGAGTTTGATCTCCACTTTTGGACAGTGGGTCAGATGTGGGTCAGATGTGGGTCAGATGTGGGTCAGATGTGGGTCAGATGTGGGTCAGATGTGGGTCAGATGTGCAGTGCATGTGTCTAGGCTCAGGCTCTGTTCGGGGTTTGGGTTTCTAGAAAGTGCAGGAGGGTCCAAGTGGAGCAGCGCCCCGCCCCCGGATTCCTCCTCGCCTTTTCCGGGCTGCGCTCACGGGCTGCGCCGGAGCCTCCAGAAGGTTCCAGTGCAGCTCTCGGATATAAAGATCCTCCCCGCTCCGGCGTGCACACAGAGCTCCAGAACCTTCAAGGAGACACAGAAGCGAAACAGAAGAAAAACAAGAAACACTACCTGCAAAGTAAGTAGCCGACGATCTCAACATGCAACCTACAAAGTGGAAATTATTATTATTATTATTATTATTATTATTATTATTATTTATTATACAAACCTTAACATTTTATTACATTATTATATTATTATTATATATTTTTTTTTATAACGTTGTAATATAACGTTATACTTCCGCATAGTTTTTGACGTGACTGACGTTAACCGAACCTATATATCGCACGTGCTTTGGTTTATAAGAAAACGTCTTAACGTCAATTTCGACAGTTATTTTATTATTATTTTTTTTATTGAGCTATTATTATATTATAGTTATTTTTTTTTTATTGAGCGATTCGATTAACGCTGTAAAATGAACAGTGTCTTTCCGAATTATAATCTTTGCTTCAGGGTGTTTCATAAATTAGATAAAATGTATCGTTTTAACACCACTTTTCATTTTTACGACGTCAAAACTGTTATTTTATCGATTTTTTAACGCTTAACATTACCAATCTTTGCTTTAGATTGTGTCAAAAGGAGGATAAAGTGGTGTTTTAACGATGTGTTTTTCATTTTTACGTCAAAAATTATCCACGAAACCGGCTACTTCCATATCAACAGTTATTTTATCGATTTTTTTAACGTTTAACATTATTTATGTCTTTCCAAATTGTAATCTTTGCTTTATTTTTGGTTCAAAAGGAAGATAAGTGGTGTTTTAACGATGTGTTTTTCATTTTTACGACATCAAAAACGGTCCACGAACCCGGCTTCTTCCATATCAACAGTTACTTTATCGATCTTTACGTCACTGGTGTCTTTTCAAATTATAATCTTTGCTTCAGGGTGGGTCATAAATTAGATAAAGTGGTGTTTTAACGATGTGTTTTTTTTTTTTCATTTTAGGACGTCAAAAATGGTCCACGAAACCGGCTACTACGACCTGCTCGGGGTCAGTCCCACCGCGTCGCCGGATGAGATTAAAAAGGCGTACAGAAAACTGGCTCTGAAATATCATCCGGACAAGAACCCGAACGAAGGAGAAAGGGTGAGTCATGATCGGTTCGGACAGTTACGAGCTGTCACAGGCGGTGGCTAAGTTTAGTTTTACGCATTGGCTCGGGTTAGGTAAGAGGAACCGTGAAGAGGACCGAGAAGTTTCTGGAAAATGCGAGGCTGCAAAAAGCGAGTAACAGTGCCACCTGCTGTTTCAACGCTTCAATGCAACACTTCGTCATTTTTCAATATAAAACCAAAAATACGAACAGGAAAGCTAAACTATTTTCTTCATTGTTTGTCTCCGAAACCAAAATGAAAAAAAAAAAAAAGGATAACAAGTAGTTTTTTCAGTTTTCGATTTTGTGTCTAAATGAAGAATGGAAAAAACGGATAACGGACCGTTTCCTGTTTACGTGACTTAAACTGCGATACAGGACTGAACCAGGGCTAAACCAGGGCTAAACCTGGACTGGACCAGGGCTGAACCAGGGCTGGACCAGGTCTGAATGAGGACTGAACGAGGACTGGACCAGGACTGAACCAGGACTGAACGAGGACTGGACCAGGACTGAACGAGGACTGGACCAGGACTGAACGAGGACTGAACGAGGACTGGACCAGGACTGGACCAGGACTGAACGAGGACTGGACCAGGACTGAACGAGGACTGGACCAGGACTGGACCAGGACTGACGAGGACTGGACCAGGACTGGACCAGGACTGAACGAGGACTGGACCAGGACTGAACGAGGACTGGACCAGGACTGAACGAGGACTGGACCAGGACTGAACGAGGACTGGACCAGGACTGGACCAGGACTGGACCAGGACTGGACCAGGACTGGACGGCACAAGACCAGACCGGGACCAGATCAGGACTGAAAATGCTTTAGTCCCGGTTCAGTCCTGTATCGCAGTTTAAGTCACGTGAACGGAAAACAATTGTTATCTGTTTTTTTTTTTTGTTTTTTTCGATTATTCATTTAAACACAAAATCTAAAACTGAAAAAACAAATCATTATCTATTTTTTCATTTTGGTTTTGGAGACAAATAATGAAGAAAACTGTTGTTTTTTCATTTTGTTATTTTTGGTTTTATATTGAAAAACAAATGAAAGAATGATACATGGATTCAAAACCATCGATTTGTCCCAGTTTTATACAAGAAATGACCAATCTGATCCCTGCCAACAGTAAAGAGAGGCATAAGTTGTCATCTGTTTAGGTAAAATACAGAAAAGCTGCTTAAAAATGACCAAAACACAAAGAAAATGTGACTATACTGCAGGAATCTCCAACATTTTTCCTTCAGGGAGCTACTTTAACAAAACCAAAAAAAATACCAGAAAGACATTCATTTTAGTGGTTGCAAAAAATCTAATTCGTTTGTATAGCACATTTAAAACAGACAAAGTTTACCAAAGAGCTGAACAACATTTACAATGAAATAAAACATACAATAAGCAAATCAAGCAGAATAATAAAAAAAAAATAATAATTTAATGGAAAAATGTATAAATACACAATAATATAATCAGAATTCCTTTAGTGAGCTAGTTAGTCGTGAATGAAACAGTGCAGAACAGTTTTTCTTAATTACGCACTCGTTTCACAATTTTGTTATTACCAACCACCTAAAATTGGTGATGTCCCAGATTTTGATTTTGCAAATCTGGTCACCCTAAGTTTGTCCGGTAATGACAACTACAATTCCAAGTCCTGCACACATTAAAAAAAAAAAAACATATAAAAACATAGAAGCATTTTTTTCCATTTTGTGTTGAAACAGAACTTTACTGACCCACAAGGGAAATTATCTGGACTCGGTTGCTCACACATCACAACAAATATAAGCAAGTAAGTAAGTACGTAAGACTTTATTTATAGAGCACCTTTCACAGATAAAAAGTCGGAAAGTGCTTTACAGAGTGAAGTAAAAAGCATAGAAAAAACATGAATTACAGACACAGTTAACCAAAAGCTTGTCTAAATAGCAGTGTCTTGAGCTGCTTTTTAAAGGAGTCTACAGTGTCTGCCTTACGGAGGGTTAGGGGCAGGGCATTCCATAATTTGGGGGCCACAGCCTGGAAGAAAAACAACAAAATAAATAAGTATCAAAAACAGCAAGAGACTAGTGTCAAATAAGGCATAAGTAAAGTCTACAATTGTGTTCAAGTAGAAATAAAAATATAGAAACTGTAATATAAAACATATCTCGGCTTTATACTAGAGGTGGACAAGGAAGAATAGATTTTAATTAATACTAAAACTGATATAACGTGATGAGAAAAACATTTTAACATTATAGAAACTATTTTTATTAGGACTTATCCAAAGTATTTTAATAAAGTTTGAATTGTTAGTATTTTGACAACACATGTAGAGCTTGTTTTAAAGTTTTTACATCTTTCTTTCCACAGTTCAAGCTGATCTCCCAGGCTTATGAAGTCCTGTCCGACCCAAAGAAGAGGGACCTGTACGACCAGGGAGGGGAGCAGGCGATTAAAGAGGGCGGCATGAACGGAGGACAGTCTCCCATGGACATTTTCAACATGTTTTTCGGAGGAGGCGGACGAATGCAGAGAGAGAGAAGAGGTAAGAGTGTATTTGATTATTTTAGCAACAAACCTGTAATAGTTTTGACAAAATCTAAACCAAACTGTTGTGTTTTTAGGGAAAAATGTAGTTCATCAGCTCGGAGTTTCATTGGAGGAAATGTACAACGGTTCCACCAGAAAACTCGCGCTGCAGAAGAATGTTATCTGCGAAAAATGTGAAGGTACGTCTGTGTACAGTAGCGCTGGGTATCATTAAGAAGTTGCCGATACGATACACATCTCGATTCATAGGCCGCGATACGATACACGCCTCGATACGTAGGCCGCGATATGATACACGCCTCGATACGTAGGCCGCGATACGATACACGCCTCGATACAGAGGCCACGATACGATACATAGGCCACGATATGATACATAGGCCACGATATGATACGCACCTCGATACATAGGCCACGATACGATACACATTTCGATACATAGGCCACGATACGATACACATTTCGATACATAGGCCACGATACGATACACATTTCGATACATAGGCCACGATACGATACACATCTCGATACATAGGCCACGATACGATACACACCTCGATACATAGGCCGCGATACGATACACACCTTGATACAGTGAGCTTTCGATTCGATACGATATATATTTCAAATCAAATCGATACGGTTCAATAAAAAATTAAGTCTAAATCATGTCTGTGACACCAAAAGTCTTTGTTAAACCATTTCTTCTTGTGCAAAGTTCATATGAAACACAAACATTTTAATCATTAAAACAGCGAAAATGTCAAATGTGTCGCATAAACGAGTTTCCTTCCTCTGAACAAGCAACAAACTGTATCTGTAACAAAATAATTTAATAAAATATACCAAAAAAAACCCTCTTTGTGATATATCGATACAGCAGCTCACGATATCGATACTGTATCATTACATTAAACGATGCGATATATCGATATTTCAATATTTTTGCACACCCCTAGTGTACAGTTTTATTTATTATTCCTCATCCCAAACAGACCTGTGAGTTTGGCGAGTTTTCAGTTCTTCTCTCAAACTGAAAACACGAAATAACAATCTCTAGAACGACTTTTGAACATTCAGATTTCACTAAAAAAACAATCAGATTAATAATTATAGAAACGCAATAAATACTGTGAACTTAAGACAGACAAGACAGTAATTATGTTTTAGTCATTTACCTGTTTATCTAATCTGTTTCTGTGTCTCCTCGCGCAGGTTACGGAGGAAAGAAAGGCGCCCTGGAGAAGTGCTCGTCGTGTAAAGGCAGAGGGGTGCAGGTCAAAGTGCAGCAGATCGGTCCGGGCATGATTCAGCAGATCCAGAGCATGTGTTCAGACTGTCAGGGCCAAGGCGAGAGGTTCAGCTCCAAAGATCGCTGCAAGAACTGCCACGGACGCAAAGTGGAACGCGTCAAGAAGATCCTGGAGGTCCACATCGACAAAGGTACAGATCTGTTCAATGCAGATTCTTACATTATTCTCTGATATGTTTTAATGTTGTGTTTTGTTTTATTGATCAATTTTTAACACACAATTGTGGTTTAATTACTCAAATCATGTGTGAATGAAACAAAACACAACTTCAGGTGTGTTTCTAAGGAAATGTGAACATTATAACAAGACATAAAGCTCACAAGAAACCATTTTGTGTAATATAGGACCTTTTAATTATTCCCCGTATCCCCTCCTCCGACTTAATAATGCAAAGATATTGACAAAAAAATGAGAAAAACACACACATAAAAGCGAAGGGGAAGGACAGTTTAAGAAAATTAATTTAAAAAAACTAGTATCAAACAAACTGAATTTACATATGCCATGTTCTTCAAGTTACTGTTGTTTACCAGTTATTTGCAGGTTTTCTTTCTTTCATTTTTGGTATTTTGAAGTGATGGATAGATAAAGCTTCAAGGCCTGTGTAACACTTTTCCAACACAGTGTTCAAACTGTGTTGGTGCGTTCTCTAGCTCCATCTGGTGGTTTAAAAAATGAACTGCAGAAGCACTGACAGCGCAGGGCTCGTTCATTCAGACACTTGAACACTTATTTATATCCAACAAATTAAAGAACTGACCAAGAAGGCGATGCATTTTCATTAAAGCAAATAATTTTATTTTATGATAAAGTTGGCAAATACGTGATACATGACGAGGTGAAGGGTTGTGAAAGTAAAGTAGTAGTAAAATAATATAGTTCTTTCAGTAAATCTGTTTGAGCTGATCAGAAGGAGCCCACACAGAATAGACCTGTGTTCTTTGTTTCTCTATGGTGATGAACAGACACGGGGACAGATTTGAGTCTCTCGCTCGTCGCTCTGGGCTGCCTCAGCGCTCCCGACACGAGCAACACTAAACAACTGTGTCGATGTATCGGTCACTTGACTTTTCTTAACGTGTGATACACACAGCGACAAAGCTCGACTCAGGCGCCACTTACTGAGCTCGACTCAAATGTCAACACGTCGACTCATTTGCCCCGTCACTCGAACTTGGGGATGTATCGATATCCAAGTCTCACGATACGATATCATCATGGTATGAACCTCACAGTACGATTTTTATTGCGGTATTTTGTGGAGGCAAACAAAACTGTGCAACAAAAATATTCTACTTTTTCCTCTTAAAGTGCCTTGACAAGATTTAACCCAAAGAACTAAGACTTAAAAGTGCTTAGAACTGTTATTTTTTCTTGTCGTCTGCACTGAAATGGAGCAAAGGATCATGGTCTATGTAGTTCCCTCTGTCTTTTTTTTAGCTATTGCTGCACCATAACTCTTCATTTAAGCAAAGAGACTTATTATTCGTCAAAGTTCTCACAATATATCGAATTACATCACGATATTTCGGTCATTGTTACATCTCTACTAGAACTTAGTCCAAGTTTGATCAGCTACAGATTCTTAATTCTGCCAATTTCTCGATAATAAACCTGCTCTCCTTCTGTTCGTAGGTATGAAGGACGGACAGAAGATCACATTCCACGGAGAGGGCGACCAGGAGCCCGGACTGGAGCCCGGAGACGTGATCATCGTCTTGGATCAGAAGGACCATCCCCTGTTCCAGAGACAAGGAGACGACCTGATCACCAAGATGGACATCAAACTGGTGGAAGCTCTGTGCGGATTCAGAAAAACTCTGACCACGCTGGACAACAGAACGCTCGTCATCACCTCCTCGCCAGGTAACGCAAGCTTAGGACGGGCGATTTAAAGATGCACTGTGTAACTTTTCTCGCGGAGGGTCCGTCAACTCCTTGTTTCCTTGGAGATGTCTTTGCTCTGCCTGGAATTTTCTACAGCGCGGCGTTGTTTAACCTTTCTGGTGGAGGGTCTGTCAGTTCCTTTTCTCCATGGAGATGTTATTACTTTGTCTGGAATGTTCCACAGTAGGGCATTAAACCTTTCTATCTTCACGGAGACCAAACCAGACCAAGTTACAGGTCAGATCTGTGGAGAGGCGACCCACTCACAGTCAGAATACCCGTTTTTTAGGTATTTTTGAGCTAGAAAACCACCTGTAATCGAGAAGAATTGATGTCACACTGCGGAATATTTCAGGCAAAGTGATAACATCTCCATGGAAACAAGCAGATGATGGAGCCCCAAACGAAAAGTTACACAGTGCACCTTTTAGACGCCTACGCTGACAATGAGAATGAATGTTTTTAAAGGATTTTTGAGCAATAACAATACCTATAATTTACTCGATATAAGATAAATACGTTTTATGACACATTGTGCAACATTCCAGCCAAAGCAATAACATCTCCATGGAGACAAAGTTCCACAGTGCAGCTTTAACATGTCAGACTTGTACATTCTTAACTTAATAACTGAATAATGTAAAAAAAAAAAATGTGAAAAAAGGATGTAAACACGTACACATAAGTATGAAAGTGAAAGAGAAAATGAAAGAAAAAAAGGCTGATACTGAATCTAATTTAACATTAAAGTTAAATTAAACCGTGTTCTTTTAGTTACTGACTGATGTTTTATTTTGTTTAACAGGACAAGTCATCAAACCCAATGACATCAAGTGCATCCAGAACGAGGGAATGCCGGTTTACAGAGATCCGTGCGACAAGGGACAGCTCTTCGTCAATTTCTTTGTAAGTACTTCCTGCGATTCAGAAGCGTGATTATGACGATTCAAGATGACTTCATCAAGAACCAATACGGCTTTGTAAATTATGTAGTATTTATAATTACATCAGACAAACACAAAAAAATATTGGCCATGATTATTTATGTCACTGTTGAGCAATAATTTTTTTTCCATGGGGCCACATTAGAAACAGAAAATACTGAGGATGGCCAAAATACTTAACTCAATTCTGCATAATATGAATTGTATTTCTGTATAAAAAGCAGTAAATATCATTGTTTTGACGAGCTGCTCCGACTGGGAAGAGTTTGTTACGACTAAGAAATGAAAAAGTGAGGCTCTAAAATAAAAGCAATGCAGCTTTAGTCCAGGAATGACTTAAAATGATAAAATGTTTATTTTGTAATTCCAAATGAGCTTAAACGAGCCGGTCAGAGCTAAACAAAGAGCCGTATGTGGCCCTGGAGCTGCACAGATTTAATGTATATAGATACAAAAGTGTATTAAAGGGCCCATGTTATGTATCTAGTTTTTTAAATGTAGTTTTCTCATCCCAAACAGACCTGGAGTTGGGTTTTGTTTCATTCACACGTCGAAAGCACAAAGCTTAGCCTAAATATGTAGGTTTTTTTTGGACCCTACACATTGAAGCTGACTTCTACTCTCAAAACAGAAAACACACGGTTCCACCTTGTGATGTCACGTGGTAATACAGGAAGTGCTTCACTGTGTTTTAAACTTCACTAGAATCATTTGTTTAATATTCAGCCCTGGAATTGCCAATTTGTATTCATGACATCACAAGGTGGAATAGAGCATTTTAAGCTTTGGAGATGTAAACAGACGAATAATAAAGAGTCACTCAAACGTGTGAATGAAACAAAACACAACTCCAGGTCTGTTTTTGATGAGATAACAATAATCCGTGTATCATTCGTTCATTTGTTTTTCAATATTAAACCAAAAATAAGAAAACAAAAAAACAACAGTTTTCTTCATTATTTGTCTCCAAAACCAAAATGAAAAAACAGATAATGATTCGTTTTTTTCAGTTTTTGATTTTGTGTTTAAATGAAGAATGGAAAAAATGGATAATGACCGTTTCCCGTTTACGTGACTTAAACTGCGATGCCGGACTTTTGCACCACCTACGGACTGAACCAGCACTAATCCAGGACCGGGACTGAGACCGGGACCAGACTGGGACTGAGAACGGGACCAGACTGGGACCAGAGCGGAACTGAGACCAAGACCAGCGGTCCGAGCGGTTCCATGTCGTTGTCTGCACGCTGCTTCTGTGCGGGGAAAGCGAGAATGAACGAAAGATACACGGATTAACACATTATAACATGACTTGAAACTCAGTCAGTCAGTTTCACATCATTTAGGATTTTATTTATGCCCAATTAAACTTCCCAAACTACAACACCTAGTCCATTATTGTTGGTAATTTTGTCTACAGCTTCTCAGTGACTCTAAACCCATCACAAATCCTCCAGAAGTGTTCTTAATTGTGCTTTCTTTCTTCGTTTACAGATTGAATTCCCAGAGAAAGACTGGCTCCCCGAACACCTCATGTACCAGCTGGAGAGACTTCTGCCCCCCAGAGAAGACGTGATGCTGACGGACGACATGGAGGAGGTGGACCTGGAGGAGGTGGACGTCCAGGCCCAGCAGAGGAAGCAGCAGGGAGAGGCCTACGAGGAGGACGACGACGCCCCGCGATCAGGAGTCCAGTGCCAGACCCAGTGAACCGCTCCTCCGCCCGAACTCAAAACACCCGCCAGAGTTTTGTATTCTGCGGTTGAGGCTCGGACTCAAAAACGCAATCGTCTGTTGTTACGTCTTTATTTAAGTGTGTTTTTGTCAGATTATACTTTCTGTGAAGGTAATTTCATATTTTTGTTAATAAAACGCACAATATTTGCAAAGGTGGTCTTCATTTATTATGTATAAATCGATTGTTTTCTGTCGCTGCCCAGAGGAAAATGGAGTGAGCACTAAAAACACTTTGCATTAATCTGTGGTTTTCTGTTGTCTTTTGCCCTGAAATATCTAAAAGTTAAATGCACAAATGTGGAACCTGTGTGTTTCTGTGAGTGACTACACCTTAGAACTCGGCGTATTACAACAGAAAGCTGCATTTTAATAATAATTTTAACTATATATGACCTATAGAATGTTGTGATGTTGTCTGAAACCCAGCAACAGCCCAGACCCATTGAAAGTATAATAAGATATTTTATTATAGATCCACTGATTACCACAACCCCATTACCCTAGCGTGTAAGAAGGGCCAAAATGTTTTACTCAATTCTGCATTTGTCCTCTAACTTTGCATAGAAATCAGCGGTAGACCTTGCATTGATTACCGCCGAACCGCGCCAGGTTTCATTACGGTTCTGAGTGTCGGGACGGGTCTGGAGGTGAACTCGTGTAGACCATCGGGTGACCGAGCGCACTTTGTGGTCCAAGATTAGTCCTAGTTTAGACCTGGTTCAGCTTTGGTTCAGTTGTGGTTTAGTCCTGGTTTAGACCTGGTTTAGTCCTGGTTCAGCTCTTGTTCAGTCCTGGTTTAGTCCTAGCTCAGCTCTGGTTCAGTTCTGGTTCAGTCCTGGTTTAGTCCTGGTTTAGTCCTGGTTCAGTCCTCTTGGTTCAGTCCTGGTTTAGTCCTCTTGTTTCAGTCCTGGTTTAGGACTGGTTTAGTCCTCTTGGTTCAGTTCTGGTTTAGTCCTCCTGGTTTAGTCCTGGTTTAGTCCTCTTGATTCAGTCCTGGTTTAGTCCTCCTGTAGTCCTCTTGATTTAGTCCTGGTTTAGTCCTCCTGTAGTCCTCCTGTTTCAGTCCTGGTTTAGTTTTGTTTCAGTCCTTTTTCAGTCCTGGTTTAGTCCTCTTGGTTTAGACCTGGTTTAGTCCTGGTTCAGTCCTCTTGGTTTAGTCCTGGTTCAGTCCTGGTTTAGTCCTTTTGGTTCAGTCCTTTTGGTTCAGTCAGTCCTGGTTTAGTCCTGGTTTGGGTTTAGTCCTGGTTTTAGTCCTGGTTCAGTCCTCTTGGTTCAGTCCTGGTTCAGTCCTGGTTTAGTCCTGGTTTAGTCCTGGTTTAGTCCTGGTTTAGTCCTGGTTCAGTCCTGGTTCAGTCCTGGTTCAGTCCTCTTGGTTCAGTCCTGGTTCAGTCCTGGTTTAGTCCTGGTTTAGTCCTGGTTTAGTCTGGTTCAGGGTTCAGTCCTGGTTCAGTCCATATGCTCTTTACTCGCTGAAACCGTGAAAAAGCGGCGGTCAAATGACGTTAAGTGACTTTAGACCGTGGAAGCCCGTACCAAGATGGCGGCGGTATTAACGCATGCCAAGAATGTGTACGTCTAATATCTATCTATGGGACAATTGCCATGCTGATTCCCGCCAGGTGAGCGTGATTACAGGTGTCTACGGGTGCCCTTAAATAGCTTAAATAGCCCCAGTGCACAGGTGCGGCAGGAGCATCGGGACTTAAACGAGTGCTTGTTTGTTTGTGACGGCATCGCATCGGTTTTACGCTCTTTTATCGCGCATTTGAGAGTGAAGTGTAGTTCTGCGTCGACTCAAAGCGCACTGCCGCCGTCGTTTTTTCATTTATCAATCTGCGTCGAGGTCTGTACACTGTGCGTCTGCGTAGGGCTTCAACGCAAACGATTCGACGCTGGACCGTAAATTGGCCTTTAGCCGACAGCGAAGGGGACATGTTTGGAACTCATGCTGCGATCGAGACCACGGATATATCAAAAATAACATCGGGACACGCAAGACTGAGGAGAACGCGCCGAACGTGCAGCAGCAGCAGCAGCGTCCGGATTGCTACGTCACCACGCCGAACCACGCCGAACCACGCCGAGGAGTCCAGGTAAGTTTTGCGTGTTGCCTGACCAGCCAAGACCGTGCACGCTTTTACAAATTTACTACTTTATAAGGCCAATTAGATTCGAATGGGATGTTTTTGAAATCCCTCCTTCGTCCAGGTCATAACGAAAGAGAAAATCAATTAAAATCAAACTTGACAGAATTGAATTCTCTTTTTGCTATAGGCCTACATTTTTATTTGTTATTACACATTAACTCTTCGCGGTACATTTCCCCTTTTGCGATAGCCCCCCATTTTCTCCCCTTTTGGCGGGATGTAGGTGGTTCTGGCTGGTCACGCAACTTTACCCGCGTGTTTTGTTTGTGAATTCGAATTATCGCAATGCTGTGTTTGTGTATTTGTCGAATTGTTGCTGAAATAATGCTTGTGCAATGTTGGTTTATCTGTGCTCAATTCGCTCCTCACGCTGATTTATTTTAATTTGTTTTTAATGCAATGTGGATTTGAATAATGCTTTGCTGTGCTGGTGTGTTTCATGCCTATTTGTGCATCGTATTTATGGCATTTGGGACATTTATGATTTCATATTTTGTATAGTGTATGAGTGATTACGTAGCAGTGGATTGTGGCACATGTCGTGACAGGACTTTAAATGCTGATGTGGCTTACTATCGTTGTAGAGTGCTGCTTGCCGTGTCGAGCTGTTGTAGTACATTATTTGTTTCATGCAGATTATAACCACAAAATACAACGCTGTACCCTGTGCACCCAGAAATTAACAAAACGAAACACAATAACTCGCGAAAACAAAATGTATTAGATTAAGCAGTAAACGGTGAGGTAGGCGCACTTGACGAATTTCTAGTGACTAAATTAGACGAATTTGTAATTTTCTACAATTTTCCTTTCGTTTCACAATTTTATCAACCACCACAAACCACGGATGTCCCTGTTTTTACTTTAGAAAATCTACTAAAGCTAAAAGCTACTGTGACATGTAATTTACTAACCCTTTTTAGTTTTCAGATTTTAGGATGGCATCTAATGTTTAATTTTTTACAGGGAGCAGATTTATTGACATGTTCATGTTAAACTGCTAAACATTTACTTGTTTAACATAAGCTAAAGCTAAATCTACTTAAATTCATGTCATTTTGAACATTGCTAAGCTAAACTCTGCTAACTTTAGTTGTGCACTGCTAAAGCTAAATGCTAATGTGACTTGTAATGTACTAACCCTTCAGTTTTCCGAATTTAGGATGGTGTCTAACCGTTTTTTTTATTTTTTTTTTTTTTTTTTTACAGGGAGCAGTTTTATTGTTGCCATGTTTATTTAAGCATTTATTTGTCCATAACACAAGCTAAAGTTAAATCTACTTAAAATCATGTCATTTTGGGCATTGCTAAGCTAAACCATGCTAACTATAGTTGTACATTGCTAAAGCTAAATGCTAATGTGACATGTAATTTACTAACCCTTTAGTTTTCCGGATATAGGACGGTGTCTAACATTTTTTACAGGGAGCAGAGTTATTGTTATGTTTATTTGAACTGCTTAACATTTACTTGTTTAACGTAAGATAAAGCTAAACCTACTTTAATTCATGTCTTGTAACTGAATACAGCTAAGGCTAAATCATGTCTGTTATGTTACTGACTGAATTTTGAACATTGCTAAGCTAAACTATGCTAACTTTAGTTATACACTGCTAAAGCTAAATGCTAATGTGACTTGTAATTTACCAACCCTTTCTAACCTCTTCAGGTTTTAGGACGGCGTCTAACCTTTTATTTTTTACAAGGAGCAGTTTTATTATTGCCATGTGTATTTAAGCATTTATTTGTCCATAACACAAGCTAAAGCTAAATCTATTTGAAGTCATGTCATTTTGAACATTTCTAAGCTAAACTAACCCTTTAGTTTTCCGGATATAGGACGGTGTCTAACCACTTTTTTTTTTTTTTTTTTTTTTTCCCCCACAGGGAGCAGAATTGTTATGTTTATTTAAACTGCTAAACATGTATTTGTTTAACACAAGCTAAAGCTAAATCTACTTAAATCCATGTCTTGTAACTGAATACAGCTAAGACTAAAACATGTCTGTCATGTTATTAACCCTTTTTAACCCCTTCAGGTTTTAGGATGGTGTCTAAACTTTTTTTTTTTTTTTTTTTTTACAGGGAGCAGTTTTATTGTTGCCATGTTGATTTTTAAGAATTGAATTGTCCATCACATAAGCTAAAGCTAAATCTTAAATTCGTGTTTTTTGAACATTGCTAAGCTAAACTACTAACTTTAGTTGTACACTGCTAAAGCTAAACACTAATGTATTATGTAATTTACATGTGGTGTTGGTGGTGGTGTCGCCGTCTAACCTTAACATGCTAATCTAACCTTTTACAGGCAGCTCTGGGTTATTTAGCCTTGTGCAGAATGTGCACTACTGAAAAATGAACCTTCACCTTCATTTGAAGTCAAAAAGCCAAAGGACCCAGGAGAAAAAATAAACAGGATATATCCAAAAATATGGAATAAATAAAAAGAAGATATCATTTAAAATGGAAACAAACTTAATTCACCCAAAGAAAGAATACACCCTGAAGTGCAAAAAATCAGGACCAAATACGTCAAAGTCAAAGCAATAAAATGGAGCTAAATCATTATAACGTTGAGAAATGGATTGCATTGCAGACAACCCACAACCAAACATGGGACTAATCAGGAAGAAAAAATCTAACCTGGTCTAAAAGCTTTTGCAGTGGAAAAACCCAAAATTCAAATCCAAACTGCACCAACAGCCCTGTACTGAATACTGTGTAAAGAACAGACCTGCTCGACAGAGGAAACCAAACAATAAAAAAAAGATGCAAAAGAAACTGTCCTTTTATGATGCACAAAAAAGAGTTTAAATGTTGATCATGGAACCCCAAAGGCTGGAGGCTGAGAGGATGCACAAGACGGAACCAAATGGAGAAATGTTCAAACCTCATCTGAACATTTTAACTAAAGTTGAAGTTTTCCCTTTTTGTATTAAAGCCATTTGTCATTAACCAAGTGTTGCTGAGGCGACTTCAGGAACAGTGAGCTGCTGTCGTACATGTGAGTGCTAACCACTCAGCCACCGTACTAATGGATGATCATAGACTGACCTGACACATTTTGAATATACTGACCAGTTTTGGTTTTTGGTCCAAGGGTTGAGGCCCTTGTGTTCTTTTTTTTTTTTTTTTTTTTGGTCCAGAGTGGACACACATGGACTGAGTGTAATGGTTCAAACACGAACGTTTAGTTTGTGACTGAAATTATCTTCCAGGGATGATCTCACCCTGCTACTGGTTTGCAGCAGCCTTAAACCCGGTAGGTATTTGTGAGGTTCTCTGAGAACCATGTGTAATCTCGGAACAAGGTCTGAATGTGCTGAGCATTCTTATGTTACTCTCTAAGGCTTTGGTTTTGGGCCTAAACTGGTGTGTGCCAGATTATAACCATTTGCACACTTTAATGGAAACTGTGTGGTCTCCTTGGTCCCAGTCCCATGGGTCTGGGACTAAAATGTCTTTATTCTAAACTAACAATTCCACAGGTTTAACTTTTTGTTGGTTCAGACCAAATTGAAAAGAAGTGGTCTTGGCTTATTGAATGTAATGTATTTTTTTATTTGGTTTGGACTGGTCTAAATGTGAGCCAGATTTTTATTTGATTGTAATGGCGTTGGTCCTAACCCGTACACTGGACCGAAATACTGGTTATTCTAAACTAACACTTCCACAGGTTTAACTGATTTGTGTTTAAATCAGGTCTGAACTGACTGTCTTGGGTTTTTGAATATGGTTTTTGTGTTTGGTTTGGTTTGAACTGGTATAAATGTGAGCCAGGTTTGGACTGGTTTGAGCGTGATAGCTCTGGTTCTAACCCGTACACTGAACTGAAATACTGGTTATTCTAAACTAACACTTCCACAGGTTTAACTTTTTTTAATTGGTCTGAACCAGGTCTCTTTGGAACTGACTAATCCACAGAGACTGACCTTACTGAATGTGTTCGCATTTTTGTATTTTGAGTTTGTCTGAACTGGACTAAATGTGGACCAGATTTGGACTGGTTTATTGAGTGTAATAGCTCTGTTTCGAATCTTTACACTGAACTAAAATACTGGTTATTCTAATCTAAACTCTTCCACAGGTTTGCATTGTTAATGTTCTGTTCTTTTTAACCTTAAACCAGTTTGAAATATGTTGACATTTCTGTTAACCTTGTGTTTTAAATAGCAATGTTCAATCTCGTACTAATGTTGTGGGTCAATTCTACCATTTTTGTATGTTTTTGTTGTTGTTTTTTGATGCTTCTAACTCTTCTGAAATCTCTTCTCGTTTCAGATCTAAACTGTTTTACCTAATCTTTTAAATTAGTCTTTGCAGGTTCCAGAGGCTGTTTGTGGTGAGTATCTGCACGCACTTACTAACACACTAACCTTACAAAAGCATGGGCGGTGGGTCTAATCCAGCCACAGAGGGCGCTGTGTCCCTCTGTGCCAGTCCCCAGCCTGGACAAATGGAGAGGGTTGCTTTGGCGTAAAACCTGCCGCCTTTATCGTGATCACACATGTTTGAGTAACCCTTCATAATTGGTCTGTCTACATTTTCTTTTGTTCAGTAGAGATTGATTACAGAGCAGAAATTATCCAAATGATCCTTGAGAAAGTGTGTGGAGTTTAAAAACACAATGGAGAAATCCTGTATTAGCACTTGACTTCACAAGGGTTTTCTGTTTGAGAGAAGAACTCAAAGGCTGGTTTGTATGAAAGAAATCACACAAAATAAGACTTCCAGGTATGTTTTTGAATAGAAATGGGGATTATAGCAATAGAAGGCCTTAATGGGCCCTTTTTTAATGGTTTAGGACAGAGGTGTCACTCATTTTGGTCCGGGGCCGTATCCAACCGACTTTGATCCCAAAGGGGCCAGATCAGAAAACTCATGGCATAATAAACCTCAAAAAACAGCAATAAGTTCAAATATTTGTGCATCTTTATCTTTTCTAATTGAGGAACTGTTTCTTTTACAAAATATTATAATATTATGAACAACCTGAAACTTTAAGAAAAATGCTATTTCAACACAGTGTTTTAACATGAACTTGTATGTAAACGGGAATAAGTCAATTTTTTCTTGGAAAATCCTGCACTCGGCTCCACTTTTCTCATTTTTGACTTTTTGTTGATGAGGGTGTCACAGTCAACAGTCAAAAACGATCGTCCTTTAAGAGCGTTTTGGAAAGAGACAAGTCTTCATTTGTGCTGCTCTGGTGGGAGGGGCCACGTACAGAGACGCTGGAGACGCTGCTGTGATAAACACTGCACAAAATTACCAATAGAAAATATAATTCGAATATTTTAGTAGAAAATCAGCCGAGGGCCAGATTAAAGGTCTTGGAGGGCCGGATCCAGCCCCCGGGCCGTATGTTTGACACCCCTGGTTTAGGAGTTATAATCTCCATTTAAAAAGTCTGTCTTTGTTCAAGAACTTTGCTTATACCAATATTTATCGTTTGTCATTTATTTGCTTTTCATGAAGAAACCATAACATCAAATACAAAATGCTAACTACTATTATTAGGGATACATTTTTTTTTTTGCCATATCATACAGCCCTGATCAGAACGTAAACATATTCTACTTAAAACAGGGGTCTCCAAACTTTTTCCTCCAGTGAGCTCCTTTTACAAAACGAAAATGCCACAGAGCTGCTCATTTTAGTGGTCGCAAGAAATATAGGAGCGACAGCCTCAGGTAGGAACAGTTAGATTTAAAACGTTAAACCGTTATCCAGTTATTAGTGCACAAAATTATATATTTACAGTGGGCATTAAATTCATCAAATTTGATATTCAGCACAATATGTATAATTTCCTTGGCGAGCTCCTTGGAACAGGGTGGAGATAGAAGTTGGAGACCCCTGACTTAAAATGTAGTCAAGACCACTGTTGACCCATTTACTAAGAGTTATTTGGCCACGTTTACATGTTTTTTTTTTTTAATTCCGAATTGTTCCAAATTGAGGTTGAACATGGAAAACGCGTTAAATCGCATTTATTTAATTCCGCTCAACATCCGGGAATGGGTAAGGTTTCTGATTGGACAGACACACCACCGTATTTAAGTCGACCAGAAGAAAACACACACTTCAGCTGCTACCGGCTCGTTACGCCACGGACACAAACACGATCCAAACTTTTTTCGCAGTGATTCCGATGATAATGAAGTAGCAGCTGGAGAATTCTCTCATCACGCGTTACGTTTGTCAGCTGAGGAGGAGAAGGGAAGAGTGTCGGAGAAGAGAGGAAGAAGACAAACTGAGTCAACGGCTGCTCTTCCTCAGCCCACTCCCGCATCCCACTCGCAAATCCAAAGAGACGTGGATAAAAGTCCGAAGCCAGGATTGGGAGTCTGATCAGAAGAGCATGAGCTGAACGACCGGAATTTTAAGAATCAAAAGTTTACATGATCGACGAACTTTAATTTGGCTTTAAAATCTGAACAAACCATCCACTTACTTCGAAATTAAGTGTTTACTAAGTCTTTTTAAAGCAATTAATTTTTCATTCGGAATTAAAGTTCTCATGTAAACGTGGCCATTGTTGTTTTCAGTCCTCTTCTGGTCCCTTTTCTGTTTGCTCTCTAGTCCCCACCTTACTCTCTTCTTTAGGAGCTCCACGGGCTCCAGTGAGGTCCATCTGGCTGCTGGCCGCTCTGGACTCACTCACCGTGGGCTTGGGTTTCCTGTCAGACACGTTAAAGCTCCGGGACCTGTAATACGGAAGAAACCGATCATCTGCTACAGCCAGGTAGTCCGTGGAGTCTGACAAGTTCCTTCTGGCTGGTATTTTTGGTGGCACTGGTGGAGGAATGTCTGGGCTGGTTTCTACAACTCTTTCTTGCTGTTCAGTTTGTCTCGAAGAGTCCTGAAATTGCTGCGCTAGATTTGTAACAGTTGAAACTTTCGGCATTTGTCCAGCGACACTTGGATGTAGTTTATATTCTAAAGTCGCCGGCCACTGGTTCGGGGTTTGGCTGACCTGCTCCAGTAGTGATTTGTAGTCCACTTGCGTACAGTCACCAGGTTCTTTTGGACTGTAGATGATGCTACTCATAGTTCTCTTCTTTGTAATTACGTCTTCAGGAGGGTCGTATCTCAAAGACTTAGTTCTTTGTGGACGAGAACCAACTGGAATATCAAACGTTGGAGTTACGCTTTGAGGTTCTTCTGGTTCCTCTGGCTCATCTGGAGGGCTGATGATGATTGTACTCATTGATCTACGTTTGGTCAGGTGAGGTGATGTAGTTTGTTCTTCTTGTGGATAACATCGCAACGACTTTGTTCGTTTCGGAGGCGATGATGGACGAAGTCTGTTCTGATCGATGAGCTTGTCCAGTATCTGTGTGCTTCCCTGTAAATCTCTGGACACTATTTCTTGACTTGAGCTGAGAGACTTTTGCTCACACGGAGAGATCAAGATGTCCACACGTGACCCAGGTCTGGATCGTTCAATGCCGCACACTTCCAGGCTGTTGCTGTCCTTGTTCAGCGCAGAGTGAGTTGAGCGTACACTCTTTTGCTTCTCCACGGTTTTACTTTCATCCCCCTCTTTCTGCTTTTGAGAGAACTCCTCCATGTCCATGTGGAAGCGGTAGAGGCTGTACCCGTCGGCGCTGTTGATGCTGCCCTGGCGGTGGAGCGAGGAGGGGTCGCACACGGACGAGTTTCTTGAGTAACTTCGGGTCAGTTCCAGTTTGTCCACGCCGGCCAGCTTCTCCAGAGCCACGGCCATTCTCCCGTGGATCTCCTCCAGCTGGGCCAGGCGCAGGTCCACGGTCTGCAGCGAGGCCTTCATCGTGTTCTCCCTCTCGTTCACCTCCTCCAGACGCATGGACATGTTCTCCACTCTGCACAAGGACAGATCAGGGTTAAGGCTACGAGAAACCAACAGACTCTATAACGTCACTTACAGTGTTCAGTCAAATGAAGCTTGTTGAGATTTGCAGTAATGGGGGCGAGTTGAGTTCCATATTTGTTTCATAACAAAGAAAGAGCCAATTCTAAATGAAGTCAGTGGAAGATGACACCTTCTCACCCACACCACTGATGTTAGAGGGAGAAGAAGGTTCCTTGATTTGTCTGTCATTAATTTTGTTGATTTAGGGACAAAATTAGTAATATGAACATTTTAAGACTAAAATTATGGTATTTTTCGGACCACAAGTTGCACTTTTTTCATGGTTTGGGTGGGTCCTGTGACTTGTACTTGGGGGCGACTTATATCATTTCACATGTTCGTTAAGTATATTTTATTTGTACACTGACAGCCACAAGAGGGTGCTCTAGTCTTATGTGTCAGTATCTGCTACTCCTATAATTCCTGTACCACTGTCACTTGGCTCTACTGCGCATGTCTCCTGCAGAAAGAGCCTCTGTCCTGCTGCGAATAAATATAATAAATATTCAGCCAAAAATGGTAATCAAGCAGCAGAAGCAAAGTTTGGAGTGAGAGAGAAACTTGTGAGGGATACTCAAACTGCAAAGAAGAAAACAATCTACTCGTGGGCTAAAAGCAAGATTTAGCTATAGTTGGTGGAGTTGTTCAGAAGTGACACCGAGGATGAAGAATTGAATGGATTTAGTGATTTTGAGTGAGATGGAGAGTTTGTTAAACTTGTTCTGTTCTGTTGTTTATGTTATAGTTTATCTGAAGAACTGTTCATATGTGACGTTAAGTCTGTTGTTCTCTCTCTATTGTTTTTTCCTAGAATTTGACTTTCAACAGGAAATATCAGTTCCTGGTCTCTGATTTTTATAAAATAAATTTTCCCCAAAATAATTTGACTTTTGTTTTTTTAATTCTTCATTATGCATTTTTTGGCTGGTGCAACCTAGAAAATACGGTATTCTGACAATGATTACAGAGAGAGGAGTGATGATACATGCTCACTTCCTCGGAACGGGAAGACTAGCAGGTTAGCCATGTCCATTTATACAGTCTACAGTGAGACCAGAGGAATCTGTTCAGATGTTCAGAAAAACTGACCGCTCTGAGGTGACTTTGATGCGTTCATCGCTGGACGACTGCTGCTCGTCCTCCTTCTCCCTGAAGTATTCCTCCACACACTGCTCCTCAAACTCGTACAGGTTTTTCAGCTCCTCAGGATTCAACCTCAGCTCTGGGAAGAAACAAACGGATATCATCACGTATTTAAGTCTGTGCTCTGATCACCATCCAAAAGTTCTTGGATTTTTGACAGTGGACCTAATATCTGTGTAGATTTGAGACCATATTGAACAGTAAAGTTACACTAGCTGATTGTAAAAGTGTAAATGTAGACAATATACACACTGAGGCCGCGGTCCTTCTCGTCTAGCTCCCCCTCCTGTCTCTTCCTGGCACAGCGCCTGAACAGTCGGCTCTGGAGGATGTACAGGTGACTGAGGATGATGAGGGGAGGAGGAAGAATGGGCCGGTCGTGGAACGTCATGATGAGCTGGTATCTCTGGAACTTCCACACCTGGTTTGAGATGGACTTCACCTCAAAGAATGTGTTGCTGTGGGAAATATAAGAGTTCACAATTAATAAAACAGAACTCTAAATACCAACTTTTCTAGATATCCTGTGTCTCTAGAGCAGGGGTGGGCAATTATTTTTTTCTATAGAGCCATGTGAGAAACACAAAATATTGTGCAGTGTTAGGCCAAAATGCTTAACTCAGTTCTGCATAATATTAATTATATTTATTTATTTTTTAATAAACAGAAAAATGTCATTTAAAAATGACAGGTAAAATAATAAAATCTTTATTTTTTGTAATTCCATATGAGCTTAAATGGGCCGGTCAGTCAACCAAAGGACCCTTATGTGGCCCTGGAGCAGGACAATGCCCAGGTCTGATCTAGAGGTCAACAAAAGTTTGATAATTATTTTGCAAAAAAAATGGCAACGTAATGCACTTTAAACTATACAGAGGGTTGCAAATGTATCCTACGTTTACAAGATGCATTCAGATCTTTGCTAAAAGAATAACAAACTTTAACATATTTAAAAGTTTGGATTTCCTCAATTATAGTAAATATGCCTCTTTGTCTATGTGCCTTTGGTTGGTCGACCACATCTACTTCCTGGACACTAAGGACATTTAAACCAGGTTTACCAACACTAGGTCACAAATTTGATTTCCAACAGTGTTTAAAACTTTCAGAATATGAAATATTTCAAATTCCCTGACATAAAGGTTTAAAATTTTTACTGATATTGAGAAATACTATCTACTTATGTGGCGTAGGTAACATGAAACAGGACTAGACTCACTTGAAGACGGCGATGAGCAGGTTGACGAGCAGGATGTTGGCCACGAGCAGGTAACAGGCCATGATGGCCGGAGTGAGCCAGGCTCCAGGGATACACGGAGGCAGCTTCTTCCCGTCCTCGTCATACAGATGCTCACCACAAGGGGCTGCAAGAGGACGGCACGTCAGACAGTACGTCTTTGTGTCACTCGTATGTTTATCAGACTTAAACATTTTAACTATTTAAACAAACACTCACGGTTGATTTCCATGGCGTAGACTTGTACGAATCCCCAAGTAACACAAGAAAACGTAGAGAAAGATTCAAAAGCATTAAATTCACATTTATACTGTTTTATTTCAGAGCAAATATACTGTTGCCTATAGAGGTGCAATTATTTTTGCTTTAAACGATCTATTCACAGCAGTAATTTCACTAGAGCAGGTCTCATTCTGCTCAGAGTTGGTCACTGTCATGACTAGATGTTTCAAAACAAAATGTAGATATGACTCCAACTTTATGGGCAACAGTGAAAACAAAATTAAACAAAATTATGTGGTTATAAAAGTTAGATTAGCTTTAGATTAAGTCTGTAGTTGTAAAGAAGGTAAAATATGTAGGATTCTATTTTCTTTACATCGGCCTAAAACATTAAAAAAAAATATGGAAAAGAGCAGATTTGTTTGCAGATTTGTACATAAACATTTCTATCCTAAAATCCTACATATTATACTTTTTAATGACAAATGAATATTGTTTGTATTAGTCTTATGGAGTTATGATGTGTTTATGCTTCTTTAGCTCAGTTTTATTGTTAGACTGGATCAGGTTTAGTTTCATTCTACTTATGTCTAACAGTCAGTAGGGTCAAATGTGGATAATCTGACCAATATTTAGTCTATTGTTAGTAAAAAATTAGAAGAACTATTAGCTTTAATGTGAGGTTTAAGGGCCCATATTGCACTGTTTTCTGGTTTATGTTATAATGTTGTTTTCTCGTCACAAACAGACCTGGAGTTGTTTTGTTTCATTCACACATGTTTAACACACAAACCCTGCACATTTAGGCTGAGTTCTTTTCTCAAACTGAAGATGCTCTGTTCCATCTTGTGATGTCATGTGGTAATACATAGTGTCGTCGTACTGTTTTTCTTGGTCTCGTCTCTGACTCAACCGCATTTGGACTCGATCTTGTCTCGGACTCAAAGTCTGATACCCAACAAGTGTGATCATATTTCATTACGGCCGCTGCTGTCGGCAATAAACCTCTTACCGCAACAATTTGCCTAATAAAACTGCACAAATGCATCTGTATTTGTCACGACGTGCGTTTGGTAAATCCCACTGCAAAACCAGTAAGAGAATGTAACTCCAGTCAGGAACTTGAAGGTTTAAAAATCCTACCCACTTTTTTCTGTAAAGTGCCAGTGGAATGGGATTAAAGAAGGGGTTTTCAAACTGTGGGTCAGGGTCCAAAAAAGGGGCGTTTCAGTGCGGTAAATTTTGCTTGGCTTATTTTAGGCCTAAATTAACATTAATCAGAGCAAATGGAGATTTACAAAAAACATGGATATTTATATATTTGTGCCAAAATAACTGTAAAATACAAATAAATGTTGAAAATGACAAAGATGGTCTTGATTTGGTCTCGATGGGCCATGGTCTCGGTCTTGGTCTTGTCCTGGTGTCAGGACCCTGTGGTCTTGGACTAGTCTTGGTCTCGATTAGTGCAATCTTGACTATAACACTGAAGTGCTCCTGTGTTTTTAAACTCCACACACCTTCACTAGAATCATTTGAATGATTTCAGCTCCTGGAAATTTCCAATTTGTACTGAACTAAAGATTAAAGGTTATTGTTAACTTAAACTGGACAAGATGGAACAGAACATTTTGAGCTTTGGAGACGTAAACAGTCATAATAAAGGGTTAATCGAACATGTGTGAATGAAACAAAACACATCTCCAGGTTTGTTTTTTGAGGAGGAAACGACATTAGAACATGAAAGCTCACGAGAGTACGTTTTATGTAATATAGGACCTTTTTAATAATGAAAATAATTACATGTTGTATTTAAATTGAACAGAAAATGACCAGATGGCAGATGATCAGTTTTAGTGCTGTTTTTTTCGTATTATTGATGGAAATGACACGGATCATCTGCCCAGAATCAGGAAACCAAATCTTACTATGAATTCTAGTCTTACGGTCTATCGAGTCTGCAAAAACCTCCCCATAGATCATCCAGTACGGCATGTAGAAGATGTTTCGTGCCAGACGCCACGTCGGCTCCTCGTCCGGGTGGAGGATGGCCTGACGCGCCACTCCAAAACTCATGAGCACCACCAGCATGATCACCACGAAGTACATCATATCGATCATCTGAAGGAAGAGGAGAAGCGTTCAGTTCTGCAAGCATTGTACGGTTCAATGTAAAAGTCTACGTGATTTCATGTGCGATATGTAACTTGTTATATGGTGTTAAACTTCTTGCATTTATTCAATTAAACGTGCTGTTTTTGCTCAGGTACAGTGTATTGTTTGTGAGCTATGGAAGATCATTTGTTTAATCAGATTTTGGATTTTAAAATGGATTTTAAATTCTCATTTTGAATTTTTTAACTCTGAAAAAACATGTTGGAATTATTTTTATCTGAATTTTAGTTGCTGGAATTTTAAGTGTTCATTTTCAAAGTGTTTTAAAATACAGTATTAAAAAAAAAAAAAAAAAATCACCTTTTTACTGCAAATATTCAGCACAAAATATTTCAAGCCAAGAGTGCAAAATTCGCAATTTGCATGATTTTTATTTTGATTTTTTTTTTTTTTTAACTCTTAAGATGTTAGAATAATTTTTATTCTGAATATTAGTTACTGAAAATTTAAGTGTATTTTTTCAATATGTTTCAAAGTGAAAAAGTCAGTGGTATTTAAAATTCAAAATCTAATGGAACATATTATCTTCCATAGTGAACAGGCTTGCATCTCCACAGGTCTGACCTGTAACCTGCCTCCTGTTTGCTTCCATAGACGACAGGACAGTTTTTGACTAAACGAGACCAGACACTTAAGATTTTTCTCCACAAGATCAAAACAAAATGAGATTTTCAATCTCTAATTTAAAAAAAAAAAAAAAAAAAAAAAGTGTGATCCCATTTGCAGAATTGGTCCAACATTTTTGTATTTAACTTTTTTTGTTAATGTAGACCTAGTTTTTTGTAACTAAAGCCTTGTACGAAATTTAACTTCCCAGTCTTTGAGTCTTATTTTTTGTTTTTTGTCATATTTAAATGCAGACAAAATGGAAAAAAATCTCAATATAATTTTTCTCATGTGTCTCAATCTTGTGGCAATTTTATCTCACGAGCTCCTGTGGAATGAAGATCTTGTCACATCCCTAAGATGGATAATTTTAATGCAAGATTGTGGAACTTCACAAAAAGCAATAACATCTCCATGGAGAAAGCTACATGGTGTAAAATTATTGGGAAATATTAATTCTGATTTTGATTTGTTTTCCTCACTCAGATCATTTTAATTATCTCAAAATAGTTTTCAAAATTGTTGAGAGAAAGAAACAAAAATGTTCTACCTTACTTTGCAGAAAAAAGTTGTAACCAATGAAAATATTTAAACTAATAAAGAAGTGTTCATTCACTAATAAATCCACTGACTTTAAGTAACAGAGAGAAGGGTTTTTTTGGCGCGCAGACACAAATATAACCTGTTGTTTTTACCATTTTGCCGATCATCATGACGTAGGGCCCCAGATACTTGTTGACTCCGAAGATGTCGAGGACGCGGATGTACCAGAAGATGATGTCGATGCAGTAGATGACCCGACCGTAGCCCATGTACGGCTCAGGCTGCAGGCGAAGCATCAGGCCCAGGAGGAACGTGCAGATGGCCACCAGGTCCGTGATGTTCCAGTACTCCTCCATCCACACACTCACCTTCTGCTTCAGCTTCCCCGGCTCGGACATCAGGATCTACACGTGCACACGGATGTTTAAGGCTGGAACTACTACCCAGATTCATCAGTTTATAAATATCAGAAATTATTGTCTGCAAATTCAGGAATCGAATAAATTTTATCACAATTTTTGGGGCCAAAAAAAAAAAAGTTTAGGCTTCTAATGTTTAAAGGCCCCTGTTTTCTGATCTATATTTTAGTGTAGTTTCCTCATCACAAACAGACCTGTAGTTGTTTTGTTTCATTCACACAAACCCCGCAGATTTAGGCTGAGTTCTTCTCTCAAACGGAAAACATTCAATTCCACCTTGTGACGTCATGTGGTGATATTGGAAGTTCTCTAGTATTAGTATGTTTTTAAATTCCACACACCTTCGCTAGAATCATTTGGACAAATTCATCCCTGGAATTACCAAACTCTACTAAACAAAAGGTAAAAGGAGATGTTAACTTAAAAACGATCGTTTTTAAGTTACTCAAATGTTTATATGAAACAAAACACGACTCCAGGTCTGTTTCTGAGAAGGCAACTTAGACTTGGGCTACGTTCAGACTGCAGGGTTTAATGCTCAATTCGTAATTTTTTGTGAGATCTTTTTTTGTTTTTTTTTGCGATGTCATTTTTACATTCACAATTAAATGCGACTTGTATGTGATCTCCAGTGTGAACTTTAAACGCCCCAAAAGTGTCCCGCATGAGCATTGGAGGACACGACGACATAACACAGAAGTCGCCTAAACTCTGGGCTTGTCTCCCAAAATCTGGTCCAGTTCTTGGTAAAATGGACGGGTTACACGTCCACGGTCGCTTTGACTCTTTAGACTCCTTGTATTTGTCTCGCAGGTTCTTTATTTTTCGTTGACATTGGAGCCAGGACCGTCTGTCGCCGCGCTCAGGACATTTCTTTGGAAATCATTTCAAAAACCGCCCTGTTCTGATAAGACTCCTCCAATTTGTCCTGAACACAGCGATCCCAACAAGTATTACTAAAATCTCTAACCTCGCTTTCCCTCCATTGACGAGACTCTGAGCCTGACGTGTAGGTGGAATGAATGTGACCTGACCGTTCAGACTGAAGTCGCATGTCAAAAGATCAGATATGTATCGGTTTTAGGGGCACAGATCCAAGTGTCCTGAGTCACATTTGAAAAAAATCAGATTTGGGTCACTTCAGGTCGCAGTCTGAACGTAGCCATAGACTTTATTGATATAAATGTATGCACAGTAAGTAAACAAATATCGTAATTAGGGCTGGGTATCATTAAGAAGTTGCTGATACGATACATACTTCGATACATAGGCTATGATACGATACATATCTCGATACAGTGAACTTTCGATTCGATATGATATATTTCAAATTGATTCGATTTGGTTCAATAAAAAATAAAGGATAAATCAAGGCTGTGATACTAAAAGTCTTTGTCAAACCACTTCTTGTGCAAAGTTCATATGAAACACAAACATTTTAATCATCAAAACAGAGAAAATGTGAAATGTGTTGCATAAACCAGTTTCCTTCCTCTGAACAAGCGACAAAACTGTAGCTCTGTAACAAAATAATTGAGTAAAATATACCAAAAAATACTCTTGGTGATATATCGATACAGCAGCCCACGATATCGATACTGTATCATCACATTAAACGATACGATATATCAATATTTTCAATATTTTTGCACATCCCTAATCGTAATATAAACACAGATATATCAGTTATATACAAGAGAACAGCATTATAACATGACTTAAAGTTTACAAGAGTTAATTTTGTGAATATAAGACCTGTTAAACACTAGATTTGAACAGCTGAGTTGGGTTCGTTTGCTCTTACCTGTCTGACTTTCTCTGTACCAAGTGTGAGAATATACGCGATGACAATCCACTCCTGAATCGAAGGCCACCGCTCCATTTTCACCAGGATTATGTAGTTGTACAACATCAAGTAACCCAGGTAGGAAATCTGTGGAGGCGATATAACTGTTATTGTTCTCAAAGGAAGAGTGAGGATTTCGTTTACTGGTTGTAGGAAACGTACAGTGTTGAACCAGAACTTGGTGAATGGTGCGTCATAAAACTCAAAGTATCGTCTGGCAATGGGGATCTTCCGGACTTTGGTGCTTCCTTCCTCCTCGTCTCCTCTTCTGGACGTGGCATCGGCAGGTTCCTAATAAAACACAGATAATTGTTGAAAATGTCACCTTTTAAAAATCCAAAACAAAAACCCGTAGACTGTATAAAGAAGTGGACTAAGGGAGCGTGATGTCAGCCACAGCGTTCGGCTCCAGTCAACTGAAGCTCATCGAGGCAGGAAGTTATAGTTGTGAATTTTGGAAACATATTTTCCATTTCATATTTGGAATTCCAAACCAAAGAGCCAATCAGAGCGAGACATACCATATTTTTCGGACTATAAGGCACACGGATTATAAGGCACATTTATCGAAACAAACACTTGAGACTGATCCTTAGCCCAGGCAGTCCATTGGCAGATCCCTGTCTTGGTGAATGTGGATTATGAATGTGAATGTGGGTGGATCATGTAAGTCCTTCTAGTAGGAAATAAAAAACAAATATACATTGAGTACTAATGTGTTTCATGCAGCTTTGCACATTTGTTTACATTTTACAGAAACTAAACTTGAAACCACATGAGCCATTTGCATAAACTATAAGCCCTGAAAAAAAAAAAAAAAAAAACTGCTCGCTCCTTTTGCGCTGATGTGGTTCAGCTTCTGTCGGACTCCGTGAGGCTCTTGACGACAGAACTACTACTGGAGGCGGCAGTAGCTCAGTTGGTAGAGCGTTTGTCCAAATTCCATCATCGGTTGAGCGGTCAGATCCACTGACCCACAGGTTGGCTGGTGTGATTCCAGCTCCCACAAATGAATGCTGTCGTTGTGTCCTTGGGCAAGACGCTTAACCCACCTTGCCCCCACTGTCTGTGTACACTGGTGTGTGAATGTGTGAGTGGTTCCTTGTTGTAAAGCGCTTTGAGTGCCTTGAAGGTGGAAAAGCACTATAGAAAAATGTGACCATTTACTACACAATAACGCTTCGACAGTCCATCAAGCGGTGCGACTTTGTAGTTTACCGAAGTCGTACTAAAACGTTTTGACAGATTTTTGAGCGCCGTGTACCACATAAAACCGATTCAAGGTCAGTAAACACAACCAGAATTAATACATAAAGTGCACCAGATTATAAGGCACTCTGTTGATTTTTGAGAAAATTAAAGCATTTTAAGTGCGCCTTATAGTCCGAAAAATACGGTATTTACCATGTTGACATGTTATCAAGGTAATTGGACTTCCTACTTTATTGTCTTAAAAAGAACCCAAGAAGTCAATCAAACCTTTTTTTCTAATGCTAGTAGCAGCAACTTTAGGGAAAGAAGGTTTCTCATTTGTCTCCTATAATGTTCACGTCTTGATTTATGGACAAAATAGAAAAATAAAAACACTAGGATCATGTAGAGCGGGTTAATACGAACATTCAAAGACCAAAATGAGGAGTCTGACAGCAGAAGTTGGAGAGAGACGAATTACAGACGCTGTTTTTTCCAATAGAAAGTGAATTGGAGCTGGAGTCGATGGAGCTGGGATGCACGCCCATGTTCACGTTCCAATTTGAAATGTGACGGCTATATACAGTCTATGGAAAGACCCCAAAATTCTTTCACACAAACCTTTCCAGATTTTGTGTCCTCGTCTTTCTCTTTCCCGTCGTCCATCCCTGATCCTGCCTGATACGCGTCGTCTCCAACTCGGAAATCCAACAGCAGGATCAGAGGAGGAAAAATGATCCCCAGAATAACCTGAAAGAATAATGTAAATATGAAAACATTATAAAAATAGAATGTATCTGTATCTGCAAAGGAACTGATTTTGAACTAAAGGGACACCTTGAGGCCGGGGTTCTTTCCGATGCGCAGACAGCCCATCCACATGTCTGTGAGTAACATCTGGCTGCAGGTGTGGGCGATGAAGTCCCTCTGTTTGGCGGCGACGGCCAGTTTGAGGCAGGTGGAGTTGCTCCAGTTCACCAGTTCGTAGGTGAGGAGCTTCATGGCCACCTGCTCATCGTGTTTGTACGACTGGTCCAGCAGCTCGTACGCCAACTGCCCAAACTCTCTGGAATGGAATAACAAGTGGGCTTTAAAAACGTTTTAAAATGTTTTCTGGTGAACGTCTGCTACACACTAGTATCTGTGGAGATGCCATACTGTGGAATATGGGTCTGGTCAAGTGTTAACGGAGGGAAACAGGGGCAGATTTTTGACATTCAAATGTCTCTTATTCAGAAACTAGAGGAACTATTGAAATAAGTAAAGTATCAGAATGTAGGAAAGAGTTACACTCCAACAGGGTCAAGTTAAACCTGTGATATTCTTTCAAGTTGTTGACAAAAAATTAAAAAACTCATGTCGGTAACGGAGGGAATGAAATATGCAGCACTTTTTGGGCAATAAATCCAAACAGTGATAACTCTTGGTTCTCACTTACATATCCTTAACAAACTGGTTTGAATATTTGCTTCATATAGTTTTCTACCATATGGTACAAGATTAGGTTGAAAAACCTCTTACTTTTTGACTCATGAGATTTTTTATTAAGAAAGGTCATGGTAACGGAGGGAAAATTGTACAAACAAGTAGAAGGTGCAGGATTTTACATAATTTGTCGCTTTTTTCTTCCGAATACTTTAATATTACTTCAAAATGAAAGGAAACTATTTCTATAAAATATGTCAGTCCTTCCAAGCAAATTTTTATCATTTTAAATACATTTTTTTTTTTAAAATCATGTACCTTCATCAACAGTTCAAAGATGGAATAACACAAGATATGATGAAATACATCCATTTATTTACATGATTTGCAGGTCTTTGAAATTTGGGAAATAATTTTTGTTCCATGTTTCATACATGGTCTGTTTAAAACATATGGAACTTTAGAACCAAAAATGGTACAGAAAAAAGGTCAACAGTTTCATAAACTAGAGTACATATGTATCTGTTCAATACATTTTTATATCAGATGCATTAACTTGAAGTTTTGGCCTTGTTGTTTACTTCTGCTTGACTGGGCCCTAATATGAAAATGAGGTGATATATATTGTACTGTTCATAGCATATCTGGTCTACCTGGAGTTGTTCTCGAGGTCCTGGGAGATGTCGTCCACCAGTTCGCTCTCTGAACACTCGTGGGCCATGGCTTTGTACAGTTTACAGGCCACCAGCGCTTTGGCCATGGCCTCCTCCCCGCGCTGCCACAGGAACAGCGCCATCTTCTGTCTCTTCATGAGCACGGCCCACAGCATCAGCTCGTGGAAGGGGAACTTGAACCTGCACACCTCCGGGTCGTCCACGTCGATCTCCACCTCCTCCTCTTTTTTCTTCTTTGGTTTTTTTTTACCCTTTGTTCGAGGCTCGTCATCCTGAAAAAAAAAATGTGTTGGTTATTGTCGAGTTTGAACCAAAAGTAGAACTGGTTTTGATTTATTTTGAACATCTTACCTCCATTCCTAAAAGTTTGAGCGCTTTGGGCTGTGAAAGACAAAGTACATGAATATTTTGATTTGACATTGGTGTAAAAAATCTACTCTTAAAGCAAATCTATTCTACAAAACTTGTAAACTTGTTAACGTTGTCAGTCAAATGGACTGGAAGAGCCAGTAGAACAGAGCAGCAGTTAAAAACACATTTGTGTCTTAAATTCTTCTCCCGACGTGAAATATAAAAGACAATAACAAATATAAAATCGTACAACTTAAATGTCACTGGTGAAAACAACCTGTAGACTCATGATGTCTGCACTACTGTCCTATACACAAACACACACAAACACACTCACACAAACACCCAAACAAACACAAACACGTTTGTCAACCCACATTAACCTGAGAACGCGCGGACCACGTTTGTTGTTACTGTGCAGACACTGACGTGCTCCCGTGATTACGTTTCTCGCGTAAAACCGCGCTTCCTCCTGTGCTCTAAACCAGAACTAAAACCAGGACTAACACCAGGACTAAAGCAGGTCTAAACCAGTCTAAACCAGCTAAGTATCTCATATATAAAGCATTTCTATATCAATAATATTTTTAATATGAAGGAAAGACTGGACTTTTTATTTCTTTAAGTAGACAAAAGTTATTGTGTTCAGATTTCCTCGTCTTTGCTATCACAGCAAACAGTTTCATTCATGCTTGGACTCAACAGCCAATTTGGAGACATTTGTTAAACAAAAATGACTTTATAAAGTCACTTTTTTTGTTCTATATCAGTCTTTTGATCTGCCACAATAATGTAATAATGAATTTAAATGAAAATACTTTGAAGCTTTTCTCAGTTTTCATTAATCGTGAGGTTATTGTTTCTTTCTCATTTACTTTTCTCTGTAGTTGTATGTGGAGTGATTCGTGCAAGTTTGAATCATCTTTAATCGCTTATTTTCAAGAAGCATTTGCTGATCAACCCCCATTTTCACCATCACACGCGCTTCAGTCTTAATCTGTGATACATGTAGGATTCGTTCAGTCACTTTAGCACAAATGAAAAGCTGTCCACAGGAGGGGCCGACTCTTTGTTGTGACGTTTACGGCAACGTCAGCTCACATCGGGCACCGCAGTTTTCTGAAGCTGAAGTCGGCGTACATTTTTTTGTTCATTTTAGATCAGTATTGTGATTTAAAACGTCCAGATTATAATGATCCACGGCACAGTCCTTACATGGGTCCATTTATGGAGACCTGCACCCGCCCTTGAACTCGTGAATATATCAAAGTTAAATTCGCACCCACCCGGACCCATTACCATTGTTACCCGCCTGCGCCCGTGATAAATCTGCATCAGCCCTTTAGTCCAACAGCCCAACAGTCCAGGACTAAACCAGGACTGAACCTACGCCACGTGTCATTTGCAGTTGCGGCGTCTATATATTTATAATCTGCTGAGCCAATCACCAGGACTAAACCAGGTCTAAACCAGGTCTAAACCAGGTCTAAACCAGGTCTAAACCAGGTCTAAACCAGGTCTAAACCAGGACTACACCAGGACTACACCAGGACTACACCAGGACTACACCAGGACTACACCAGGACTACACCAGGACTACACCAGGACTACACCAGGACTACACCAGGACTACACCAGGACTACACCAGGACTACACCAGAACACTATGCCATGTCATTAGTGGATTATAAATATATACACCGCAGCTGCAGAGCCGATCGCCAGGGCTGGACCAGGACTGGACCAGGACTGGACCAGGACTGGACCAGGACTGGACCAGGACTGGACCAGGACTGGACCAGGACTGGACCAGGACTGGACCAGGACTGGACCAGGACTGGACCAGGACTGGACCAGGACTGGAAAGGACTGGACCGGAACATAGTCACTGAGCCGATCTCCTCTGCTGATGGTTTTATGTAATAAAAACACTAAAGTCTCTCTCAGTCTGGTCCATCGTTCCAGGAAAAGACCAGGAAATGGCACTTTCCAGGAAAACAGACGTCCAGGGGGCATCAAGTATTTTTCTCCCGTTTGTCGTTCGTTTGATTCACCTGACCCACTTCTGTGTGATCACTACCCCCCTGTAAAAATTCCAGAACCTTAAAACCCACCCGTTTCAGTGACTATTTGCAGATACCCGACCCGGTGCAGGACTCTGATCCACGGGGGTCAGAGATTAAAACTGTAACCCACAAGCACAGTATTCTTTGAAACAGGATAATTTTGGCGTTACCCTCTTGAGTCCATACAGAGTGTTGTAGAGGTTTCTGAAAGCCTTTCGTGTGTATTTGCTCCTGTAAGCTCCGCCCATCAGATACTCCAGGACCAGCCCGATGTCGATCAGAGTGATCTGATAATCAGGAGGAAGATTCCCCTGAAAAACAACATACAGATTCATGGATTTCAGCTTCCTGTTAACACTGAAGACTTTTTACCGTTCAAAAGATATAATATTTTAAATCGTTAATCGCTGTGGTAGTGTTCCTCATTTTTCATCTTTCTGGACCCACGTTTTTGTTTTTCCTTATTTCCTATTTATAGGCGAGTTTCATTGTTGACAAAAGCGCGCATTGCATGCTGGGAATTATTTTGGTCGGCGGCAAGAAACACTAATTCAACATGATGGACGGAGCAAGAAAGCACGTAAAGGGTATTGATCCCGGTTATTTATCCACTCTAACGGCAGAGGACCCGAGACCATGTGACCAGAAATTGGTCATAAACATCGACGGACGACAAATCACCCTTTTCAACCCCGACAAAACCTGGACCAAACCAAATTTCTGGTCAGAATCACCAACTACCTGGACAAATATTCACTTGGGCGATATCCACAATGACTTGGTGGAAACTCCTGGGCCATTCACAGCAGAAAAGATGAAAACCTCCAAGAGTCTCGATGTGTTGTTGAACTTGTTGGAGTCCACGGTTTGTTAGGATCTTCTACGTTTGCTCTGCGGATGTTTGAAAGTTGTTTAATTCACCGTTAGCGGTTCTTTTCACTCAGAATACGAAAAAAGACATTTTCCTTCTTCCGTGCTTCTATTTGTGCGTCCGATAATGCAGCAGGAATTTACCATTATCGGGGAGAAATACGCGAGGTTACGCACTGTGTTTGACGCTACCGTGTTTCTTGCCTCCGACCAAAATATTTCCCAGCAGCAACGCGGGCTTTTAATAACAATGACGTCAGCTGAAACTCGCCTATTCCCTTGGTTGAATGGGATTGTTTAGGTGTCAGAATAATGTTCATACAGACCTCACGAAGACTGAAATGGTTTTAAGTTTACCTTTTTTACATCTCGTACCACAGGATGCAAGGGTGTTGGCGGGGCCCAGTTTCTACACAAAACATGAGTACATTAGTTTCATCTTCACTTTTATTTTCTTTAGTATGTCAGAGTTTTGCGTTTGCTCACCGTGTTGTAGAGCTCCTCCAGTCTGGGGATGGTCAGGAAGTGGTGAATGTTGACTCCGTTTTCCAGAAGCAGCTTCACAAAGTCCACTCTGTCCAGGACCAGAGCGTCCATCATGGCCTGCTCCAGAGAGTTCACCTGAGAGGAGCATGGAGAGAGAGTCATTAAAACAGACCTATTCTGCAAAATTGACTTTTCAGAGCTTTTACATTTGTTTCCTCTTCTTATTTACTCACCGGACATTGTATTTGGAGTGATTTGTGCATGTTTGACAATCTTTAATCGCATATTTTCACTGCCACCTGCTCTGTATTTTCTTCGTCCTCTAGTTGTATTTCCTTAATTGTTGATACACGGAGGATTTGGTGGCGTCGTGTAGTAATTTTAGCACAAATTACATAAAATCTGTACTTAACTCACAATTAGGGTTGTGCAAAAATTATTGTAGTATCGATATATCTTTTTGTTATGAATATGATGATACAGTACTTATCATGGGCTGCAGTATCGATATATCGCCAAGAATATTTTTTTGGTGTATTTTACTAAATTATTTTGTTACAAAGCTACAGTTTTGTTGTTTGTTCAGAGGAAGGAAACTCATTTATGCGACACATTTGACATTTTCACTGTTCTGATGATTAAAATGTTTGTGTTTCTTATGAACTTTGCACAGGAAGTGGTTTAACAGAAACGTTTAGTTTCACAACCATGATTTAGCCGTTATTTTATATTAAATCAATTTGAAACACAGGGAACTTTCGATTCAGTATATCGAGATATGTATCGTATCTTGGCGTATGTGTTGAGTTATGTATCTGCAACTTCTTAATGATATTCAACCCTAATCACAATATGTCTTTAATACAACGATGTAATTTAAAAGGATGAAGTTATAGCTCTTTAATGTACACTGTGTTATGTAGTTGTAGTTGTAGTAGTTGTAGATGTAGTTGTAGATGTAGTTGTTGTAGTAGTTGTAGTCGTTGTTGTAGTTGTAGTAGTTGTAGTAGTATTTGTTGTAGTATTTGTTGTAGTTGTAGTAGTTGTTGTAGTTGTAGTAGTTGTTGTTGTAGTCGTAGTAGTTGTTGTTGTAGTCGTAGTAGTTGTTGTTGTAGTCGTAGTAGTTGTTGTTGTAGTCGTAGTAGTTGTTGTAGTAGTAGTAGTAGTTGTAGTAGTAGTAGTAGTAGTAGTAGTTGTAGTTCTTGTAGTTGCAGTTATTGTAGTTGTTGTAGTTGTTGTTGTAGTAGTTGTTGTTGTTGTAGTAGTTGTTGTAGTTGTTGTAGTTGTCGTAGTAGTTGTTGTAGTTGTTGTAGTTGTAGTTGTAGTAGTAGTTGTTGTAGTTGTTGTAGTAGTTGTAGTTCTTGTAGTTGCAGTTGTTGTAGTAGTTGTTGTTGTAGTAGTTGTTGTAGTAGTTGTTGTGTTGTTGTAGTTGTTGTTATTGTAGTTGTTGTAGTAGTAGTAGTAGTCGTTGTAGTAGTAGTCGTTGTAGTAGTTGTAGTCGTTGTTGTAGTAGTCGTTGTAGTAGTTTGTAGTAGTCGTTGTAGTAGTTGTTGTAGTTGTTGTAGTAGTCGTCGTAGTAGTAGTTGTAGTTGTCGTAGTAGTAGTTGTCGTAGTTGTAGTAGTTGTCGTAGTAGTAGTAGTAGTAGTAGTAGTTGTCGTAGTAGTAGTAGTCGTAGTAGTAGTCGTAGTTGTCGTAGTTGTATGATTAATTAATTTTGTTTTGAAACCCTTAACTGTATCTAGTATTTTTCTTTTCATCACTACTTTTTTTCTTTCTTACTCTTTTAATTTAATAAACCACTTTTTTTTTACTTCAGCCTAATACATCTGGGTTTTTATCGTTGCATCCCTCATCTCCAAGCAAAGAGCTCGTAACACTCTTGTCACGTGGTAATATACGAAGTGCTCCATTGTGTTTTTAAACTCCACACGCCTTCATTTGAATCATTTGGATGATTTCAGCCCAATCTCCACTGAACTAAAGGTAAAAGGAGCTGGAAAATTACCACTCACCTCCTCCAAAACACACCAGGAGTTGGAACAAAGAGCCCAACATGACTAAAAGTTCAGGTGTGTTTATTTTGCGTAATATAGAACCTTTAAATCATTGATATTGACCAGCATAATGTTCATCTGCCACAATAATGATCAGTAAATATCATGATGTAATGGTTTGACTTACATATATGAAAAAATGACATCTATCTTGATCACGTACCCAGCGTATGAGCTCCAGTTTGCGTGGGTCCGTCTCCTCCGGGGGCTCTGGTTTGGTTTTGCCTTTGCCTTTGCCCTTCTTGGCGCGGGCTTTGCTTTGGGGGGCGGTGGCGGGACTCTTCTGTTTCTCCTGAGGGGCTGGTGTGGTGGTGGTGGCGGCGAGCGCACCTGCGGGCTACACAAAGGCTTTAAATTAGGCACAGAGAGCAAATGGCGGTAAAGAAGTGTCTGACAGTCTGTTGTTTGTTTTCTTAACCAATAGTTGTTCTTATTTTCCTTGCAATTTTGAGTTTGGCACAATTATCAAAACACAAAAAGTTATTTAGGTGATATTTTGTTCTTTGCTGAGGAATATCTATCTCGTCTACCTGTCTTCTTCTTGTCTCTTACTGTTTTCTAGCCTGATTCATCAGCTGGTTTCACTTCGTAGAAACCGTGTGACCTCGCAGCATTAGGATTCGTTCGCTCGACGGTAGGCGGGGACTTTTTATATTTAACCAATCGCTGCTGTTTGGTCGTGACGTTTGTAATGCTCCAAATCCCGTAGGAAGAAGAACAATAACGTCTTTCCCCTTGATAAAATTCACCAAATGTTCTTTGTTCCGGCTTTAAATCCTCGATCTGTGGAATCGTTGCCAACACAGAATGTCTGTCTTCGTCTACATCCATCTCGACGGCTTTGTTTACTGTTGTGCTGTTCCACAAAAGGGACACAGACAGAGGCCACGAGTTTGACGTCATGACTTGGTGGTCGGTGCGCGGTCTACAACTTCCAGGGTTCTTACAAACCGTCTAGTGGCACCAGCCTGGCTAACCAACCATACTATGCCTCAATGTAGAAGCATGGTGCTGAAATGGGGTGGCTGCTGAAGTTGAGTTTGACACTTCTCTTCTAGTGTATTCTGATTCTTGACCTAGTCGCTGGAGAGAAATGAAATTGAGCGGAGACACAAGGTGGCGCCAGACTGACTAATAGTTTAGACCCAGTCACAATACTTTTCATAAACATTGCAATTAGTTCTTCCTTTTTTTTTTCTTTTGGCAGCTGAACATAATGGAGATGAACTTACAATAGGTTAATTAAATGTGACAGTATTTTATTATGACCTGGAGGAACATCTTTTTTGCGCAGCTTTGGCTCAAAAGTCTGTATATGACACAGGGTTCACCATGGTCATGGAAATCCTGGAAAAAGTCATGGAAATTGAAAATGTCATCTTCCAGGCTTGGAAAAGTCATGAAATTTTGTAAATTCAATGAAAGTTTTGGAAAAATCATGAAACTTTAGTATCTTTCGCACAACTACAGCGTTCTATTAATCATAATAGCCTCATGAGAACTTATTTCTGAACGTCTGCACCTTTTTGTTTAAAAGAGACGACAATAAATGCACTGACAGGATTTTGAATGTTAAAAAACTATAATCCCAAACCATAAGGTGAGTGGAAAGAGTTCACATTTCATATTTAGCTCTGAAACTATGATCAATTCTACACATGTAGGTGCCGTAAAGTTATGGAAAATTCACTTTAGGTCATGAAAAAGTCATGGAAAAGTTTTGAAATTCTGTCAATGAAAGAGAGTGGGGACCTTGATGACTGTACACATGTCGATAAACCCGTCACTGCAAACACGACTAAAACTTCACTTCACTTCAGTCTCAGAAACACTCACTGGCAGATGATGTCCGTAAACAAAGATGTGATTGCGAGCGATGTCCACTCTGTTCCAGGCCAGAGCCAGACTCAGCTGGTCTGGGGCGGAGGCGTTTGTCCCTGGTGCAGACAAATAAAGTGAAATAAGTGACGCAGAATTCAGAGTTTTACCACAGTTTTCTATTTTATCAGACACAAAACAGCAGACACACAGTCAGAGCGTTTACCTTTCAGCAGAGCCGTCAGAATGGCCATTTCGATGTCCTGCTGTCCCTCTGAGCCCATTCGAAACACTGTGATCTGAAGAGCAAAGGTTTGTTTTTATTACACACTTAACCAACCACTGTTTGACCGTTCAGTGATGTTAAATCTAAGTGAGACAGTCTGTAGTCTGTAGGTTTGTTCTCTAAATATTGGGGATGTGACTTTTATGCTTTCTTCAGGTAGAAAAATGAACAATGAAAGATGAAATTGACTGATGAATATACCTATGTCACCTTTCCCATTTTTATTTGCCTTATTTTTATTTTATCATTTATATATGGGTCCGGTCAAGCAGAAGTAAACAATGCCAAAAATTCAAGTTAATGCATCTGATATTAAAATGTATTGAACAGATACATATGTACTCTAGTTTTTTTGGTTCTAAAGTTCCATATGTTTTAAACAGACCATGTATGAAACATGGAACAAAAATTATTTCCCAAATTTCAAAGACCTGCAAATCATGTAAATAAATGGATGTATTTCATCATATCTTGTGTTATTCCATCTTTGAACTGTTGATGAAGGTACATGATTTTTTTTTTTTTAAATGTATTTAAAATTATAAAAATTTGCTTGGAAGGACTGAAATATTTTATAGAAATAGTTTCCTTTCATTTTGAAGTAATATTAAAGTTTTCAACCTAATCTTGAGTCAAAAAGTAAGAGGTTTTTCAACCTAATCTTGTACCATATGGTAGAAAACTATATGAAGCAAATATTCAAACCAGTTTGTTAAGGATATGTAAGTGAGAACCAAGAGTTATCACTGTTTGGATTTATTGACCAAAAAGTGCTGCATATTTCATTCCCTCCGTTACCGAACATGAGTTTTTAAATTTTTTGTGTCAACAACTTGAAAGAATATCACAGGTTTAACTTGACCCTGTTGGAGTGTAACTCTTTCCTACATTCTGATACTTTACTTATTTCAATAGTTCCTCTAGTTTCTGAATAAGAGACATTTGAATGTCAAAAATCTGCCCCTTTCCCTCCTTTACCGTTTGATCGGATCCATTTACTATTGTTTTATGTTGCACCACACCACAGAAGCAAGTTCCTATCCTGCCCTACAAAGTCAGAACGCCGTAATATCATGTTTAGGCAAAAATGTTTTATGTCATTTTGTTTGTATTTGAGACCAACTTTATCACATGAATAAATATTGTGAAAAATATTGAGCTCAAAATTGACCTTTTGGCTTTATTTTGTCAGTTTCTGTTCTCTGCTTTTGTATCATGAGACAAAAATAAGGAGTCGTGCAAAGACAAAAGGCAGAAACAGTGTGTGTTTTGTTTGTGATTTAGTTCATAAATAGATTTTATTTTAAAATCCAACCTCTAGTCGTCTTTTTGTTGTGTCCTTGGCTCACGGTTTTAACACTTTAAACAAATAAACCTTTGTATTTAATTATACGTCAATTATCTTTAAAGTGAAAGTATTTTGTGTATTTATTCATACTGTACACACTTTACTGCAAAGTCGCTCGTGTAAAACTGTTTAACTGTGTAAGTGTCGCTCCTCGACTCTGATCTAAACTAAATGGAAAATCCAAAACTCTTGTAGATCATTTCAAACAAACTCCGTGATGACTCGAGCTCGGTGAGGTGTTTTTTTTTTGTTTTTTTTTTAATAATGGATGGAAGTTTGGGCAAATTGAAGCAAATAATAATAATGATCATGTCAGTTTCTGCCTTTTGTCTTTACACGAAAACTTTTTTTTGGCTCATGATACAAAGGCAGAGAACAGGAACTGACAAATAAGTGTCAAAGGGCAATTTTGAGCTCAGTATTTTTCACATATCAAATATTTCTTCATCATAGCGACTAGTTGTCAAAGTTTGGGAGCCCGACCTATTAAACGTTTGTCTGGACTAAACAAACTTTGACGTAATTTTTCTCAGTTTCACACTCTGGAGAGTTGAAGTCGTTTGCCTTTGTACTGCAGTATTGAAGACTATATCAAGTAATACAGTATCGTGAGTGTACCACATGCATGCATCAAATACTGAAATTATATATTTGTTTGACTAATACATATTGAGTTGCTTAACCACTGAAATCTTATGTTTAAAGGTACCACTATGTGAAACATGTATGTTTTTAAGGTAATCTTTGTGCAGGGTTGTGTCTTTTTAAGGCAGGGGTGTCAAACTCATTTTGGTCCGGGGGCCGTATCCAACCTACTTTGACCCCCAGGGGCCGCATCAGAAAATACTCATGTCATATAAACCTCAAAAATAGCAATAAGTTCAAATATTTGTGCAGAGAAATGCAAATCTATTACAGAAATCTTTTTTAATTGATGAACTCTTTCTTTTACAAAATATTATAATATTATGAACAACCTGAAACTTTAAAAAAAATGCTATTTTAACACAATGTTTTAACATGAACTTGTCTGTAAACAGGAATAAGTCCATTTTTGTTGTAAAATCCTGCACTCGGCTCCACTTTTCTCATGTTGGACATTTTTCTGATGAGGGTGTCACGGTCAACAGTCAAAACGATCGTCCTTTAAGAGCGTTTGGAAAGAGACAAGTCTTCATTTGTGCTGCTCTGGTGGGAGGGGCCACGTACAGAGACGCTGGAGACGCTGCTGTGATAAACACCACAGAAAATTAACAAGATTTTAATAGAAAATATAATTAAAATATTTTAGTAGAAAATCATCTGAGGGCCAGATTAAAGCTCTTGGAGGGCCGGATCTGGCCCCCGGGCCTTATGTTTGACACCTGTGTTTTAAGGAAATCCATTGTCGAGCAGCAGCCTTGGAGATGGTTCGGCCTGGTACGAAACCAAACAAACTGGCTGTGGTTTATATTTGGCTGCTGTCATCCCCCCGACCCTGAAAGGAAAGCGGCGATACTCCAAGGAGGATTCAAGGCTTTACCTGTTCAACCTTTTATTTGCATATTAATATGGATGGATTATAACTCTGGGTGAGGGATGGACCGGCGCTCAGATTGTCTGATGTACGTCCTGTGTAGCTGTAGGCCGTTAGGGACAACGATCTGACCCAGAGCTCTGTATTAGAATTGTATTGAATAGGGAATAAATTCTTTTTGCTTTTAATTGATCGATTCCAGTTGTCATTTTTGGGAGAACACGCTTAATGTTTTTTTGAAGTTGCCTAACAGTATATTGTGAATTATTTTTACTGACATCGTTAATACCACTTTTTTTGACTGAAGAATGCTGCTGGGGTAATTTGTCAAGAACATAAACGCTATTGTACGTTTTGAGACTGAGGAGAACCAAGTTGTTGTAGTCTGAAGCCTTTAAAATCTTGATATAAGACGAGCTTGCCTCACCTTTTATTCTCCATATTCTCTGGACTTGCAACTGTTTACCCAACGTCATGACCACAGACTCAGAAAAAAACACATTATTTTGATCTTAATGTTCATATCTTTCCGCTGTGCATGATCCTGGTGTTTTTATTTCACTATTTTGTCCTTAAATCAATTCCTTTTCCTAACATGGAACCGGCTCCAAGTTCACTCCTGTAACTGCCGGCCTCGGTGAGCTTCATTTGGGTCACACTACTTCTTTACTCGGTCTGTGCTCCTGACTCAAAGTGGGTCAGGGTAAATGGCACCTCTTCGCCGCTCCGTGCCGCGCTCGTCTGTTACGTAACGGAGTAAAGTGCTCTGGATGTGTTTGTGACGTCCAGCTGTTCAGTCGATGCACTTAGGATTAAAGGAGGCCAGACAGAGACGTGCTTCACCTGACTTTAACACAGACCTCGTAATGACATTTACACTGTTCACGTCAACTGCACCAACATGAACATGACCATCACCATGACCAGCACCTCCACCAGCAGCAGAAGCTTTCAGCGCCAACGCAACACACGTTCAAAAACACCATTACAAAGTTTAATACTCGTCAGAACTCTGAACTAGAGCTGTTATCCTCCTAGAACCCAAACTGTTGCACGGCTTTACTGATTTCTCTGCGCTTTGGGCTGATTGGTACGGAAGCCGAGAGGGGTGACAACAAACGCAAATGCGACAACACAACATAAAGCCACAACACACCAAAAAAAGCCACAACGGAACTGTCTGCGGGACTCTATTTTAATGCAAACGCCGTGACACAACAAAAAGCCGCGACGGAACATAAAGCCGCGACACATCAAAAAGCCGCGACAGAAGTGACCGCGGGACTCTTTTTTAATGCAAACGCCGCGACACATCAAAACGCCGCGACACAACAAAAGCTGCAACGGAAGTGACCGCGGGACTCTATTTTCCGACGGACCGATCAAGTGGCAAGTGAAGAAGAATTACAACGTGAAAAGTAAAGGAACGGAGAAGTTGGAAACGTAAGTAAAAGGAATTTATTGTTTTTTGTTTTTTTTTAAAAACATATTTTATTAAGTTTTCAACATTTTAACACAAGACACAAAGCAAAGAGCAGTCTGAGCATGTGTTTGAGTTTTTCTCATTACATATTAACCCAATTAGGCAAGACACACTGACGCGGTCAAACAGGCAAACCAACCGCCCGCCACAACACTGAGCCTGTACCTAATGATACTGAGATCACCGGGCAAGAAATCAAGCAGAGGCGACACAACTCCATAAAAAAATCATCATTACCTTTCAATTTTGCGCTGACTCTTTCCATGGGTAAGACTCTAAAAATGTCTTTATACCACTGGGTGACAGTTGGTGGCTTCTCTTGAATCCAATCAAACAGCACACACACGTGCCAGAAATGGTAATTTAGCTACTAATTTTAATTTACTTTTGTCTGCCACTTTGTTTAATGGTGGCAGCTCCAGCAGAAACCAACCCGGATCCTTCACCAGTTTTAATTTCACTATGTTGCTTATTTCTTCAGTTGTACATTGCCAGAACTTTGAGATTTTTGGGCAAGTCCACAGACAGTGTAAATAAGTCCCATCTGTTGCCTTACATTTAAGACATAAAGGTGATCTACTTGGGTTTATCCTGCTCAAAAAAACTGGTGTTCTGTGCTGCCTGTGTAAAATTTTAAATTGGGTGTCTTTATATTTGTTGTTAAGGAATAGTGAATGAGGAATTTATTGTTTTATCGTTATTCATTTCACGTTGTAGTAGTTCTTCTTCACTTGCCGCTTGATCGGTCCGTCGGAAAATGGAGTCCCGCGTTTTGACCTGGTGGGAGCGTCTGTCCTGTTTTCGTGTTTCTTTTGGGTTCAGGTTGGTTTGGGGTTTTTCTTGTCTTTAGTTACAGGCGCTGGCGCCGGCTTCTACGGCCTGTACGGGGTCGGCCCGGTGTCGCACCTTGTTTGTTCTGTTTGGCCGCCTCGCCAGGTCCACCTTTCTGTTCATTACTTTTCATTAGGGTTTTTTTTTCGTGAGGGTTTTAAAATTTCTTTAAAAACGTTAAAAAAAAAATTTTAATTAAGAACCAACGATAAATAAAATAAAGAGCTATATTATTTTGACTCCTGTGTCCTTTTTAAATATGTTGGGACTCACCTTGGGGGTCGTAACTGTTACTCAAACATGTGTGAATGAAACAAACACAAGACCAGGTCTGATTTTGAGGAGAAAATAACATAACACGGCTTAAAGCTCACAAGTAGGGATGTAACGATGTTCAAATCTCTCGGTACGTTATTATCACGAAGTGCATCTCAAGATACGATATTTATTCTGTGATATAATTGGAGATGCGACACGTTTTTGCTTTTAAAACACCCTGACAATGTTTTTGGTGTGAACTATTACTGTCATAATTGCAAGAATTCACATAAAAACATATTTCTTCATGTTGTCTGCGCTGAAATGAATCATGGGATATGTAGTTCCTGATGTTTATAAGGTATTGGTACAATAAAACAATAATTCCATATATTGTGACACTTTTGATGATACGATATCACGATATTTTGGTTATTGTTACATCCCTACCAGAGTTGAGGAGTAACAGATTACATGTACCGGAGTTAAGTAATCAGAGTACAAATGATGAGTAACTGTATTCAGTTACAGTTACTGTTTCAGTGAGTGGTAATTGGATTACAGTTACTTTGTTGAAATAAATGGATTACATGGCGGGATTTTCCTGTTTTCATATTTTGGGCTTTTTTTTTCTTTTTTTCTGTAATTCCACTCATTGCCGGAAACTAAACCAGGACTTAAACCAGGACTTAAACCAGGACTTAAACAGGACTAAACCAGGTCTAACTAAACCAGCTCTAAACCAGGACTAAAACCAGGACTCTAAACAGGTACTAAACCAGGTCTAAACCAGGTAAAACCAGGTCTAAACCAGGTCTAAAACCAGGTCTAAAAACCAGGAAAAAACCAGGAAACTAAAAACCAGGTCTAAAACCAGGACTATAAAAACCAGGAATAAAACGGGAATAAAACCAGATCTAAACCAGGTCTAAACCAGGAATCTAAACCAGGTCTAAACTAAAAACCAGGTCTAAAACCAGGTCTAAACCAGGAAAAAGGAAAACCAGGTCTAAATAAAACCAGGTCTAAACCAGGTCTAAAACCAGATAAACCAGGTCTAAACCCTGCTGTGTGGACGTTCTTCTTCTATCAATCAATATTTTTTAATTTGGTTCAGTAAAGTCTGGACTTTTTATTTTTTTTTATCAGACAAAACATCTTATGTGACGATTTCCTCGTCTTTGTTTCTCTACAGCAAATCAAGTAATCCAAAGTATTCAGATTACATTACTCACTTGAAGTAACTTAATGGATTCTGTTACAATCTACATTTTTGGGGGATGTAATCTGTAATCTGTAGAGGAATACATTTGAAAAGTCACCTTCCCAACACTGATCTCTGGTCACAAGAGTGAGTTTTGTGGAATATAGGACCTTTAAGGAGATTTACTCTGTGACTCTGTGATGTGCCATCTGTGTGTGGATACAGTAAAAGCTCTAAGCAGATCTAAGGCTGCTCTTTCCCACCTAAAAATACACGGATAATATCACGGGGCATTAAACTACTAATCATACCCGCGGATACACGAAAGCCCTGCACCTCTTAATGCCTCATATTCTTCACCGCAACACTTCTGAGAATTAATCAGCGAAGATGTGCCTAAATGTGGCTTTAATGATCATAAATGAAGCGTTTGCGTGTCGGGGTCGGGGTGCGTGCCAGCACTTAGAGAGAACGGAGCGACCGCCGTGGATTATACGACGCCCAGCAGCACACACACACGGACACACACACACGGACACACACACACACACGGACAAGAAGGAAATGACCAGAAGGTGGCGAGGATTATGTTTATTCAATATGTTAATGGACACAAGGGATTGGAGCAGAGGAGATGACAACGGACACCGGCGATGTACAAGTCAGGCTTTATTGGTAAAAATAGAAATACAGGGAAATACAGGGAGATGGAGATGAACATGACACAGGAAAAGAAGTAAAGTACTGCATTAAAGTATAAATCTGAGGTATCTTGAGTACATTTTTAAGGTGCAATGTGTAACTTTTTGGTGGAGGGTCGGTCACCTGCTTGTTTCTCCTGGTTTGGTCCTGGTTCAGCTCTGGTTTAGTCCTGGTTTAGACTTGGGTCAGTCCTGGTTTAGACCTAGTTTAGACCTAGTTTAGTCCTGATTTAGTCCTGGTTCAGTCCTGGTTTAGACCTAGTTTAGTCCTGGTTTAGACCTACTTTAGACCTACTTTAGACCTGGTTCAGCTCTGGTTTAGTCCTGGTTCAGTCCTGTTTAGACCTGGTTTAGACCTGGTTCAGCTCTGGATTAGTCCTGGTTTAATCCTGGTTTAGACCTGGTTCAGCTCTGGTTTAGTCCTGGTTTAGTCCTGGTTTAGACTTGGTTGAGTTCTGGTTTAGACCTGGTTTAGTCCTAGTTTAGTCCTAGTTCAGTCCTAGTTTAGTCCTAGTTTAGTCCTAGTTCAGTCCTAGTTTAGACCTAGTTTAGTCCTTGTTTGGACCTGGTTTAGACCTGGATCTGTTCTGGTTCAGTCCTGGTTCAGCTCTGATTTAGTTCTGGTTTAGACCTGGTTTAGTCCTAGTTCAGTCCTGTTTAGACCTAGTTTAGTCCTGATTTAGTCCTGGTTCAGTCCTGAGTTTAGACCTGGTTCAGTCCTTTTTATTTTCACCAGAACTTTCCTTTTTTTTTTTTTTTTTTTTCCTTTTTCCTACACTGTAAATAATAAATGCACAAGTTTCAGTTAAACCTTAAACCTTTTTTTTTTTTTTATTGTTACTTCCTTTTCTCCCCGAGCAAAGGGGACATAACAGTGTGTTTGTTTTTGTTTGTGTGTGTTTGTGTGTTTGTGTGTATCTGTGTGTGAAACGGTTTGTAAGTAAACCTGTAGCAGTGCCCAAATATTCACAGCTTCAAAAGAAATTATAAAGACTTTTTGCTTTCATGGTATCTAAAAAAAAAAAAAGTATATATGGTTTTGTTTTTGTTTTTATATAAAGGTCTTGGGTTAAAATGATATTTAATTTGCATAGTCTGTTATTTATTTTACTATATGTAAGTGTCCAGATGCGACCACATCATTTTTGTCATGAACAGAGGCGGGATAATACAAGTTTTTTCTTCTTCCTTTTCGAGAAATGTGCTTTTCTGTTGTTTACAGTGTTTATGTCGTATGTGCATGAGTTTTTAACGTTTTTTTTCTTGGCACAAACTCAAAATAAAAACTAATCAATCAATAACTTGGTCTCGTATGGTTTAATGCCGTACTGTGAAATATACCAGACAAAGCAGTAACGTCTCCATTGAGAAAAGCGTTTTTCCGCCAGAAAAGTTACACAATGCACCTTTTAAGTGAATATTTTTTACTTTTACTTCACTATATTTTAGAGCAGGTATTTGTACTTTCTACTGCAGCACATTTTTGAACAAGACTGAAAAGTAAAAGTATTTCTATGATAGTTTGTGACCTGCTGAAAAGACTGAGGGTTTATTTTTAACACATTTGTAGTTTGACCAAACAAAAATATACAAAATCATTGTTTCTGCTGAACAAAATACAGCATAAAATCTGTGTCAAATTAACTACATTTGAAGCTTTGGAAGATCTCAAAATATGCGTGAAATACTTTTACTTTTTACTCTTAAAGAACCGTTTTAAACAGGTACTTTAATACTTTCACTTAAGTAGATTTTTTTCATGTGATTATTTTACTTTTACTTGAGTATTTTCTTGCTCTGGTACCTGTACTTCTTCCACCACTGCGTATCTTTATTTCACACATTCTCAGACTTACCAGCTCCCTCTTCTTCATACACTCCATCACCATGAGCAGGATTTGTTGGGACTGACTTTTGCCGTAGTTGAAGGTTTTCTGAATCGTCACGAGGAGCTGATCTCGGACATCGTCGCTGACCAGACTGAAAGAGGAAACGGACGCTTCAGTTTAACATCAGACTATCAGAAAATGATTATTCTTTATTTGTTCACATAATAAGACGGGAGAGAAACGCATAGAAAGTGTAAAGAAAATACATCAAACTTGAATGAAACTCCTGGCGAACACTGTAAACATTATTTTTTGTGTTCAGTATTGATTTCAAAGATGTTGTAATATTAGAGCTGAGCAGTTTTCTTTTTTTTTTCGTCTTTATTTCTAGTTTTCACGGTGTTCATGGAGTCGAAGGTGAATGAGAATAAATCCTGACACTTGATCATCGAGTACCAAGTGTGGAGTCATTTTATTTGTGAAGAAAACCAGGGTCGCGACACACACTCTTAATAAATAATAATATAACTTTTGATAAAATGTGTGTTTTAAGTCAGTTTTGGATTTCATAAGCTTAGAATGTTCTTTCTGTAACACTTTGTCTGTTGATCTGTGGGTTGGGTGACTTGCTGTGCCTGTAAGAGATCGACCGATAAGGGTTTCAACACGGCCAATGCCAATATCGACGACGGATATACACATTTTTTTAGGTAGGCTTTGATTATTTTTATTATTTTCCCCAAAAATACAGGACTATATTCATACCATACTCCATACAGATAAACAGCAACTCACCTTATGCATCAGATAAGCCTATGTTTCTGTCAATCATATCTTTGCACTGTTTCCTTATGACCTTGTACGATTTTTGTTTATTTACTTGTACATACATTTATATTTTTTTACTCTTTATTATTGTAATATAATGTGATGTGTAATTTCCCTTACGGATCGATAAAGTCCCTTGTGGATCAATAAAGTCTAAGTCAAATTATGCCATTTAATTTTACAAAAAACTCTGTCAGTGTGTTTTTACCGCAGACCTTTAAGAGAGCTGTGTAGTCATGTTTGTGCAGTGAACTTTTTACACTTAAATGTCAAAATCCAAATATAGTTTTGTGCATATTCTTCAGGCGGCAGGTCCTCGTATCGGCCTCGACTGGAGATTTAATCGATCACCAATAAGCTTAAAATTGCAAATATCGGCCTGAAATATCAATTAAAAATGATATCTCTCTAGAACTTATGTCTTTGAACTAAACCCTCTACTAATATAAGGTTAAACAAGTTTTTTTTTTTCTTATGATGTCATTTTTGCAACTTTAAATAACTTGAAATATATTACAACATTATTAATTTGGGGTCATTGCTGTATGTTGTCATATGTGAGCTACTGTGTCGGAGTCATTTTCCTTGTGGATCAAATAAAAATGGTTAACTTTAAGTCTATTGATACTTTGCAAGCTGAACATTCTGCCGTAGACATACATGTAGAACCCCCCAAGCGTGATGTGAGTGTAAAGTTTGAACACGATGGTGCTGACTTTTCCCTTCGTCCAGCGTCCAGGTCTTACCCTCCCTCCTCTGAGAACTTGTGGGCGAAGGAGATGATGTCAGAGGCGCGTCCGCTGCCGTCGCAGACGACCACGGGGACGGGCGGGTCGTCACGGAGACTCTCCAGAGCGATGGAGATCACGTTAGGACCCCCCTCCACGATCAGGCACACCAGAGGGACGCCCTGCCCCAGACCTGCAGCACAGAGCAGCACAGACTCAGGTGAGAGTCGTGTTTAAATCTGGAATTTCACTGTTTTCAGCAACATGACACTAAAGCTGCGTTCAGACGTCGCGTCAAAGTGTCCAGTTTACGTGCAAACTCTAGGGCGTCCTACGTTTTTGCAGCGTGTCTTCAAGCGTCAGTGGCACGAATCTGGTGTTGACGCAGCGTGTCTTGAGTGTTCAGGTGTCGACGCTAAACACGTGTCCTATCCATTACTGTCCAAAAATAGTAACACTATTACCCGAAAGAAGAAAAGGAAAGACTCATGGAAACAGAAGAAGACACATGCCGAGTCATTAGCAGAGTATAAATATATCCACACTGCAACCGCCGAGCCAATCACCTCCACTGATGTGTTCTATGTAATAACCCACTTCTCCCGACGTGAGATATAAAAAAAATAACAAATATAAAATAGCTACTACTTAAATGTCAAACTGGAGCTACTGGCAATATTGAAAACAATCTGCATAGGCTCATGATATCTGCAGTACTGAACCAGGACTGAACCAGGACTGAACCAGGACTGAACCAGGACTTAAAACCGGACCAAAACAGGACTGAACCAGGACTAAAACAGGATTAAAACCGGACCAAAACAGGACTGAACCAGGACTGAATCAGGACTGAGTGTCAGGACGGGCCGGAGGTGTGCCCACGGAGACCGTCAGGTGACCGCAGTCGAAGGACCAGCTCAGAGCTCACACCCCATGGTGCTCGGAGCCATTGTAACATGATTCTGCATTATTTTCAGTAAAAAAATATATGAAAAATTACTATTATAGTTTAGTAAAAAATGAATATTATTATAAGGTCAAGGTAAGTTAGTGTATTTGTCGTCTGCATTTGATCCATTCTTCGATGCTACTGGGTCATCATCTCAAGAGCAGCGAGCACCACCGCCCATGTTTTGGGTTGACGGGGGAAACAGAAGTGTCCACAGGAAACTCACTCAGACACTGTGCTGTGTTCAGTACCAGTGTTCACGTGCCTGATTTGTTTGACCCTGGCACAGTTTAAGAACAGCTTTTTCAGACTGAGAAGTGACGGTCTTGAACAGGCAAATATCTCTCATCACAAATAGTTATATCAGGACTCATTTGGCCTGTTTTCTATTTGATGAAGATGGTTTGCAACACTTTTTCTGTGGAGTACTTCGGGTTTAAGCGCGATGGAACCCGTGAAGTTTTCCGTTGTGAGTTCTCGCTGACGTCTCTGTGTTTAGCTGGAGTCGGAGCGACCTCTGGGCTTCCCTTTGCTGTCCCTGCCTTCTGAGCTCCAGGCATAGGATGACAAAGGGAAGGCCATGGGTCACAGAAGAGCGCCATCTGCTGAACGTCCAGAGTAATGACATATAAAGTCCATTTACGGCTCCATCGAAAAATCTCCCCACTAGGATGCCCAATAGGAGAGTTTCATTGTTGACAAAAGCGCGCGTTGCATGCTGGGAATTATTTTGGTCGGCGGCAATAAACACTAATTCAACATGACGGACGGAGCGAGAAAGCATGTAAAGGGTATTGATCCCGGTTATTTATCCACTCTAACGGCAGAGGACCCAAGACCATTTGACCAGAAATTGGTCATAAGCATCGACGGACGCCAAATCACCCTTTTCAACCCCGACAAAAGGTGGACCAAACCCAATTTCTGGTCGGAATCGCCAACTACCTGGACAAATATTCACTTGGGCGACATCCACAATGACTTGGTGGAAACTCCTGGGCCGTTCACAGCAGAAAAGATGAAAACCTCCAAGAGTCTCGATGTGTTGTTGAACTTGTTGGAGTCCACGGTTTGTTAGGATCTTTTACGTTTGCTCTGCGGATGTTTGAAAGTCGTTTAATTCACCGTTAGCGGTTCTTTTCACTCAGAATTTTCCTTCTTCAGTGCTTCTATTTGTGCTTCCGATAATGCAGCAGGAATTTACAATTATCGGATAGAAATACGCGAGGTTACCACTGTGTTTGACCGCTACCGTGTTTCTTGCCTCCGAACAAAATATTTACTCAGCTGAAACTCACCTATTGTAGCGAGTGTGGGAAATTAAGTGTTTGTCATGCTAATTCACCCAATATTATGGACTTTGGAATGACAACAGGGTGGAAAACACGTATGACTATAGGTCTATATAACATGTTTTTTTCTGTACTTTGAGTGCCATAAAGAACATGTTTTTCTGGACTTTGAGTGCCACGAAGCAGCAAAACTGACATATGTGGACCCCGTGGCATGTTTCCACCCATGATAAGGTGTACTGGGTCAGCAGTATTGTTCATTTTCTTGCTGTATATGCTAAATCAACAAGTTAATGTTTTGTCAAGATGTAGTATAAAGCTACCCCTGATTTTGAGTTGGTCAGAGGCGTCATTCCGGGGTGACAGCTGTACTTGGTAATCAACTTGAATCCCTCTCAATGGAAAATGACGAAATAAAGTGGCCTGTTCTCTTGGATTCTCCATCTCCTGTGCTTCTTTTTAGGACACGCATTGAACCTTCCGAAAAAACCCACACGAGCGTCTTAATTTGGTCTTAAAATGTTCGGATTAACCCGCTCTACTTGATCCTGGGGGTTTTATTTTGATATTTTGTCTGTAAATCAATTCCTACTCTGCTCCAAGTTCGCCCCATAACTGCTGGACTCACGAGCGTCACTTGAACCAATGAATCAATTCCCTTTAGGTTCTTCTCAGTCCAATCTCCTGCACTTACGCGTGTTGATCTTCTGCAGCGAGATGTGTTTCTCCAACACGCGGCGCAGTTTCACCTCGGAGCCGTACTTCCCGCAGGTGCCGTTGTCCGTCAGGATGAAGTGGGAGTGGCTGTTGTTTAGCACGGCGAGTTTGCTGAGCGGGTTGGCCATGGTCTGGTACGGTCTCGTCACCTGGGGACAGAAACGCATCAAGTATGAATAGAGTTTGTTGCAGGGGTCGCGTGAGACTTTTTTATTTGGAGGAGCTTTGGGGAGGCAAAGGTCTTCAGTAGGTATGTGCAGTTAACATGTTGATTTCAGGGTTCCCACTCTTTTTTCACTAACAAAATTTCAAAGCTTTTCCATGACTTTTTCCACCAGCTCCGCTCAATTTCATTTCTCTCCAGTAACTAGGTCAGGAATTGGAATACACAAGATTTGCAAGAACACTGAAAGTTTTAGACCACACACCGGCCAATCAGCGAGTTGCGACAACAAACTGCACACACTATCCTCCTTTGGACTTCCTCTGTCAAGTACAAACTTTGTATTTTTGATTTCACCTTTAATTCGCAAATTAATCTCGCAAAAACGGCAATGATCGTTGACAGACATGTTCACTCTCTGTTTTGTTTGCTGTTGTGCTGCCGACAATTACTTGGACACCACAGAGGTTCCGGTGCATTACATCCGTCACGACCAAATAACAGCGATTGGTTAAATAAAAGTACCTGCATACCGTCAAGCGAATGAATCTTAATGCTGCGAGGTCACACGGTTTCCATGAAATGAAACCGGCTGATGAATCAGGCTAGACTTTTTCATGAGCTAAAGTGAATTTTCCATGATTTTACGGCACCTACGTGTGTAGAATTGATCAGACTTTTAAGGTTAAATATGAAACGTTAACTCTTTCCACTCACCTTATGGTTTGGGATTATAGTTTTTGAACATTCAAAATCCTGTCAGTGCATTTTATTGTCGTCTCTTTTAAACAAAAGGCGCAGACGTTCAGAAATAAGTTCTCATGACGTTATTATGATTAACAGAACACTGGAGTTGTGTGAAAGAGATATTAAAATTCCGTGACTTTTCTAAAATTTTCATTGAATTTACAATGTTCCATGACTTTTCCAGGCCTGGCAAATGACATTTTCAATTTCCATGACCGTGGGAACCCTGTAATTTAGACCCTTTTATGGATGTGAGCGCCCCAACCCCCAGTTTGCTTTGCCGTTTTAAACAAGTTTGAATGTAGTTAGCTCCTGTAGTGATGTTTATAACCTCAGACAGAATTGTTTTATTGTAGTTTCTTGTTGAACACTCTGCCGTCGCCATTTGATATTTTTTGTGTGAAGACTGAATGTCATTAAAATGGAGTAAAAATCTTTGGGGATCATTGGCCAGTCTAGGTTCATTCTTGATTAGTCACAGTGGAGTGTTTGTGAGCAGGTCGTACATCTTTCCCCAGCAGATCCTCTTTGTTTTCCAGTATCCCCCAGGGGGCGATCCCGATGGCACAGACTTTCCCTCTGGATTTGGAGGAGTGGTCTTTCAGAGCGTCTCCAACATGACGGATCACACCTGAGGAAAAAACAAAACAAAACGTAACAGAAAATAGAAAAGGACTTGAGCAAGACCCTTTTCCCAGTTTATGTGCAAGTGTTTAATGCACTGAGTGTGTTGCTTGTTGGATCGGCAGTAGAGTCAGTGTTGCCAGATTGGTCGGGTGCTCGCCCAATTGTGCTTCTTTTGACCACATCGGACGGGAAGGGGACGCCTTAGACCAGGGGTGTCAAACTAATTTTGGTCCAGGGGCCGTATCCAACCTACTTTGGACAGAAAGGGGCCGGATCACAAAACTCATGTCATATAAACCCCAAAAATAACAATAAGTTCAAATATTTGTGCAGAGAAACACAAATCTATTACAGAAATCTTTTTTTTAATTGATGAACTCTTTCTTTTACAAAATTTTATAATATTATGAACAACCTGAAACCTAAAAAAAAAAAAAAATGCAATTCAACACAATGTTATAACATTAACTTGTTTGTAAACAGGAATAAGTCGATTTTTGTTGTAAAATCCTGCACTCGGCTCCACTTTTCTCATGTTGGACATTTTTCTGATGAGGGTGTCACGGTCAACAGTCAAAACGATCGTCCTTTAAGAGCGTTTGGAAAGAGACAAGTCTTCATTTGTGCTGCTCTGGTGGGAGGGGCCACGTACAGAGACGCTGGAGACGCTGCTGTGATAAACACCACAGAAAATTAACAAGATTTTAATAGAAAATATAATAATAATAATTTAGTAGAAATATTAATATTTTAGTAGAAAATCAGCCGAGGGCCAGATTAAAGGCCGGATCTGGCCCCCGGGCCATATGTTTGACACCTGTGCTTTAGGCGGTCAGATAATATCTGGGCAACTTTCAACAAGTTTGGGCAGTTTTTGATTTTCACACATAAATAAATCAAATAAATGTTGTTCCAATTTAAGGCTGTTTAGCGATCACACCTGCAGACATGGACACATAAAAAAAAAAAAAGCTTTTCTACGTTTTACCAAAGGTTTTACAGAACATGTTTTCTCAATCCTGGCAATGTTTTTAAAAACCCAATAGATTATGTTACAACAAGTTTATTCAAATATTGATCTAAATGTCCTTTTTTCTGTGGTAAATGAAAATTCTGTTCTACATTTAACATTTTCTCAGTCCTGGTGATGTTTTAAATGAGCTCTTTTCAGTGAACTCGGGCACATTTACGTTGTTTTGGTGTTGATTAATGTGCATTGTCTCTTTTCAAATAAATAAATAATAAATAAATAAGCCCAACAGTGGGTTACATACGTTTATTTAAAGATTAAATGTTTTCTGTGACAAAACATTGTTAGCAGTTTGTTTTTGTTTTTTTGCTGAATAGGGTGGATTTTCGAACATGACTGGGTGGAAATCACTAAACCCAATCTGGCAACACTGAACAGAATTCTTATTGTTAATGGTTATTTTACGTTTCATTATGGGCACAAGCCGGGAAGTTAATGGGTCTGTTTTTCCGGGCCCCGAGATTTTAGGGGCTCAGAATTGGAACCCCTCCTTATTAAATTATATTAGATGGGGGCCCATGTGAGACCCCAAGCCCTCAAATTTAATGTAGTGTATTTAGTGACTGAAACTTCAGAGGTTCATGGAGGGGATATAACAACGGAAATACAGCACAGAGTTTAATTAAAATGATCTGAACCGGGCAAATCTCTACCAGGAAATCGCTGAAGGTTTTACACAATCATAATTTGGATAATGCTCGGTTAAAGGGCGTCACGTACCAGTGTTGACTCCCCCGGTGAAGATCCACGCTCCTGTGGTCACCGCCGCTTTGATCAGACCTTTCCCAAACACCTGCTTGAGTTTGGGCTGCAGGTCGAAGTTCTGCAGACCCCCGTGGACGGAGATGAGCAGCGTGGGGAGCTCCAGCTGCCAGTCCTTCACCATCAGGTGCAGGAGGTTGTCCGGTTTAGTGTCAAAGGAGCAGCGGATGTACTGGAGAAAGATAAAAGCATAATGAGTCTCTCTAGTCTTCAGGACACTTGGGATTTAAAGTTATGCTCGTTATCTGTTGTTTGATAAGTTTAAGCAGGGGCGGCGCCAGGCTTTTTTGGTTGAAGGAGTTAGGGAGGTGCTAAGTTCTTTAATTTTCTTGAATAATGGCCTTTATTTGTCAGTTTCTTCACATGTACTGGACATACAAAGGAATCAAAATTGGACCTGTCCCCCTGTCTGTACATTACAGACACACAATACACTATGACATGTGGAGATTGGACATTGACGGGACTGAAAGACCGGAAGTTGCAAATAGGAATAAATATTTCAGCATAACATAAGGATAGGGAGAGGAGAAAAAAAAAAAGAACCACCCCCAGACCATGTTCCTATCAAGGCATAGTATGGTTAGCCAGGCCACTGCCCCCCCTAGTGGCTAAAATATGTCATGACATGGAGTCTATAATATTGTCCATATAAATATTTACTTAAAAAAATATATTAATTTTAAATATGTCAATAAAAAAAAAATTAAATAAATATGAATCCTGTCTGACTAAACCAGGACTAAACCAGGACTGAACCAGGACTGAACTAGGACTAAAACAAGACTGAATCAGGTCTAAACTAGGTCTAAACCAGGACTAAATCAGGACTAATCTTGAACTTGAGAGAGAGGGACAACGCCGAGTCCGTGGAGCAGGTGTCCCCCAAAACGCGATCGGGGCAGCGGCTGCACTTAGCTCCTTGAGCCGTGGAGCTCTGCACCGGCCCTTTCTCCTGCGGTCACCCGACGGCAGGTGCACCTCAGGGCCCATTCTGACACTCAGTCCTGGTTCAGTCCTGCTTCAGTCCTGGCAGTGTTACCCTCGTGTACCAGGCCCACTACACCCCTGCTCATGTGTGATGCTCTGTGTAGTTTGTCTTTATGTGAGGCTTATGAACAGTCCTGTTACATGTGTAATAGTGTTATAACTATTGTGTGTAGTGTCACAGAATAGTTAAACAGCACAGCGGTGTGGACAGTAAAACCATAACTTAATTGTAAAGGGCGAGGTGTTTTCTTACTGCGCACACGACAATACGTACTTTAAATCTTGAATCTAGTGCCCTGACGTTAAAATGTTTGCCCCCCCAGCGCAAAAGTCAAACTCCGCCTCTGTAAAACTAGCGAACTATCAGTTGTAAGTAACGTAGAAAAGTAACCCTTTTGTCATTAAGTCTTTTTAGTCGACCAAATGTGTGTTCGTTAATGAAACTGTTTTAAATGTACGAAACCGAGCCGCAGTCATTCACTCTTGACCTCTTTTTGTTTTGCTCGTGTTAATGTTTATGCAAAAACATTCACCGCCACCTAATGAAAGTGTTTTGTGTGGGCTTGACTTTGACCCAGTGATTTCCGTTTTTTAATGCACGAGATGGAATGAGGTTAAAAGTGCACCATTGTGAGTGGGGGTTCGCTACCTGTTTGTCTTGAGAGAAAAGTGTTGAAATGACTGGAATGTTCCATCAAACTGTGGAATATGTAAAAGACTTTTCTCCCCTTCACTATTGACTGATCTGAGTTGTGGCACTGACCAGGGCCTTGTTGACGAAGCCTCCGCCCTGGAACTCGATCATGCCGTACGCGTCGGTGGGGTAAGTGCGCGTGTGCTTCACCACGGACCATTTGTCTCTGGGGTCGATGGGGGCGGAGCTGTGTTCCTCCAGAGACGTGGCCCCGGGAGGGATGGCCACGTGCTGAGCGCTGATCTGACCACACGCACATCTACAACACACACACACAACGGGTCAGCGATAACACACTTCAAATTACACAAAACACAAACAAGGAACACAGTAGTGACCAGTGTTGGGAAGGTGACTTTTAAAATGTAATCCCCTACAGATTACAGATTACATACACCAAAATGTAGTTTGTAACAGAATCCATTAAGTTATTTAAAGTGGGTAATGTAATCTGAATACTTTGGATTACTTGATTTGCTGTAGAGAAACAAAGACGAGGAAATCGTAACATAAGAAGTTTTGTCTGATAAAAGAAAATTAAAAAGTCCAGACTTTACTGAACCAAATTAAAAATATTATTGATAGAAGAAGAGGAGACACGGTCTGCGCGGCATAGTTTAGTCCTGTTAAATCCTGGTTTAGACCTGGTTTAGTCCTGGTTTAGTCCTGGTTTAGACCTGCTTTAGTTCTGGTTTAGACCTGGTTTAGTCCTGGTTTAGTCCTGGTTTAGTCCTGGTTTAGTCCTGCTTTAGTCCTGCTTTAGTCCTAGTTTAGACCTGGTTTTAGTCCTGGTTTAGTCCTGGTTTAGTCCTGCTTTAGTCCTGGTTTAGTCCTGGTTTAGACCTAGTTTAGATCTGGTTTTAGACCAGGTTTAGAACTGGTGTGAACTTGGGTTTAGTCCTGGTTTTAGACCTGGTTTAGTGTCCGGCAATGAGTGGAATTACCAAGGGGAAAAAAAAAAAAAAAGGGGCATATAGCCCCAAATGTGAAAACAGGAAAATACCACAATGTAATGTTATTTCAGCAAAGTAACTGTAATCCAATTACCACTCACTGAAACAGTAACTGTAACTATATTCAGTTACACATAATTTGTACTCTGATTATGTAACTTCGGTACATTTAATCTGTTACTCCCCAACACTGATAGTAACACAAGATAATCTGGTGCCCAAAGTTTTTCCTTGGAGAAGCTAAAATGAAAACAGGTTCACTGGTCGAGGGTCAAACTCATGACAGTTTACACATAAAAATATTTGACTTAAAATATGAGGACATAGACAGGATTGGCCTTCTTCCCATCTCATGACAGTCTTTTCAATACAGAATGTGATCAAAATAGTTTATTCATAAAATGTCAGATCCCCCTTTGGGCCAAATTAAACCCCCCGAAGGGCCACATTTCGCCTGCGGGCCGCATTTTGGATGCCTCTGATCAAAGTCAACATTACAACCAGGGCTGTGCAGTGACTCGAATGTGAATCAAGATCAACCCTGAATCTTGTCCAAATGTAAATGCAAACAACTTTGGGGGAATAAATGTGATTATTTTCTGTCAAATAGTAAAGATTAACAGTTTGTATTTTTATTAAATCAACAGCGTCGTCTCAAAAACACTACCTGAGTCGTCTGTGGCCAATAAAAGACTTCGTTAATATTTCCAAAAGCGGAAAACGGACCTTTTCTGAATGTTTTTTTTTTTGTTGTTGTTACCAAATGTTTATTGTTACAAACCAACACAACACAACAGGTCCAGGACAAAATTAAATAAATGAAAGATTAGTGCTCATCTAAATCTACCACATCAAACCTAGACAAACCCAAAACAACAATATCACTTAGCCGCTCAGTCGTCTAATATAAACCTCATAACAAGGAGGTTTTAAGGTCAGATAATAGTTTTTTCTTTTGCATTATGGATACGCGCTGTGGACAATTCTAAATAAGCAATGTCCATAAATGAAAGTGCCGTTGGCGATGTGATAAAGAGTGAGGGGGTTTCCATCTAACAGCAACCATTCTTTTAGCAGCTGTAAGGCCCAGCAGAAAAATCCTTTTCTTGCTCTTGTGTGGAGGCAAAACAACTTTCTCCAGCTAAACTCAGACAAGACTGAAGTCATAGTGTTTGGTCCACAGAAACAAAGGGACAGTGTCAGCATCACCTCCAGTCTCTCTCTCTAAAACCTTCAAATCAGGCAAGAAATCTCAGGGTAATAATGGACTCAGACTTGAACTTTAACAGCCACATCAAATCAATAACATCTGCAGCCTTTTACCATCTAAAAAACAGAGCAAAAATCAAAGGTTTACTGTCTAAATCAGACTTGGAGAAACTTATCCATGCGTTTGTCTCCAGTAGGTTAGATACTGTAATGTTCTGCTCACTGGTCTCTCCAAACGAGCTGTGAGACGCTGCAGAACATCCAGAACATCCAGAACATCCAGAACATCCAGAACATCCAGAACATCCAGAACATCCAGAACGCTGCAGCTCGGGTCCTGACTCGAACTAGGAAGTACGAGCACATAAGTCCTGGTCTCAGGTCTCTGCTCTGGCTCCTGTGGCTCAGAGACTTTAAAGCAGCTCTGTTTGTACAAGTGTCTCCATGTCCGAGCACCAAAGTCCATCTGTGACATGTTAGTGTCATATGAACATCTCACACTCTGAGGAGCTCAGGGACCAACTCCTGCTGGTGCCCAGAGTCACGACTAAACAAGGGGAGTCAGAGTTTCAGGTTCATGCAGCTAAAACCTGGAACAGTCTGAACATGTGAGACAGACTCTTCTGTGACGCTGTTTAAATCCAGACTCAAAACATTTCTGTTTAACTGTGCAAATAACTGAAAGGTTTTCATTCCGCACTCTTCTCTCCAATTTATGTCTCTCTTTTTTAATTTTAATCTTCATGATTATTTATGTTTTGATTTGTTTTTATTATGATTTTAATGTATTTCTTATTCTGTAAAGCACTTTGAATTACTTTGTGTACGAATTGTGCTCTACAAATAAACTTGCCTTTTCTTGCTCTTTACTCAAGCCGAGCAGAGACGTGTGATTCAGAATCAAAACCAAAGGTGAACAGGGAAGAGACCGACTATTACTTATTACCTTCCAAAAGTAAAAAAAACCCTGGGCATTCCCATCCCATGTGGAAATAGGTACCTAATGAATTTGTATGGCAAAGAGTACAGTTTGGGTGAGTTCTGCACTTCATGTTGAAAAGTCTGCGCGGTGTCATGTACGTCCTGTGAATAAAGTTTAGATTCATCTGTTGATGGTCTGGACTCTTAGATGAGCAAAGCACAGAGTCCCATATCGCTTCCCAGTTAAAATTCAGAGGTAGATTAGGAATATCGTTCCTCCATCCAAGATCCAGTTGCAACGGAACATAAGTATTTTCCAGAATATGACTCTACAGTTTAGAAATCACACCCTTTGAAACGCCAGAACCATCTACACATTTCAGCACTGGATGAAGCTGCAGCGCCGTCTGCCATGGAACTGCATATGTTTTCATGGCTGTTCTTAATTGGAGGAATTTGGAGGTAAATCTTTAAACCTTCTTCACCGTTTTTAGCCTTTCAGCCTCGTCCTTGAGAAGCTCCTGTTCTGGACTTTTAACCAAGAAAAAAAAATCCATGAAGCCGTGTTTGTACTGAGAATTTAGTTTCTGAAAACGAAATAAAACGGATCGAAACTCAACGTCGATCGATACGCAGACGACGGTCAAAACGATCAAACGTAAAAGCTTAAAGTTCTGTATAGTTTTGAGGACTTACCTGATGGGATCTTTGCTGGGAAATATATGGACGCATTCTCTTTTGCAAAATGTTCTTTCGATCCAGGCCCTCTGCACCTGAAAGAGACCACAAACAAAACAAAAAAAAACAAAAGTGTGAGACGTCTGAGTCTGAGAAGGTCAAGAGACGATTTTCTGTTGCTGAAATCACTGAAACTCACTTTTGAACTTTATAATATATTGAAAACAGGACTGGAAAGTGTGTAGGCTGGATTTCCCCTGCGTATCTGGTCGAAGTAAAACTGAAAACAGGATGCAGGTCACGCTATTAATTAAATGGCAGAAAATGTTTGATTTGAATCTTGTGACTGAGCGATGGGGCGGATGTGGGCGAGGACGACACAGGCAAAACTTATAAACAACTGAGTTTTTAATGATCTTAAAATCCACAAAGTCATTATATTTTAGTGCGTTTTGTGATTTTTGTAACATTTTCACACCTATTTACAAAAAAATCACAATAAAACAGGTCAACTGTACATTTCAATAATTACAAAAACAAAAACTTGTAGGAATTTGACGAGACACAGTTTTGTTCAGACACGAGATCGAGACAAAACGAGATTTTTATGTAATCTATACTCAGTGTTGGGAAGTAACAGATTACATGTACCGGAGTAATCAGAGTACAAATTATGAGTAACTGTATTCAGTTACAGTTACTGTTTCAGGGAGTTGGTAATTGGATTACAGTTACTTTGTTGAAATAAATGAATTACACGGCGGGATTTTCCTGTTTTCACATTTTGGGCTGCGTCCCTTTTTTTTTTTTTTTCCCTCCGTTAATTTCACTCATTGTCAGACACTAAACCAGGTCCAAAACCAGGACCAAACCAGGACTAAACCAGGTCTAAAACCAGGTCTAAAAACCAGGTCTAAAACCAGGTCTAAAACCAGGTCTAAACCAAACCAGGTCTAAAACCAGGTCTAAAAGGTCTAAAACCAGGTCCAAAAACCAGGTCTAAACCAGGTCTAAACCAGGTCTAAACCCAGGTCTCTAAACCAGGTCTAAACCAGGTCCCAGGTAAAACCAGGTCTAAAACAGGTCTAAACCAGGTCTAAAACCAGGTCTAAAACCAGGTCTAAACCAGGTCTAAAACAGGTCCAGTAAAGGTCTAAAACCAGGTCTAAAACCAGGTCTAAACCAGGTCTAAAACCAGGTCTAAATCCAGGTCTAAAAGGTCTAAAACCAGGTCTAAACCAGGTCTAAAACCCAGGTCTAAACCAGGTTAAACAGTAAAACCAGGTCTAAAGTCTAAAACCAGTTTTTTAAAACAGGTCTAAAACAGGATTTAACAGGACTAAATCCTGCTGTGTGGACGTGTCTCTTCTTCTATCAATAATATTTTTAATTTGGTTCAGTAAAGTCTGGACTTTTCATTTTCTTTTAGCAGATAAAACATCTTATGTTACGATTTCCTCGTCTTTGTTTCTCTACAGCAAATCAAGTAATCCAAAGTATTCAGATTACATTACTCACTTTAAGTAATTTAATGGATTCTGTTACAAACTTTTTTGTGTATTTGTAGACCTTCTTTTTTAAACCAAATTAAAATGACCAGTCCTTAAGTCTTTTTTGTCCACTCTAAATGTAGATTAAATGGAAAAAAAGTCACGTGTGCTCAATCTTGTGGCAATTTCAGCTCCCGAGATCTTGTCCCATTCCTAAAACTTCATATTTGTGTAAAGAAACTGAAGAAGCTGCTTCGATGAGTGGTTAAGTCTATTCTCACTTAAAATCATTTGTCCAGTTCATTTTCTTTTACAATATACTTTTAAATGTGAACTTTCTGCTCTTTCAATTTCTTTCTCAGTTGAGTTTTTACCAACATTTTCGGACGACTAAAAGAAATTAACACTATAATCACTGTGTCTTCCTTCAGTTGTCCAGGTATGTTCCATCTATTCTCACTTAAAATCTTTTGTCCAGTTTATAATTTAGTTTTACATTGTACATTCAAATGACACCAGATGTGTACCTTTTCTATTCTTTCTCAATATTTCTGAAATTGTTTTACCAGCATTTTGCACGGCTAAAATGGTGAATTAGTTCTTTATCAGACCATTTTTTTCCATCGTTTTTAGACGATAAAGTTAAAAATATACATGTAATTTGTGGTCCCTCAAAAGAAAACTGGAGAAGCTGCTTGGATGAGAGGCGAAATTTTCTATTTTTTTCTTTTTTTAGTTATGTTTTTACACCATTTCCACATGGCTAAACTGAAATAAATGAATCTCCATGAATACTTTGAGAAAGAAGTGACAAAGATTAGAGGGTGAGTCATTTCAAACTGTTTTTTTCCCATAGTTTTTAAACCACAAAGAGAAAGACGTACATGTCGTCCCTCAAAAGAAAACTCAAGAAGCTGCTTGGATGAGTCGTTTTAAATGACACTGGATGCGTTCCTCTTCTTTTCTATTCTTAATAGTTTTACCAGCATTTTGTACGGATAAAATGGTGAATCAATTCTTTCTCAGACTATTTTTTTCCATTGTTTTTAGACGACAAAGAGTAAAATGTACATGTGGTCCCTGAGTTTGTGGTTCCTCAAAAGAAAACTCAAGAAGCTGCTTGGATTAGAAGTGAAATTTTCTATTCTTTTTTTTTTTTGTTAAGTTTTTTGCAGCATTTCCATATGGCAAAACTGAAATAAATGAATCTCCGTGAATAATTTGAAATGACTCAACAGATGTGCACCTCCTCTTATCTTTCTCACTTCTTTCTCAAACTATTTTTTCCATAGTTTTCAGACAACAAAGAGTAAAATGTACATATAATCCCTGAGTTTGTGGTTCCTCACAAGAAACCTGAAGAAACTGCTTGGATTAGGGGCGATTTTAAATTTTTTTTCCTTTTTGCAGTTACATTTTTGCAACTTTTTTACATGGCTAAAATAGTGAAATAAATAAATCTTTGTGAATACTTTGAAATGACTCACTCTCTTATCGTTCTCAGTTCTATCTAAAAGCATTTTTTCCATCAGTTTTCAGACGACAAAGAGTAAAACGTACATGTGTTCCCTCAAAAGAAAACTGAAGAAGTTTTTTTTTTGGATGAAACGCAAAATCTACTCTCACAATGCACTTTTCAATGATGTGTACCTTTTCTATTCTTAATAGTTTCTGAAATCATTTTACCAGCATTTGTGTGGCTAAAATGGTGAATCAGTTCTTTCTCTAATGAATTTTTCCATCGTTTTTCATGTGGTTCCTTCGTTTGAGATCCTTCAAAATAAAACTGGAGAAGCTGCTTGGATGAGAGGGGAAATTTTCAACTTTTTCTTTTTTTTTTTTTGTTACGTTTCTTGCAACTTTTTTGCATGGCTAAAATGGTGAAATAGATAAATCTCTGTGAATACTTTGAAATGACTCACACTCTTATTGTTCTCACTTTTTTCTCAAACTATTTTTTCCTTCGGTTTCAGACGACTAAGAGTAAAACCTACATGTGGTCACTTCATTTGTGGTCCCTCAAAAGAAAACTGAAGACGCTGCTTGGATGAGAGGCAAAATTTTTTCAAGTTTTTCTTTTTCAGTTACATTTTTTGCAACTTTTTTGTATAGCTAATATAGTGAAATAAATACATTTCTGTGAATACTTTGAAATGACTCACCAGATGTGCACCTCCTCTTATCTTTCTCAATTCTTTCTCAGACTATTTTTTCCATCGTTTTCAGACGACTAAAAGAAAAACCTACATGTGTCTCTGCATTTGTGATCTCTCAAAAGAAAAGTGAAGAAACTGCTTGGATTAGAGGTGAAATTTTATATTTTTTAATTTTTTTGGTACAGTTTTTGCAGCATTTTTGTATGACTAAACTGAAATAAATGAATCTCCATGAATAATTTGAAAAATGAGTCACCAGATGTGCACCTCCTCTTATCTTTGTCACTTCTTTCTCAAACCATTTGTTCCATCATTTTTAAACGACCCGAAAAGAAAACTGAAGAAGTTTCTTGGATGAAACGTAAAATCTGTTCCCACAATGTACTTTTAAAGGAGACCAGATGTGTACCTTTTCTAGTCTCAGTAGTTTCTGAAATAGTTTTACCAGCGTTTTGTACATCTAAAACGGTGAATCAATTCTTTCTCAAACTAATTTTTCCATAATTTTCAAATGACAAAAAGTAAAACGTAGATGTGGTCCCTGAGTTTATGATCTTTCAAAAGAAAACGCAAGAAGCTGCTTGGATTAGAGGTGAAATTTTCTATTTTTTGTTGGTTGTTTCCATGTGGCAAAACTGAAATAAATGACTTAACCAGCTGTTCAGCCCCTCTTATCTTTCTCACTTTTCTTTCTTCTAATTTTCAGACGACAAAAAGTAAAACCTATATGTGATCCCTCAAAAGAAAACTGAAGAAGCTGCTTGGATTAGAGGTCAAATTTTCCATTTTTCTTTTTTTTTTGTTACGTTTTTTGCAACTTTTTTGTATGGCTAAAATGTTGAAATAAATGAATTTCCGTGAATAATTTGAAATGACTCAACAGATGTGCACCTCCTCTTATCTTTCTCAGTTCTTTCTCAAACTATTTTTTTCCATCGTTTTCAGACGACTAAAAGAAAAACCTACATGTGATGTCTGCATTTGTGATCTCTCAGAAGAAAAGTAAAGAAACAGCTTGGATTAGAGGTGAAATTTTCTATCCTTTGTACGTTTTTTGCAACATTTTTGTACGGCTAAAATGTCGAAATAAATGAATCTCTGCGAATACTTTCAAATGACTCACCAGTTGTGCACCTTCTCTTATCTTTCTCAATTCTTTCTCAAGCCATTTTTTTCCCATCAGTTTCAGACGACAAAGAGTAAAACATACATGTGGTCCCTCAAAAGAAAACTGAAGAAGCTGCGAAATCTATTCTCAAAATGCACTTTGAAATGACACCAGATTTGTACCTTTTCTAGTCTTTCCTTTTTTTTCTCGTTTTGTTTTTTTGCAACATTTTTGTCCGGCTAAAATGTCAAAATAAATGAATCTCCGCGAATACTCTGAAATGACTCACCAGCTGTGCACCTCCTCAGTTTGTTTCTTTCTTTTCTTTCTCAGAGCGTTTTGTTTACGTGGTCTCGCTCGTGCCTCCTCAGCTCTTCTCTGAGCCCGTCTACTTCAAACTC